CCTATTGGCCTCAGTTGCTTTAAGGTATCTTCTTTAGTTTCTCTGCGTTAAGGGCAACAAACGCTAGCTAGTTTTTTAGGTGTCTTACCTATCCTCACCCCTCCCTTGTGTGCTCTCGCTTTTATCATGTGCTCAAAGTCCAATCCCATTGTTGTGTTTGCCCTTGATCTAATGTCCACATATGAGGGAGAACATACGATTTTTGGTCTTTTGGGCCAGGCTAACCTCACTCAGAATGATGTTCTCCAATTCCATCCATTTACCAGCGAATGATAACATTTCGTTCTTCTTCATGGCTGCATAAAATTCCATTGTGTATAGATACCACATTTTCTTAATCCATTCGTCAGTGCTGAGGCATCTGGGCTGTTTCCATAACTTGGCTATTGTGAATAGTGTGTGGCCACTGTCTTTATGAAGATATTTGGGGCTGAGCGGCAAGGTGTTCATTAAAGGAGACACCCTGCTGTCCCCTAGTGGAATGTGTTCCCAGATACAGTGAAGGAGCCATGATTGCAGTGGATGCTGTTCTTGTCCCACCTGGAAGGGGCTGGTCTTGTCCCTGGCATTTCTCCAGGCTTCTAAAGGCAAACTTCTAAAGGGAGGGAGAGGGGGTATGACAGAGCAGGAGGTCCTTTACTTGTCCAATACTGTCTTGTGGCTCTGTAACTGGGGACCAGCTGCAGCCTGTCATCTCTCCTGGGTTTGCAGGACTTGGAAGTCCAGAGCTCTGAGGTCCTTAACACATCCTTCAAAATCCTTTGGGGATCATTAGCAAAATGGGTGTCCTGTTGACAGTTTCTAGCACCCTGAAGGGGGTAACTAGGTCAGGGATGGGCTGCAGATAAGGGCCAGAGCAGCCAGGGCATAGCTCAAGGTCCTGAGTTCAAACACCCTAGCACTGGAGAGAGAGAGAGAGAGAGAGGGAGACAGAGAGGGAGAGGGAGACAGAGAGGGAGAGGGAGAGAGGGAGGGAGAGGGAGAGAGGGAGACAGAGACAGAGAGGGAGAGAGGAGAGGGAGAGGGAGAGGAGAGGGAGAGGGAGAGGGAGAGGGAGAGGAGAGAGGAGGGAGAGGGAGAGAGGGAGGGGAGAGGGAGAGGAGAGGGAGAGGGGAGAGGGAGAGAGGGAGAGGGAGAGGGAGAGGGGAGAGGGAGAGGGAGAGGGGAGAGGGAGAGGGGAGAGGGAGAGAGGGAGAGGGAGGGGAGGGGAGGGGAGAATTATCTTGAGATCAATGACAAAGCAACCTCCTCCTCCCACCACCCAGGGCTTTGCTCCAGCAGGCCCTTTTGTCTAGAAGGCTCTCTCACCTCTCTGCACACTCAGCCCAGGGCTCTGGCACACCAGGGTTTGGATCCTGGAGCACAGGAGGCCTTCCTTGTCTATTTGGATAAGGAATGTGAGCTGGACTCCCTGGCAGTCTGGCTTCCTGGGATGGCTCCTGATTGGGACACCTGCCAGCTGCCCAGCCCATCTGGCACCATCTGTGCCAGTCACAAAGCCATCCAGCAGACTGCATGCCAGGTCTCTTCTGCACTTGCAGGGTGATGCTCCCTTCCCCAGACAGTGTCCAGTGTGGGACAGAGCAGTTCAGGCAGTCCCCCTGGGGAAAAGATCAGGAAGCCCGATGCTGGGCAAGGTTGCCCAGAGCAGGCAAAAGCATTGCTGTTTCTCTCCCATTTATCTCAACCCCAACTTCAGACTCCCCCTCCTTCCCCAGGGACCTCTCCTGAGTCCAGCTCATCCTGCCTGTTTGCGCCCATCCAGCACAGAGTTTTCCTTGGGCAGTGAAGTTCCACAGACCCAGGGCTGAGGCTCAGCTGTGGCACTGTGTGATCTTGTGCAGGTGACTTCACCTCTCGAATGAGGCCGGCTATACTCCCAGTTCCCAGAATCCCTGGGTGGATTAAATGCAGCCATTTGTGCAGAGGGCTGAGCACAGAGCCTGGTCCAGGGAAGACGCTGCTGGGTGTCGCGGAGGACTGGAGGCCTTGGTCATCACCATGTGGAGTGTGCTTTGGGGACATGTTCTAGTTGCCACCCTCCACCACCTTCACGTCTTGGTCTTTCTGCTTCCTCCACAGCACCTCCTTTCCCATTTTCAAAGTGGAAACCCTCTCTTCCAGGTGAACATGGAAGAGCATGTCCCCTTTTCCCTACAGACATGAGCTTTTTTTTTTTTTTTTATGGTACTGGGACTTGAACTCAGGGCCTATACCTTCAGCCATCTCACCAGCCCTTGTTTTTTCAAGATAGGATCTCATTTGGCGAGGCTGGCTTTGAACCACAATCCTCTTGATCTCTGCCTCCTGAGTAGCTAGGATTACAGGCTGAGCCACTGGGACCCAGCTGTGAGCCTCTTTTTTGAAGCCATGCCCTCCCATGACTACAGTGACACCTCCTAGCAAGGAGTTGGAAAAAACAAAGCAAACTCCAGAGAGAAGGTTGACTTGGTCTCTGGGAGAAAACAATGAGTTTTAGCAGCTTAGTCACCAGCTGCCCACAGATGGCACAGGTGGGGCTGTTTTCTCTGCATGGAGGTGCTGCTCTCCCTACTTCATCAAAATGACACTGCAGCTTCAAGAAGGTGCCTTGCCCCAGCCTCCCTGCTCATGGGTGGCAGAGCTGGGACACCAGCCCTTTTGTAGGATGCTCCAAAGTTTTCACTCTCACCAGTGCCCTAGTGAGATCCAGAAAACCCCAGTGCGGCTCTGGAATCCACACTCAGTCCACTGCGCAGATTCTCTTCACACATGTTGACTATTCTGATTAGGAGGAGATGCTTTCAGTCCAAACCCACACTCCAACGGCTGAGGGAAGAGCAGGTCTGGCTTGGGCCTCCATGCAGTCTCTTCTGACCCTGGGAGTGTGTGTGCTGCTGGACGCACAGCCTGCAAACACCTTGGCCCAGGTCCTTCTGGCTAAAGCCCCCTTTGCTGGACCAGGAACTAGAGAAAAGGTTAGTTCGAGAAGAATTAACCTAGAAGGTAACACCCATGCACAGGAAAGCAATGTGAGTCAATGCCCTGTATAGCTATCCTTATCTCAACCAGCAAAAACTCTTGTTCCTTCCTATTATTGCTTATACTCTCTCTTCAACAAAATTAGAAATAAGGGTAAAATAGTTTCTGCTGGGTATTGAGGGGGTGGGGGGTAGGGGGTAGGGGGTGGGGGGTGGGGTAGGTAAGGGGGGGCAGGGGGGAGAAATGACCCAAACATTGTATGCACATATGAATAATAATAATAAAAAAGCCCCGTTTGCTTATGTTCCGCCCACAGGCAGCACAGGAGAGGGCTCATGCTTGTCTTTAGCCTATGAAAGTTCCACAGACGGTGGTGACCTTTCTTCAGTGCCCTGCTGGCAGCAGAAGTGACTCTGGAAGCTTGATAGGAGCCTCAGGAAGAGGACTGATATCTAATGCTTGTTCTGAGCGGGACCTGTGCCCAGCATATCTCAAATGGTGACTGACTAAAGTCTCACACCAATGGAGGCACAAGATTCCCGCTTCCACTTAAGGAAACAGAGGCAGAGCTATACTCACGGGAGTCAGGACCGGGAGCTGGGGGTGGGGCTTGCACCTTTGACTATGACTCCAGAGCCCATGACGATTGATCAAGTGATTTTTGAGAGAGGACCTTGCTATGTAACCCAGGCTGGCCTTTAACTTGAAATCCTCTCCTTCAGCTTTCCAAATGCTGGGATTAAAGGCATGTATCACCAAACCTGGCCCACACTGGTTTGTTTTTGAAAAGTGCACTGAAAAGTAAATAAATCTCTGTCCACAGTTCTTCCGCCCATCTGGTCAATCTGTTTCCAGTGCTGGGTGTAGTGATGCACACCTGTAATACCAATGCTCAGAAAGCAGGAGGATTGTCACTTGGGAGGCCAGCTTGCGCTATAGAGCAAGACTCCTCTGTCTCGGAAAAAAAGGCTGGGGCATGGCTCGGCTGGAGCCCGAGTTCAAGCCCAGTACTATATCCCCAGGCCTCCAATAGTTTCTAGGAAATCAGCCCGAGGCCTAGGGGATCCCTGAATTTACATGAGTCACGTTTAGGGAGAACACGTCTGTCCATGCCTGATCACCCAATTTTGGCAGCGTGATACCTGGTAAACAGTGCAAGACGGAGCAACAGCAGAGACCAGGGCTTCTCAAGACTGTGTTTCACCTGAAAATCCTTAGGCACCTAAATGTCCTGTCAGCATAGTGAAACACAAAGCCCCACTTATTTTTCCCAATTACAAAAACAAACTTTCTGTTTGCAGTGACAATTTTAAGCCAAAATGCCAGAGTAGGGCTTTGTTTTCAGGTAGTGTGCACCACACTGGAGAGGACTAATGTGTTTTGGGACTCTGCAGTATTTTTCCGTTAGTGGTGTGAATGGTCCATTTAAGAGGCCATGTGCACCAATTCCTCTGGGGTGTGAGGTGTTCTCATTGCTGGGAAAGGGGCTGCGGCCTCAAGACCCCTTCCCTGCCTGCATCTCACCCAGCCCAGCAGAGGCAGCGAGAACTTAGTGGATATCAGAGCTCCCAGGGAGAAAGGAAACGCCATCCAAGGCAGAGTCAGAAAAGGCAGCAGGTTTGAGAAAGGCTCCCCTTGCTGTGTGCGCGAGGACTCCCTGCAGAGCACAAGCCACGCTTGTTCAGTAGTGGTAGAATTTCACTTCATAACTATCTGAGTTATCTGGATTTTTTCCACAACCATTTATATACTTCTGTAAGCTGCCATATAAAACATGAAATGCAGTCACACACACAGCAACAGGCCCTGGGGTACCTCTTCTGAAAAGAAATGTGGGCACCAGTGTGGCAAGTGGCCAACATTCCTAACTGGGGCTGAGAGACCAGGGCATCTGCACAGCACCCTGTTCATCTTGTCCCTGTGAGATACATACCTGTGCTCTGAGCCCAGCCACATGCGCTGGATAAAAAGCAGAACACAGGGCTGTCAGAGTGGCTCAAATGGTAAAGTGCCTGCCTAGCAAGCATGAGGCCTTGAGTTTAAACCCTAGTACCGTCAAAAAAAAAAGAACACAGCCACAGTGTGCTCAAGTACAAATTTAATAAAGCCTTTAACATCTTAACGCATAAGTTATCTACAAAAACAAAAAAATCCGACAATGTTTTAGAGCCATCAAGAGCCATCAGGGTGTCAATGAACACCAACTGTAAAAGTGCAGACTCAGTGTCTAAGACAGTGCAGTACTACATCTGCTAAAAAGAACAACTTAAATGGAACTACAATTTCCTTGTCAAGAAAACCAACAGGTCAAGTTGATATTGGTGCTTTTAATAAACCACTGCTTCCCCAACTCCCTGCTGGCTCTGATTCTCAGGCAATAAAAATCAAGATGGGCTCCATCTTCTTTGTGCAGATGGACAGTTAATTGGGCACCAGCATCTATGGACAAACTGTCCACACGTGGTCAGTTCAGCAGATACCTTCAAAGGAGGCAGCGATTAAAGACAGTGACAAGTTCACAGAGCCGCAGTTACTAACAAATCTTGTTACCACTTCCTGTCTTCATGTTGCTCTCCATCTTTCCAAGGTAAAGCCCACATACTGTTCTCAGAAGCCCAGAGCAATCTTCTGCCAACACTGGGCTAGCTGCCCCCTCTGATGGACTCTGCGGACCCGGAGCTCGCCTGCTTTCCTGACAACGCGAGGCTCCTTGCTGGAAGGTGTCTCTTGGCTTTGACGAGAGCTGTGAGCCCCACAGGCACCGAAGAGCACAGGAGGGCCAAGCACTCCTGGTCTCTACCCTGGCTTCGGCTGGGTGGAGTGCAGGGAGTTCTATGAGGTGGAAGAGCGTGGGGCTGTAGTCCCAGGCCTATGCCTCAACTCCCTGGCCTGGAGAAAGTTCTCATGATGAGGGGGAAGAGGAGGACAGAAAAGGAAGCAAAGTAAAAAACAAAACAAAAAGGGCTGGAGGCATGGCTCAAGTGGTAGAGCACCTGCCTAGCAAGGCCCTGAGTTCAAATCCCAGTACTGCCAAAGAAAAACAAGTAAGAAACATAAAGGAAAGATGAGATAGGAATGCCAACCCAGAGCAGTGCAAAGGCGTGAGGGGGTCTCAGCCTCCTGAGCCTGTCAGGGCTAAGGGCTCCTGGTGCTGAGGAAGTACAGACAACAGGACCCAAGATTCTTGGGATTTTGCAATCCATGCAGTGAAGTCACTGCCCAGATGGGTAGGTACCTTAGGTTAAAAGTGTTTGCTTCCTCATTAGATAACAAGTGGGGCAAATGAGCAGAGAAAGAAGGTGGAACGAGCTGGCTCTGGGTAACAGCCAGGCCAGTGTGTGCAAGGAACGGAGCTGCTCTTCAGAATTGGTGGGCCTTTCTCCTGAACTAGGATGCCATCGAGAATGCATAGGATGGGAGCCAGTGAGGGTTCCCTGGCAGCGAAGCCTGCTGAAGACTTAGAAAGGAGGGCTGTGGTGTGGAGTGCATGGCTTCACCCTGAGGGTAGTGCCCTGAACATTCCTGGGCAGCAGCTAGATTGGCCACCTGAAAAGAGGTGCTGTGGACAGGATGGGAGCAGGGGCGTTGTCAGATGCATAGCGGCTTAGCAAGGACTTACCTGAGTAGAGTTTCAGAACGGGAAGAAGACCGCGTGTGTAGTAGGCTTCGTGTGTTCTGAGCCGCACCATGGAAACCACTCTAGACCCTCACAGTTCCAGGGACTCAGCCTACATGGCTCACTCAGGGGAAAGAGAGGAAAGACACACAGAAAGCCCACACTACCAAAGAGAAGTACCTCAGCAATTGCCAGGTCTGTGCCTCAGGCCACTGGAAGGCAGGGAGAGGACCAATGTGGGTGGAATCGGAGGTTTATTTCCAGCACCCACTTCCCAGTGCTGTCACTGGAGGAGGCTGTGCAGTGCTGTCATGTGTGTATAAAGTTTTTGAGGCCACAGGGGTCTCATGGCCACAGAGAGGATCTGCGGCCCACGTCACCCAGCATGTTGGTCACACTCCCAGGAGTGGAAGGTCTCTAGCAGCCCGGCTGGCAGGCCTGGGATGAGGCTAGGAAAGCTCGAAGCCCGTGTTCATGCTGATGGCGTAGCGTAGCTTTTCTCGCAGGACGCTCTTCTTGCTATAGTTGGGCAGCTTCAGCAGGTTGAAGCAGGTAGAGGAGGTGGGCAGCCGGCCCCCTGGCTCCCGCTTGCGGATGGTGAAGAATCCCCTGAGGACACTGCCCAGGGTGTCCCCAGTGTCCTGCAGTGCACACACAGCCTTGGGTCAGGAGGTGCCTAGCTTGGGTGTCTGGCAGATGTAAAAGCAAGGAGGGGAAGGTGTGTGCTCCCTGTGGGTGTGTGCACACTCCACAATGCCTGAGGTCAAGTTTCAGCTCAGGACAATGGAGCTCACACAAGAAGTCCTGCACTAGAAATGCACCTCCTGGTTAACGGATGATTAAAGACCAGCACACTGCAAAACTGTTTTAGTTATCAAAATATTTCTAAATATAGCCTAAAGTTCCCTCCCTAGTCTTGCCGGTGCTGTGGCCAACTATAACTTGAGTCAACTTTCCCTTAAGTTCAAAGGCCAAGGATCACCAGGGTCCCATGTGAGGAGCAAACTGCAGTTTACACTGCAGCACAAGGAGGGGCTGCTACATCTGAGCATGAACTGATGTCAGGTTCACAACACACACAGCACCTTGAATCTGGGCACTCTTCTTTAACAGACCTGGGAACAGGCAGCTGTCCAGATGCATGTGGCCAGCAGGGGCAGCACTGGCACACGGACCTGTACTGTTCACTGCCTGAGCCTGTGCCCTCCCCAGTGGCAGACCTGAAGCCTTGGTCAGCCCAGGAGCCATGAAACACAGCATGTTCCACCTCCACCCAGGTCCCCCTTCCCAAGGAAGGAAAGAGGAACGGCCTCCATAGAGCTGGGACTCCGGGGATGCCTCGGCGTTTCTGCAGGTGACTAGCTTTTGTGTTATGATAACCATGGAACCTCATATGGCCACAGGAAGCCCAGCTGCCTACCTCACTGAGACACAGACCTGGGAAGGGCCCCCCACACAGTGGGTACAACAGATAATTGGTACCTGATCATCTGACACTTCCACACAGCGGATGGAGAATGGAGGCTTGAGGTAGGCGAATCCCAGGAGGGGGGGCCTGGAGCAGCTGGTCACAAACTGTAACATGAAGCAGGGTCAGAGGGGATGGGGAGAGGCTTCTGCGCTCTACTCAGCAGCAAGGGTGACGGAGGTACAGCTGGCCCAACAAGTGTCCAGGACACATCTCAAGGGCAATGCTCTCTGAGACCAAAGCACGTGAGAGCCTCATCTATCAGACAGGACTGGGGATTTGTGGGAGAACATTTTACAGAGGAGTTTAGGTGCAATGCAAACTCCCAGCCAGGGCACTAGGGTGACATCCCAGGAACAGGTTTCTAATGGGACTGTGACCGGCAGTGGCAGCACTGGGGAGGCCCGGGGCAAGGTACATGCTGGAGGTGGCTACAGGCATGGTGTGGGAAGTAGGCTGTGCTCATGAGCCAAGGCCCTACAGCCAGGCACAGGGAGCCCTGGTACAGATGGAACCTTTCTCACTCACAGTAAACCTGGCGTCCTGCTGGGTTTCTCAGACACCAGGGGAAACTTTAGCCCCGCTCACCTGAGCCCCTGGCCAGTGGCCTGCAGAGAAGTTTTGTGAGCAGGGCTCCCATGGGCCCCGCTCCCAGAGACTCATTTGCTCTGTGTGCTGAGAGAGAAAAATCAAGTCTCTGGAGCCAGCGAAGTTAAGGGGTGGACGGAGGTACCAAGCACCACACGTGGGGCTTGTGGACCACAAACCATACGTCTCTGCTGTACCCTAGGAAGTCCTGGCGTTCACTCTCCTAACACCACACTTGAGTTAATGCCTCTAATGCGCTAGCTCTTGTCTGGACACAGGAATCTGACCAACCAAGAAATCCAAGAGGTCAATGTGCACAGGGAAGTCCTAAGAAAACGCCCTTCCTTTAATTCACCAGTACCCAAAAACGTGCTCTCTTCTCTAGGAGGCACTGGGTCCTGCTACTTACCAACACCCAACTGGCTCCAAAGTTCAGTGGTCTTAAAATAAATATAACCATTTCAACAATGTTACAGGTGGTGAGATTCCTGAGGTCACGCAATGACAATTTTGTGTGTCATGCTTCAAGACATTTTTTACGGGGCTGAATGTACTGCTAGTGTAAATGTGTGGCTATGAAATCCACAGGAGCAGCAGCTTGTGTGTAGAGGGCACTGCTGTGCTTGTACACCACGCCAGCACTCTGGGAACACGGTCTCGCCCAACCACTCTGCAGATGCTGTGTGCCTTGGCTGGGGCCGGCCCTGATTTAAGGCTGAGGAGACAGACACAAGGTGTCTGCATGCCCTGCCAGCTGGCTCAGAACTACTGCCCACTGCAAACTGAGGCTGGTCAGAGGAGGGAGGGGCCCTTCACCCTCCTGGGACAGGACTGGAAGCACAGAAAGCCTCTGGATGCTCTGCTGTCATTGCAATGAAAAGCGCAGTCACATCCACTCCTGCACAAGAGTTCCATGTCCTCCAGCTGACTCTGGAGCCCACCTGCAGCCTCAGAGTGGGCAGGCACGTGACAAGGACTTGCAGGTCTGGTGACAGTCTACCCAAAAGCACAGACTCATTGTCATGCAGGTTGGACGTGAGCTGTTGGCTGTGCTCTCTGTGGGAGGCAGAGCACGTAGGGCTCACAGGTCAGCAGATACCGCTCTGCCTAGTTAAGATGCACTGTTCCAGAATCCCTGCAATTACGTCTGCCTGAGTCCCTGGAGACCTGTGGGGCGAATGGAGTATGTGTGAATCTGCTGGACTGGAGGGAAGGCCTCAACAGAATAACCAACCAAGGTGAAAGAAGAGCAGCTGCCACTTGGATTGGTGGAGACACTGCCACATTGTCTCAACAATGGTGGCCACACAAGAAACAACATGCCTAGCCAGGCTCTGCTGGCTCATGCCTGTAATCCTCACTGAGGATCCTCAGCTGGAAGGCGAGCCCTGGCAAAAAAAAAAGTTTGTGATCTTGATGGAAAAAAAGCTGGGTGTGGTGGCACATGCCTGTCATCCTAGCTATGGCAGGAAGCATAAAATAGGAGGACCATGGTCCAGGCTGGCCTGGACAAAAAGCGAGACCGTATTTCCAAAATAACCAGAGTGAAAAATGCTGGAGGTGTGGCTCAAGCAGTAGAGCGCCTGCCTAGCAAGTGCGAAGCCACCCGCCTGAAGAAACAGATTCTAAAGCACAAATTTTCTCCTAGGACATGGCAAGGAGTTCGTGCTTGTCAGAGAAGGGTTGTGGTGAAATGGTGACTCTATTTATACCACTACAGTAAAATAGAACACATACACAGGCAAGTAGGCATGTCATCCCGAGTCCTGTAACGAGCTTACACTCTGCTGATGTCCATCATCAAGAGTCTATGCAGTAGCACGGGGGAACGTTTTGAACATTCACAACTCTATTGACAGTAGGACAGAAACTGGTAAACGTCAGCCACTCTATTTGCAAAAATGCACACTGATAACAGCTTAAGCAATTGTGTGTGCGTGCGTGTGTGTGCGTGTTTTGGTGGTCTGGGGATTGAATTCGAGACCTTGTGCTTGCTAGGCAAGTGCTCTACCACTTCAGCCATGGCCCCAGTCCAGCAACTGCATTGTACTGGGACACTGTTATGTGTATGTTATTCATACGACTGAGAAAAATGGTACACAGAGGTGGTCCTTATTTGATCAGAATGTAGACAGTTTAGAAATTCTGCATTGTAGGAATAGTTAGAACTGTAGAGTTGTTTGAGATTTTGTTTTTCTGTACTGCTATGACAAGTGAGAGAAACAGATGTTAGCAAGGCCAGCACAGGTAACGGGGAGGCGTGGTCCCGCTCCTTAAGCCCCCGTGGGGTAGGCCTCCCGCCGTTTCCAGGAACGGGCGTACAGGAAGTAAGTACAATACCTTCAGGAACATGGCTCTCTCATCGGGTGTGAAGTCAGACGCCAGGACATCCCAGAGCCAGGTGATGACTCTGTGGCTTCCGTGAAAGCCACCATAGTACACCGTGTGCTTCCTGGAAACGATACAGACGGGCTCAGCAGCATCCTGATGGGCACTCAGGGACACAAGCGAGTAACGCAGCAGAGTGGCACAGCCAACTCTGTGGGCCTGCATTACACTAGTAACTTCTCTTAATACCCTAAGTTCATGCCTTAATGACTGCATTTCTCTGGAAGGTAAATGGGCAGAGTGTTTAAAAGAGCTGGCCCTGTTGTTCCTAAGCAGAAGCCAACCACAGGTCCTGTGCCACCACCTGCTAGACCTTCAGTGAGCCCCAGTCTTCAAGACCTCATCAGTCTCCAGGGAGACAAGTGGCTGAGCTTGATTCCAAAGCAGCCCAGCTGGTGACTGGGAAGGAGGAGGTTTGGTGCCGGGCTCCCGGAACAACTCCACAAAAAGAGCCCAGTGAGAGCAGCTCTCCCTCTAGAAGGCCTAGGCATTTCACACTTCCCTCCTCACGTCCCCTTACTTCAAATCTTCTAGATCAATCTCAGCGTTGTCACCGGAGATGAGACGCTGCAGCTCAGGGGTAGAGAACATTCGGATCCACTCGGGTTTGATGATGGGCCGGAATCCGCTAATGAGGGCAGCAGTCTGGTTTTTGATCTGAGTGTGCATTCGAAAATGTGCCACCAGATGGATGTAGCTAATCCTGTCCATAAGGAAGAGCAAACAACAGAAATAAAGAGGACAGGGCAGGTTACTGCCAAATGGGCTGAAGATGGGTCCAGTCATTTCTGAACCATTTTACAAATACAAATAGTACCAGAGCATTTCACCAGAACAGTGACAACCTCTCTGAATGGCACCTGTGGGCCACTCTGAAGGCCATTAAGGGTTCAAGGCGCTGCCTCATTTACTCATCCCTCAAACCCCCAGCCCAGCCCAAGCACAACTCTTACAAATTCTAAGTGTAGTCCAAATAAATCTGTTTTGCCCTACAATGTTCATGTCGAAGTTATTGATCTTGAAAATATTCCTACTTCTAAAAATATCCAGCTGCAAATCTATACATTAATACATTCAAAGGTGACTCTTTCTATTATTACTCCTCTTTCCATGTATTCTTTGAAACAAGTCACTAATACTGTTTTGTTTTACCAAAGAGAAAGAGGAAGAATGGAAAGCTCTCATTACCAGAAGCATGGGATCAAGTATTACCACCACTGCCTCCCCACCCTCTGCCCCCGAGGGGGAAACAGTCATCTCCAGGCCTTGGAATCAGGTGCAGGACTGGATATCCTGGCCTTCCACACTGAGGCTTTATGCTTGGAACTCAAGACTTTGTGAAGTTCATTTCCTGTGTTGGCTTTCAAGGCAGTATAGGAATGTCACTCTGACACAGCCTGCCCAACTCGCCTCCTCTAGCTTTTATTTATGCAAGCTGTATATATACATTTCTTACCATCACCCCCATGCCACAATTCTGGCCTCTCTAGGTGGCGGTGGCTCATGCCTGTAATCCTACCTACTTGGGAGGCCAAGATCTAGAGGACTGCATTCAAGGCCAGTCCTGGCAAATAGTTCGTGAGATCCCGTCTCCAAACAACTACGGCAAAATGGATTGGAGGTGTGGTTCAAGTGGTAGGGTGCCTGCTTGGCAACTGCAAATCCCAGTCCCACATACACATACACACATTGGCACCTGCTCAGGATCAGGACTCACCTCTGTTCTGACGCCCACAGCCCTTCACCCTGAGCTCTCTGTTTCAATCTAATGTCCGTGACCAGGGGACACGATGGAAACAGTGTGTTTTCCTGACTATTCTGAAAATTAAAATGAAAACTCCCTAAGCTCACAGGCTGACAGAGCCACTGATCTGAGAAGAACAGTATGCCTGGGAACCTGGACTGTGTGGTGCATCTGCTCCAGATGCTGGTGTGGAACTGAAAAGCCGGATAATCAGACGGTGAACAGTTCAGGAGTCCAAGTGCAGCTGGTAGCGGAAGATTGATCAACTGATAAGAGGGCCAGGCCCCATTCCAGATTCTACTGTTGTTTTTAGGTATTTAAATCTTTTATTTTATTTTTGCAGTACTGGGGTTTGAACTCAGGGCCTCAACGCTTGTTAGACAGGCACTTTACCACTTGAGTGACACCCCGAGTCCAGATTCTGTTTAAATCAGGCAAGCATAGGGCTGGTGGAGGCTGTATACTGAGGGGTTTTGCTTCTGGCACCAAAAGGGCTGATATGTAAGACAGACTCCTAAAGTACGTTATCTGTGACAATAGCTGCTGGGCCTCAGCACCTCCTTGGATCTACCATGTTGAGCGCATGTTTGCTATATCTGAATTCATCACTGTGTCTTCTTCAGAGCTGTGTTTTCTGCAACTAAACTCCACAAGTGATCATCCAAAGTGAGATGCCCCGCAAGGTGTCACCACTGCTTCCTGCCCCCCCCCCCGCCCCGGTTTAGAATCCATTTGCCTCATTTTAGAGTCATTGTTACATTCCTAAGAACACTGTGACCTGGAGGGCTCTGACCTTAGAAGTGCTACTGAAAAAAATAAATTGTCCATTCTTATTTTGCAAATCGAACTTAATACAATTCCGGCCTATGAACTGTAACCAGCAAATTCCATTATGATATTTATGGCCTCCTTCTACTTCAATCTATCTTAATAAATTTTCAACGTGAGCCCAGAGAGCCAGAATGAAGTCTTTTCAAGTGGTGACCTTAAGAATCTAATTTCTATACTCACTTATTTTCATTTGTAACAGGAATGGTCTTCCCTCCAGGAACCAGTTCGTGGCAGACAAGCTGGGGGCGGGGGTGGTAAGACAGGGAGTAATTACTAGAGAGAATTCTAATGGGGAAATAAAGTTTCCTGAAGATGAAAGGGACTGATGTAAACATCCACGATAATGACAGAATTAAAATGCTGTATGTCTGGGAACCATAATTTTTCACAAAACCCCAGGGCTGAAGCATCAGCAAGCAGACCCTGTGTGACCAGTATGAGAGGTTTTTCTCATCAAGATCCTTGTTCAAACATTTACATTAAGGCTGCAGGATGTCACAGAGGGAAATGTGCTGGCATTTGGCCCCACAGAAGATGTTAAGTAAATGCTGCTACATCCATACTAGGGAGTACTGTGCAGCTATTAACAAATACGGAAGTGTGTACTTACTGAAAGGGTGAAAAAAGTTTACATAACAGCACACCAAACATGAGTGGTATGGTATTATTTCTGCAAACAAAAAGACACACACACACGCCAATGGGAAAAGTCTGGAAGGACACAGGCAACATACTGCAGTGTGTCCTCCAAGCACAAGTGGTTTCCACTTGCACCTTTTTGTTCAAAACATAGCTCAATTTTTTTGTGAGCTGTTTCAGCTAGCCTGGTGTTTCCTACAGAAGTTTCCAGTGGACACCTTGATTGTGTGCCACTCTTTGGAGAACTGTTTCCTTCCTTCTTTGAAAGAAGAGCTCTGTGGTCAGGAGTTGGGTGACTTGAAGTACACCTACACTGAGGTTTCTTTCTCACAGGCCTTGGTGCCAGCATGCTCAGCAGCCACTTAGGAGGGGAGGGTATGAAGGCAGGGATCTCATGGTGTTTGGACATTAGTCCCACCAGGGACTCACACTTTGGCAAATGGCACTTTTGTGAGAAAAGACAGTCTGAGTGAACTGAGAGGTTAGCAGGCCTGAGTCCAAGAATCCAGCTCTGCACCAAGCTCGTGGTCTTGCTTCTCCAGAGCAGCCCTCAGGCCATGAGCAGAGCCTCATGTAGGTGCTCCCAGTGGGACCCTACCCGAGGGAGCAGAGGACACTTGAGCAACAAGCCAAAAGGAGCAACTATGGTAGCAAACACTTTTAGCACCATGATTTTAAGGGCCTCTTTTCATCCTACTCTGCTCTTGTTCACATTACAAGGACAGGACTGTGAGAGGAACTTCTCAGGTGGTTTGTCCCCTCAGGGCCATAATCCTCCACTTGTGAAGGCTGATGCTCACCATGAAACCACAAACGGGGTCTCACCACATACATGAGGAACAACCTTAAAATGCGATATGGGATGACATTGCAAGGACTCTGGGGGAAGCTTTACAAGGGATGAGCATGCCAAGGCCAGGTCAGTGGGGAAGGCAAGGGAGCCATCCCTCCTAGCTGGGTGGGAGGAGGAGCCAGAGACGACAGGAAGATCCTCAGTTTGTGGGTCTCTCTCTGAGGGAAATGCCGCAAGTCAGAGGTCTTAGGAAGCCCATGGAGAGAGGGAAGGAGCTTGGCCAAGAAGGCCAGCCTACCTGACCCATGACATCCTCATCGTAAGACAGCGTTAGGCCAAGGTCCGCGATGTCCCCATCGTAGCGCTAACGTAACAGAGAGGGGAAAGGTTGGGGCAGTGTAGCACTAGGCAGTGGAGGAGTTAAACTCTTCCCTCCTTGGGGCATTGTTTGGAAGAGTTAACAACCATGCTGCCCAGAGCTTGGAGCAGAGCAGGCCACTTGTCACACTGAGGGGGGAGGGTGTCTCAGTTGAGAGGGGCACTGTGGGGGCGGGCTATGGAGGTCTGCAGTAGCCCTAAGAGAAGGCAGGGGGCTTCATTCTAGGATGTGAAGACGGGTAAGGTCGAGCCATGCAGGGCTTGGTTTAGTTGCGGGTGCACACTAGCGCCTGGTTTAGTCACCCACTATTTGGCACTGACCTTAATGGAGGTGAGGTTTTTATAGAACTCTGAGTCCAAGGAAGGAAGTTCATCCACGGAGCTATAAAAGATGCTATGGTGGTGCCCGAGCAGTTGGCTCAGGAAGAAGGAGGCAAAGGGCACGTCTACCACAATCCCCTGTGAGGGAAGAGACCCATGAGGCTTGCGGTTCCTCTATCCAGGATTCTGACTTGGTGACTGGCTCAGGCGGTAGGAGTGGCCCCAAAGGTGCCATTGGCATCTAAATGTTCAGTCTGGAGAGCTGTACTTTCTCATCATTTAAGAAACCCAACCAAGTACTGCCTGGGGACCTTAGAGCCACACAGTCCCAGGATGAGATCCCAGGTGAGCTACTGGCAGGCCAGTGCCCTTGCCTTTCTCACTGTGAAGGGGACAGCCTCTCAGTTACAGGACTGAAATAGCACAGCATTGCCCTCTGCCAGCTTCTCTGCAGCCACGGGTGCAGGCAGAGCAGTACAGAGATAGGCTCTCCCCAAGGCTGGCTAGAAGCTTCTAGGAGGAAGAGCTATCTAAGCAAGGACTAGAGGAGCACCTGGCCCTTGTGCGAGGCCCCACCAGGATGAAGCACACCTCACAGGTTTGCGAGTCAGGGAGGGTTGGCGAGCTGTGAGGCCAGACAGGAAAGATTTTAAGCTCACTGCAGTCTGCATTCAATCCTGAGGACCCTACACAGGGAAGTGATAGATTTGCATTTCATGTGGGGATGGACTGGAGAGAGTCAGGGCCACAGCTAGGCGGCTGAAAGGGTGGTGAGACTGTTGCCCATAGAGCTTTGGAAAGGAGGGCCACTCCAACTCTGTGACACATCTTCTTTGAGAGGGCGCAATGCATCCTCACTCCTCACAGCTGCCGGAGGTAAGGGACAGAGTCCAGGCCTGGGAAACAGCCTCACTTTAACTGGCCTGGAGTCTTCTGAGCCTCATAATAGCTACTCAAGGAGAAAAAAACTAAAAACACAAAACAAAAAAAAAAAATGAAAAGCAGCATCCACCTGAAGTATCTCCATTTTGCAGGTGCAGGCCACCCCACCAGCACAGGCAGGAGGAAAGACCATGTTTGGGCAGGCCCTTGGAAGGACGCTTGCTTTTATCATGGCTGGGGACTTTGACCATAGATAGAATCTTCCAAGGAGAGAAAGCAATGGGCAGCCAAGGCCTCTCTTCCTCCTCCACTTGCTCAGCTCTGTCCCCCCTTTGGAAGGCACATGCCTCTTCCAGGGCTCACTGGGATGAGGGCTGCTGCTTGGGCAGCTCACTTCCTCGGCCCTTACTGAGACCCACAGTGTGGGGTCTCAGGAAGCCCTGGCAGCTCTGAAGCCCATGGTGAATAGCACAAAGATGGCTGCAGATGGGCTCACGCTGAAGTCCTACTTCCTCTGGGGACAGGACTCACAGCCCAGTGCCATCCGGAGGGAGGTCCACTTCTCCCAACCTGGCTGTCAATGGACAGGGACCAGGAGCTATGTGGACCTCACCTGAAGCCTACAGAAGTCCACACCGCTCTGGCCCAGTAAGCCCTCAACCGTTCTCTTATGAGACAGGGTCTCACACGTAGTCCAGGCCTTGAATTCGAGATTCTCCTGCCTCCACTATGTGGCCACTATACTGGTGCCAGCATTTCTTTTAACAATATGCTGATTGACCTGGGTAACCAGGTACCAGACGGTGAAGGAGGCTTTACATGTATTATATTCACCACCAATGGCAGCCCAGCCATGCAGCTTTTCTTATCCCTACTTTACTGACGATATAATCAAGGCTCAAAAAAGGAAAGAACTCAAGTGCACAGTCACATTGCTGGCCAGGCAGGAGCTAGTCTTGACCAGCTTCTATACTTCTTGTTCTAGTCTACGGGTCAACTCCCAGGAGCCCTGGCTCCCTCCCAAGTACTTGCTCAAATAATGGAAGATTTAAAACTGAGCTGGAGGTGCAGAGTGGCTTAGTATGCGAGGCCCTGGGTTCCACCCCAGCACCCCACAAAACCAAAACCAAAGTCCACAAAACAGTGCCCTCCTACAACAGGGACCAAACTTACCTGAGTTGGGCACATCAATCCCCACACCTCAGGAAGACAACGGCAGGCATAGGACTCAGGCCAGTCTGGGTTTGAATTCTATTTATACTACCTAAGTAATGAGGAGACCTGGACAAATGGGTTCTCAGAGCTTCAGTTCTCTCATCCCTGAATAAAGATGGCAGCAGCAGCCATGTCACAGAACGTCATCAAATCATGGTTCCTGTCCTTTTCCTCAATTTCATCTTAACCCCATATTGTTTACACACAGATATACAAAGTCTGTGGTACCTCACACATTTCATTTTTCATCACTGTCCCATGCTTCCTCATGTGCTTACCTCATACACAGCCTTCCCCAGCATCTTCCCCACAAACTCAAAAAGCTGTAGGTAATTCTCGTGAATGTAGGATGTGGGTGAGGGGTACAGCCTCTCATCCCCACTGGTTGTCTGCCAGGCAAAAGGACAGGGAGAATTAGAGACTTACACGCCTCGTCTTCACTTTTCATCAGTCGCGCCCGGGATTGGCTGCTGCCAGCCCCACTCCTGCCCCCTTAACCACCTTGAACAGATTGAGTGCTGGGTCAAACACCCTCTTGATGATCTCTTCCAAGAACTCCTTGAAAACACCATCCTGGTCAATCCCAGCCTCGTCCACACCAAGGTCATTGACGAACTTCACACGGATCACACCCTTCATGGCATGCTGGGAGAGCTGCCGGAGCTGCTCATAACCATCCTGCCAAGACAATTACAACCCAGTAGGAATCCATGACCTTCTGCATTCCCAGGGCTTCTACTCCCCTTCACAAGACTCTCCTGGTACAATTACTAAGTGTGTAAGTCAGGACTCGTGGGCCCATGAGAAGAGCGTTCTTACTAACTTTGGAATGAGAGAGCCTGTTAAAAGGAAAGACTCATTTTGGGGATGTGATGGGCTTCCTCTCTGGCAAGGGGAGACTGCCCTCAGAAGATGCAGAGCAGCCAGACAGGGAAGTAGACAGAATGAGTCATGACAAGTTCACCACCAACCACCAAACAAAGGATGATAAACAGTGGAACAAGATGGATCTCTTTCACTCTTTTTCTTAATACTAAAGAGTATCTTTCAGGTTATGGAGAAAATGTGAAACTTACAGAACACCATAATATGAAAAACGAAAGCATCCCCTACCTCTCAGATCCTGGAGCCTTTCCCTAGATGATGAAAGACCTTGGGAGTCATGCCCCTGCCAGGGCAATTAGGGGGAAGATCATGAGAATTCAGGAAGGAAACAACAGGGTTGGCTTTGGGTCACAGAAAGATCTATGGGCAGCAGAGCAGACAGATGGCAGAGGATAAGTGGAAGGTAGAGAGACCTGGGTGGAGGAGTGATGCCAGGCCTGGATGAAGCAGAAACAGTGGGGAGAAGCCTCAGCACACTCAGGCTTGTGGGCTGCTCCCTCAAAACATGGCCATTTGCTGGGTATAGCTCATTGGTAGAGTGAGGCCCTGGGTTTGATCCTCAGTACCACAAAACAAACAAACAAACATTCAGCCATTCAGCATGTCTTCCCTTTCCAGAACTCAACCTAACCCATTCTGGTTACTGTCCAGTGTACCACTGCATTATCATGTCAAGTCTTCTGCCTTCTGACTCTGTCATCCACTATATTCCTGATATTTGGGACACTGACATTTTTATTTTAGAGCAGTGATGATAAATATCAGTAAACAGGACAGGGCCCAGGGAAGAGTCCTTTGGCCCAACACAAGAGGGCACATCACCAGGGTGAAACTGGTGTCTTTAGAAACTGTCATATAGTGAGCTACAAATCAACTTCCATATGCTCCTGAGACCACACTGCACCTCTCAGTTTCAGTCACAAGTGCAGTGCTGGTCACATATCCTGCTGCTGACATTAGCTAGACCATTTCCATAGGATCCATTCACCCACCTGTCTAGCTAGTCTGGTCACCTTGTCACAAAGCCAATGAGCAATCTGTCACAATGATAAGACCTGTTTTGGGGTCTTGCTGCCTCCCTGCTGGGCTCACTTAGTGATCCAAAGGGCTGTCCTATCTTGCCTCCAAATCTTACCATGGGTTACACTCCAAGGTTAGTTAAGCCAAACAGAAACTATCATTGAAGCTCCTAGGTCACCATAGGAACAGGAACACAGTTTTGCACACACATACCTGAAAAATCACTTTTTGTGGACATAAGGAAAACCATTAAATTAGATGAAAAAAAAAAAAAAGGGAGAAACAGGAAATGACCATGCAGCTGTAGCAGCACTTAAATCACTGGGCCCGAACTGAAAATCATTTTCCTGGCACTGCACTGAGAGTGGTGAAACTCCAACATGCTCCTAAGGGCTGCAGAATTTCTGTTCTGCTTTAAAGTCATGCTGCCTAATCTTAACCCAAGTAGGCAGATGTGTGGGGTTGAGGATATTAAATGGATGGCACATGTGATGTACTTAGCATGTGGCTGTCCTCAAGGAATATCTGCTGGATTCAGTCTTGCTTGATCAACCCCACATTAGCCTGTGTAGAAAGCAATGGAGAGGAATTGTCACCTGCCATCTGACGTACTTCCTACCCTCTGGGAACTGGTGGGGTTGTGTAAGGACTATATATGTGCCTCTTGGGAAGGGGAGAGTCAGCCCAGTGTTTCTCCTGCTACAGCTTATTAACAAGCAGCTTCAGACAACACCCATCTGGGAAAGGCAGGTCTGGCTTCCAGGCCTAGCTCTGTCACTGACACTTGAATGACCCTAACTGAGAATCTAAAGTTCTCTGGCTTCAGTTCTGCCTTTGACAGGCAAAGGGCAAGAACTGGACTAGAGCATGTCTGACGTTCCTCTAGTTCTGAAATACTGGAGTCCAAGTCCACCCTGTGGGAGTTCTGCCTTCCTGCAAAACTGAGATGAACACCTGGAAGTCTGCCAAGAGCGTGGTCTCCCACATAAACCATGAAGGAGGCAGAATAATCCCAGGACTACATGAGTCAGGCATCAGCTTCTTGGTGCCCCCTTGTGTCCATATCAAGCAAATGCCATGGGCTCTCTGTTTCTAATAACCAAAACACTAAATAAACAATCTTGTCACCTTCCTAATTTGACTTCATGACACATATGCTCTCATGGGAAGCAAAGAGGGAACGGATTTTGCCTAAAATCTAAGACAGATACCTCTGCCTGGCTAGCTCAGTTGTACAGCATGAGACTCTTAAGACAGATACCCCTTCTTTTCTGTCCCTGAGGGATGTGTCTTGGGCCCCTTAGACTGGAATGCTGAGTGAATTCCCAAAAGCAATGACACTGAGGAAAGTCAGAGACCCACTACTTTCAGGACATACCACAATCAATACTACTGAACTCTTCCAGGGGCTGGATGCTGGTTCACATCTGAGTGGCAACGATACATGGTAGGACTTTTACAGACAGGGGAGCTGCAAAGATTTGAAGATTCCACATGGGACCCCGGATTTTGGAACTCTAAAGTGCAGAGCATTCTGGAGCCCACATTTCTACACTGCAGGTCCGGAAGACCTGAGTGGTTGAGTTTCTTGTGGGGGGGCACGTGTTGTTCACTTGCCTATCCGTCTACTGCTTCCCAACACTGAGGATGGGTGTCACGTGATATTTATCCACTAGCTCATGGGGTTGTTTTCTTAGGCAGGGCACATAGACCAAGAGGGCTATGTTTTAGAAAAAATGGAAGGGAGGGAAGAAGCAGAAGTAGAAAACATTTCTATTTGTTTAGCATGCAAACACGGTGTTCCTGTGATGAGGGCACCCACCCAGCTTTGCTTGTGCACATGACTTGAGAGCCCCCTAGGGGCACTTAAGTTTCTTATCCCTACTTTTCTTTTCTTTTTTTTTTTTTTGCAGTGCTGGGATTGGGACCCAGGGCCTCATGCATGCTAGGCAAATGCTCTATCACTGAGCCATGCTCCCAGTGCTCCAGCAGACTACAATCAGGCTGAATGTTAAAATCTTACTCTGCGGAGCAGAGTGACAGGCTTCCATAGGTCTCTCCAAGCACCTCATAACCAATCAACACAATATGACAAATTTGTGACACACTGGGGTAAAGCACTTATGGGCAGGGAACCTATTTCTTACATGAAGTGGCTATACAGTGGTAGCCCCGTTCTAGGTTGGCAACTTGTACTTCCTAAGATTACAGCTACAAAGACCTTCCAGTTCCACAACAACTTCGTTTCTGTGTGGCCCAGTCAGTGTGACGCCTCCACTACACCCTTGGGAGTGCAGGGATATCTGGGAAAAGTGCTGGCCAAGGCAAGTGGAGTGTGCAGACCTGGGAACAGTCATGCCGCTGCTACAGCTGAGCAATTCCTCACTGCAGAGAGGCACAAGGTGTGCACTCTTGCCGAAGAGACCTCACAGGGCAAAGGAAGATACTGAGGGTGCCCAGCATGGAGGACACAATTAACTGAGAAGCGGACAGAGCAAAAGACCCCTTTCCTGCTCCAGAACTTTGATTTCAGAGGCAGCAGACCAAGGAGTGACAGGAGGAGTTTGCAGGCAAAAGACCACACACTACACCCGTCCCATCTAGCGGAACACACATCTCTGGGCCAGGCTTCTGTAGGCCTCCTCACTCACCTCCAACATCCGGGACCGTCGAATAGTGATGTGAGTGACATGAGGGGAGGCAGAGCTGCTTTCCACAAGCCCCAGCTTCTCCTTCTCCTTGGAAACCATGTTTCGGAACAGAAGAACTCTCTGAAATGAGCAAAGGTGTGACCACAAACAAGTCAACAAGTGACATTTCTATAAAAACCACTCTAGTAAATTACTGAAATTTAAGTCCCATGAGATGCAACCAGTATGGGACACTTTGATATATGCTGCTGGCCAGAGGAGTTGTGTGAGAACAATAAATGTCACTGAAGGTACTTTTGGGAGAAATGTTCCAGAAAGAGTGGTCTAGAGTATAGACAGCAACAGTCCAGGAGGAAATCATTTTCCTCATGCAGTCAATAATCCACCACAGAAACCTGGTGGCAGAATGAGTTGCAGAGGCCACCTTCTGTAGCTGTACCTGCTTCTAAGGAAATCAATATTATGAATTTAAAACACAGAAACAATTCAAAGATAATGTTCCCACAGTCAGAAATATAAAAAATGACCCTACAGCGTGAAGGTCCCTGGCCTTTCTGCCTGCCTCCCCTGTGCCCTCAAGCACACTACAATCCTACCAGTAATATTTTCAATTGTTGGTTGAGAACTCTCTTCTTAGCCTGAAATTTCTGGTGAGCCCTTTATTTTATTTTATTTTAAGAGATGGGGTCTTCTATGTTACACAAGCTGGCCTTAACCCTGAGTCCAAATAATCCTTCCACCCCCGCCTAGTGAATACCGGGACAACAGGTGGGAGGCGCCATGTCTAGCGTTAGCTCTTTCAGCAGAGCATAATCTTTTGCACCATCCTGGGTTGAGAACCATCTGCATAGTAACATTGAAATGAAATCAGCTAAATGAATGCATAAGCCAACCACAGCTGTGTTTTATAAAAGAGGACCTAAAAGTTAGAAGCTTTACTAAATACAAGAGCAGTAAAAACAAGTCAGGCATGGGCCTATAATTCCAGCATTCAGGAAGCTGATGCAGGAACAGCACAAGTCTGAGCCCAGCCCAGGCTACATGGCAAGTTCCAGGCCACTTAGGCTGCACAGCGAGACCTTGTTTCAAAACAAACAGGTAAAAACAGTTAATAGGGTTAACTATGGGGGAACACTAGCACATTTTCACTTAACATTTATATTAACTCTATAAAGTAAATATGGTTAACAGAAAAAACAATTCCCAATGGCCTCTAAGGAGGGGGAGGGGATATCCAGTGGAGGCACCACTGTTCAGCAAGGCATGAGGAGTTTAGAAACAAGGACCCAAGTGCTCTGAAGATTATCAGAAGCTCTGAGGGCTCCAGGGCCCTGAAGAAGGGAGATAACAGACCAAGTGTCCAGTGAGGGGGCCAGCAACATGGCCAAGAATGCTCTCTCTTCTCCCTTCTATGGCAGGGCAGTTTCAGGACTTAGGGGAACAGGTATTTAAATCATGTGGGGCCATGACTGCTTCCTATGATCCCAAATCTTCAGCATTACTGAATGAACAAGGACAGCTGTTCTGTGGAACATGTGGCAGAAGACAAGTGTTGTCTCCAGCACACGGAGACAGGACACAGAAGTAGAACTGCAAAGACGGAGGTGACTGGAGAGTAGTGGTCTCTCAGGAATCAGAAAGCCTGGATCAACTCTGAATTTCCATGTGGGCATGGAAGAAGGTTTCAGACAACCTTGTCCAGGCTCCAAGGGGCTGGGGAAATTCAGCAACTTCAGCAGCCTTCTGGGTGAGGCTCATTATCCCCACTTTGCAGATAAGAACATTGATTCACCCAAGGTCACACACCAGTTGGCATCAGGGCTAGATTCAAAAACAGAGCCCACTTATGGACTACCATGGGACTGCTGCCCACCCCACACCACTCAGGTCTACCAGGCTGAAAGAAGAGGCAAAGGCCTTAAGTCCCAGTCAGGAGATGAGTCACAGGTAAATGAGTAAAAGCAAGGTAGTGAGCACAGAGAAAGCAGCACTATGTGTGTAAGTGAGGCAAGCTGGGCTTTACAAAATGTTAAGAAAATAAGACAGGCATAGAAGTCACCCACTGATAGCACAATGGGAACACGAGAGAGAGGCACCATTGCCCTTCAGTGTGTTACAATAAGACTATTTCAGTAGCAGTCAGTCCGCACACTCTTGGTTAAGAGGAAGTGAGACTGCAGACAGAAAACAGTAGGAATGCTGTGTACACTCTATATACAAGTCTCAGACACTGTCCCAGAACTGCTGGGGCAACCCCCAGGGAGGACAGCCAGGAGATGGCCCAGGGCGGAAATTTTAGGAGTCAAGGATAAACAGCCTTGATGACATCTTAAGCAAACCTCCTCCTCCACCCCCTAAAGAACAGGTCAACAAATGGCCTGCCTTCACAGCACCCCTATTATCTCAGTAATTTTTTATGGCATTCCTAGGGCAAAAGAAATCTTTACCAGGGGCTGGGGCTGTAGCTCAGTGGTAAAGCACTTTCCTTCAATGTGAGAGGGCCTAACAACTCAGACTATTTATGGAGCTGGGGTGGCGCTCAATGGTAGAGCACAAGCTTAGCATATGCAAGGCCCCAGGTTCAATCCCCAGTATCAAAAAAAAAAAAAAAAAAGATTTATGTTCTAAGGAGTTACTAGCTATGTTTTTAAAATGAAAATAAAATATTTGATTTTATTCTTTTTTTGTTGTTGTTGTACTGGGGTTTGAACTGATTTTATTCTCAAAACCTAGATTTGTAAGCACAATACCACTGCAGAGAAGGCAGTGCAACTGAAGATTAAAACCCTGAACTACCTTAACACCTTGACCTAGTTTCCATGGTGTTTCACTGTTCCTCTCAAAGATTTAAATGCTCCTTTGGCAATCCCAAGTGCCCGAGCAGTTTGTTAACTGCAGCTTCATGGAGCTGAGATTCCAGACTACACATTATGGAAACACGAGGGCCAAAGATTGAGTTCCCTGACACACAGGTCTAGGACAAGGGACTGTTTTCAATCAGATGTGTCACCAAACCAGAGGCAGCCAAGGAGGTGAAGGGCTGGGGACAACTTCACATGAAGAACAGCTAGAGAAGCTAAAGCTGCTACACTTGGGAAACAGAAGACTCAGAAGGCAAACAGGGGCCAAGGGGTTGTTCAAAGACCAAGAGAAGAACTTACAGAGCAGTAGATCAGCTAAAGATGAGGAGGAATGTTTCATGCTTTGGAAGAGTACAGCCATAGAATACCTGCTTGCAAAGCTGTTTACTATTGGAGGTAGGGTCAGGGATGGGGAGTGGGAATTTCTTTTAGAAGAGTATGTCTAACTAATCTCTAAAAGGTCCCCTCATTCCTGAGAGTATGTCAAATACAGTAAGAATTTAAACAGTCACATCATTTGTGCATTATTGCTTGAGATGAATGAATAGCAGCTACAGGGGTCAAAGTCAAGGTCAAACAGTATCAGAGAGTAGTGAGTAGTAAGCATATCTGAAAAGTGAGATTTAATTTACAGAAAAGGCATTTATCCTCTTTTCTGAAAATTATGTCTATCTTAAAAAAAGAAGAAAAGGGCACCCCTGTACTCTTAGGGGCCTCTTTGGAGACAGGCATGGTACTGTTATGGCCTCCAGCAGGTATTGCTGCAGTGCCCACCACTCACCAGGGACGTATGTAATGCCTTTCCAAACTTCCTGGATGCTCCTGCCCCAGTACCCAGCCCTTTCCACCTCTCTCATTCCTGGGGATTTGATACCACACTGTCCTGGTTTTGCTCCTTCCTTGGAGTCTCATTCTCTGCTCTTAACAGCTCTGTAAATGGTGAGTCCCATAGAAGGCTGGACTTCTTCCATTTATAGGTGCAGACAGGAGAGCAAGGTGCTGCTCACATGCAGAATTTACCTCCAGACCAGACCTTCCTGAACTCTGGAGCCACCAGGAGCCACAGCTACCTCACATTCTACTGGCTCACAGCTGAAATCACCACTATGTTCCAGAGCTGTCCTTGCCTCTTTCTACCTCACAGTACACTCCCATACCACCAGAATCGCCAGTTCACATGCTTCTCCACTTCTGCACCTCCAGCAGCAGTGCAACCTGCCAGAGTGAGATGGGCTACTGTGTTTGTAGAATGAGAGATGTCATTCCGTCTTTTCCAGTAGCCGTAATGAAGACAGAGTATGGGATATCCATGGGACACAAAGACACACTGGGAGTCCAGCCCCAAGTGCAACTCACATTTTTGTGAGGAATGACATGAGGAATGTACTGCAGGATCAGCTGTGCCCGTTTTCGGTCCTTCTCAAGTTCCTGGAACAGCACACTAGGCTTGAGATCCCTTAGAAAGACAGACATGGGGCTGGGGTTATTAAAACAAGAAAATCACCTTCTACTGCTGAATTTACAAACTATGGTGTTCAGGCCAAATCCTGCCTATTGCTTGCCTTTGTAAAGTGTGTAGAGCACAGCCATACCTGTTTACTCATATGCACTACCTGTGTCTGCCCTCATGCTACAATAGCACAGGGAGTGGCTGTGGCAGACTGTGCTCTACAGGGCTTAAAACCACCTGGCCCTACTCTGGGGCAGAACTGAAACAGATACATAAGTGTTGACATGTCACTGACAATTGCTGTAGGAGGATTACCCTAGCCACCCTCCACCTCCAAATAAACCTGAAAGCAATTTTTACCCTGGCAATTCTGCTGATCAAAAAACTGCTATGCAACTATCATACCCCATTTGCTCAGGTCAGCTAAAAGACCTTTTCCTAAAAACAGCTGCTGAATGTGACCTGGCTTTGCCTCCATTAATGAACTCCAATGATAAAATGGTGCAACAGAATGACTGCTAGGTGGCGCATGCCAACAGGTACTTCACAGGAGCAGCAGCAATTCCTGCCAATGCGGACAGGATGAAAGAAGGGAAAAGCCCTCTGCCTGAGAACACAAATGCTGAATGCTTGGCCACCTCTGCTGCAGGGGTTGATGGAGGCCCCAGGCTGCCACAGTCCCTCCCCACCCTGGTACTCACTTTCGCAGCCAGTGGTCCTCAGGGGCGAAGCGCCGCCGGCAGTCCCGCTCATAGAGCACCATCAGCCACCCGTGTACAGATTGGAACAGCTCCAAGGTCTCACCCTTGGCGTTTTCTGCAGGGCAAACAAACAAGAGGGTCACACTTGTACAGGGCAGAGGCCAGAGTAGGAGGACAACTTTTACCTTTCTCCTCCTGGGCCCTCAGTAAGCCTGCTCTCCCTTGTTCTGAAGTTTCTGTGGAACTGAAAGAATTAAAAGGTCCCCAGGAAATGTGTGAAGTGTCTACTGAGCCCGAGTGTCTCTTACACAAATCACTCATGCGGTCTCCCACTTGTGTGCTGTCCAAGGGCCTTTCTTTCTCTAGGAAGCTATGTATGAACAACCGGAAACACTTTAGAGCTAGTCTCTGGCTGGAGGCGTGAATTGGCACACAGTTCACCTTTATGGAAAGCAACATGAAGACTCAAAGGGAGATGGAGTACCAACTCATACACGTATGTGCAAATCCTGAAAAATGCCTGTTGAAATGAGACTTATAGAGTCACACTACTATCTTAAGAGGCCACAGAAAGTGAAGAAATTTAACTTCCAGTATATAAACTGCATTTTCTATTAATTTTGGTAGACCATAAAGCTAAGCATCAGTTGGTATCATAGACTCTGGCCTCTCTTGGTTCAACATTAACCAGTAGTAGAGATCTTTACCTTACCTACGATTCCATCCCAGATCATCTTAAACACGAAGGAATTCAGAAAAGAGGAGATGGTAACCAGCTCTTCCAGTTTGAATGAAATTTGTTCTTCATAAACTTCAATGTCATCAAGGATCCTAAATCAGACAGAAAATCATTCAGAATATCCTACTAAGAGGGGAAAAAAAATGAGATCTTACTACTTTTAAGACAACATAAACGTTAACAAATACACTTCCATTTCTTTTTTCTGAGGCACTTCCTGTACAGTTTACAGATAAAATAATAGGGATTTTTTTTGGTGGTGGTGGTATTGGGGACTGAACTCAGGGCCTCATGCTTGTTAGGCAGGCGCTCTACCAGTTAAGCCACTCTGCCGGCCCTCAGATAAAATGATAGGATAGGTAGATCTTCAAAGTGACCAAGGGAAGGAGAGCAGTTACATAAGCTGGTAACTGCTGAAGCTGGTGCTAGCACATATGGGTCCATTGTTCTTTCCGCCTTCGATTTACTTGAAATTGTCCACAGTGAAAAGATAAAACAAAAAGAAACAAAAAAACCCTACACTCTTACATTTTTCTTACTGATAAGGCTCTGTGATACGTTCTTGCTTCAGGCCTCATTCATCCCTGAACAGGAGGGAACCTTAACCGAAAGGGTCTGTTCACTGAGGAAAGCTGTGGAACCTTACTCCACATACAGACACTCGTGGCATTTGGTAAGAATTTGTGAGTGAATGGAGAAATGTTTGACAGAATATATGAATGAATGAACACGAGACACAGCTCCAAATGAAAATTTACTAAAACTATTTCACACGCTCCTGGATTACCCTGAATCAGCAGTTAACTGCAGACCCTGCTCTCACCTCCACCTGCTCATTCAACTCCATCCTTCAGGACACCCACCCCATCTGTCACCTATATGCCCTTTGTTCTGCTAAGGTTTGTAGCCTGAATGTAATTGCCTAAGGTCCATTCTATCTTATAATTCTTCACCAACCTTTTAGGAAAAAAGTGGAATTAAAAGAATACCAAGTGTACAAGTAGACAGATATATTTAATAAGTATTTCACATTCCTTCTCTCATTTACTCTTTATTAGATTGGTAACATTATCTCCATTCTACTAATAAGGAAACTGAGGCTCAGGTGTTAGGGAACTTCGCTGGGGTCAGCTTGATAACAATGGCCAAAGCATACTGAGCTTTTCCTATGTGCCAGGGACTGTGCTAAGCACTTGGCATTAACTCTTTCTTTTTATCCTTACCACATGCCTGAAAGACAGGTGCTAGTGTTATTCCCATTCGTAGATGAAGAAACTGAGTCTCAGGGTGGTTAAATCCCTTAATCCCGTGTCCAGGGTGTTTCAGGAAATAGACAAGTCAGGTTTTGCACCCTGCCTCTCTTGATTCTGGAATTTTCCAGTAATCTACCTGGCACAGTGTAAATAGCTGAGTTGTGATTTGAACCCATCTCAGTGAGACCCCAAAGCCCCCAAACTGTTTGAGATGAGGTCTTGCTATGTTGCCCAGGCTGGTCTTGAACTCATGAGCTCAAGTGATCTTCCTGCTTCATCTTCCTGAGTACTATAGGTACACACTGTTGTGCCTGGCTCTTTTCTAATTCCTATAATGACCCGCCTCACAGGTCCACATGTCTGCAATAATCCCATCAGCAACTGCTTGCTTCCCAACATTTTAACTTGGCCTCTATGAATTCTGGGAAAAGTCCCAAGCCCCACAGTGGTCAACCTACGTGACAAGGTGTCGGGAACAGTCACAGAACAGCATCAGCATGGCCAAGAGCTGCTTGGACTCTTCAGTGTTGTTGTTCAGGCATTCCAAGAAGAGCTTTAACCCTCCGTGGGGCCCCAGCTCACAGATAAATGCCCACAGTTTGGGCAGCAGGTCATCAAGGTAAGTGAGACCTGGAAAAGGATAGAGAAACCCAAGCTTCAGGTGCAGGCTCCACCTGGTCATTATTTTTCTTTCCCTTGGAAAAACAAACACTTAAACCTATTAGTGAACATTCAATGTGTGAGAGAAGCTGCAATTAGGAAAAGCACGATGATACTAACAGCCACCATTTAATGGGGCGTCGGAATGCACCCAGATTCCACTCTGAACACCTTGCAGGCATGCTTCCTTCCTCCCATGACGCCCAATGATTCCTCTACTACATAAGAGAGGAGACAAGCAGAGAGGCTAAATAATCTGCACACAGCTAGTAAGTGTCAGAGCCAGGAAAAGAACCCAGGTCTGTCTGATTTAGCAATTATGTTTTGGATCATCAAGTTTTTTTTTCTGTAAAAGCCAGAGAGTAAATATTTTTAGGCTTTGTGGGCCATATGGTCTGTTACAATAAAAAAAAAAAAAATCTCAAGACAAATTAAGTTTAGCAGCGTTTAATTGAGCAAAGAGCAACTGGCACCCTGGGCAGTGCTCAGGACCAGAATCGGTTCAGAGAACTGCATCTGAAGGTGAGCAGGCAGCGTTAATGCCACCTTGGTGCTTTCTCTATTTGAACATGGGCACCTGTGGTTAAGACGGCTGCTATGATTGGCTTAGACTTCGCTATCGGTTACAGAGTAGTCTTCTGAGTCGGCTTTCAGCTTGCTTGCATACTACAGTGTGGTTCATCAGCAAAGACAGTGCATGTCAGCATCCTCAAGCCAATTTAATTTACAGTCATTGCTGCTCAATGCTAGCACAAAGCAGGCATAGTCATGTAAATGAAAGGATTTGGCTGTGTTCTCATAAAAGCTAATTTAGAAAGATAAGTAGTGGGCTGACTCTGGCCCATGGGCAAAATCCCTGCCTTAAACTATCTCTCAGGCTCATCCACATCTCTCAAACTCTTCCTCTAATCTACTTCTATTCTTTTGTACTAAAAAGGGAAAGAAATAAATGACTGTAGCAGAGACACTGTGAGATAACACACTAAATTAACCTTAGGAAGCAAAAAGTGAAGCAAAGGACATTCTATGTCTGCTTCTTGAGGATTCCAAAGCCTCACACAAACTACATCACTGCATATTTTATGTCTAATAATACAGCCAGTGACTAACAAAGTCAGGATCTGAAATCCCACATGTCACGGAATATACAGTGAAGTGTGTCCTTAGGAAAGCAGAGTTGCCTGCATTTGAGCCCTTATAGTGCTCATTTTATAGGGCACGCTGAATTATTTAGTTCTGAATGAAGAACTGTTTGGGGGAGACACGGTAGCCAGGGGTGGGGCTGTGGAGCACTCAATGCTACTCAAGTGTGCTTAGAGGTGAACTGAAAGAATTGTTACCTCAACTGAATTACTTATTTCTGAGGTTTGACCTCAAACTTTCAAGAGTAGGAGGATGTGGCTACAAAGAAGTCTTTGAAAAGCAAGAGTTTCTTGACTAGGATATTAGGTACATATGTGTTGCGCTTTTAGGTAGTCCATGTTACATCATACATATTAAAGAACACAGAAACCTCACAAATTAAAAACAGGTTTAAAAAGAAATGAAGTAGTCATACTGTGGAGATCATAAATATGTCCTGCCGAACCAAAGCAGGAAAGCAGGGTCTTGGCATTACATGAAGTGGACTCATGGTGTAACCTAAATATCGGCTCACAGCTTCATCCACCAACTTGGCAAGGGCTGCATCCTGTGATTAGACAGAAGGGGAGATGCTGTGCCCTGAAGAATGGTGTATGAGGACCAGCAGAGCTCCAGTGCTCCTGGGGACACACGAAGAGCAGGAACAGTGATGCTTAGTAAGTGGTAAGAGTTGAAAAAGCAGTATCTTTGACTTAAAATGTATTTAGCTAAATGAATAGACTACCACGTATTTTATTCTTTTTTCCCTTGTCTTCTTGGCACTGGAGTTTGAACTCAGGGTCTCATGCTTGTTAGGCAAGGTACCCTATGCCTTGAGCCACACCCCCAGCACTTTTTTGCTACTACCTATGCTCCCAACTAGCTGGAATTACAGTTGTGAGCTACAGCGTTTGGCCATCATTTTATTCTTGAAAGTGTGTATTTTTTTTACTGGTCAAAAAAATTATTTTCAGATACTCTCACTTGGGAAATGAGATTAGATGTGAGCTCATTTTAAAAAGCTCGAACAAAGGGTAACCTCAAAATCCTCTCCCCCAAGATATTCCCAGGACCTCAAGTGTTGGGGAGCCCCAGGCATGGTCTCAGTCCTTCTCTCCTCCCTCTGATCTCTCTTCCAGGGCTGTGTCCAAGCTCTTACCATCAGTCTCTTTGTTGACGTCCCCACAGTGTGCTCAAAGGTCTTGGCCACCTCCGCCTGCATGCTCAGCAGGTGCCTTACACTTGTTACAGCCCAACATAACTTCTAATTCCTCACAAGCCCCACACCTGATGGGCTTCTCCAGCTCAGCAAATGGCACCGCCATCCACACAGATACTCAGCTCCAAAACCTGGCATTACCTTTGACACCTTTAGTTCTCACCCCAAATCCAATTTACCAGAAGAAAAAGACTGCACCTCTGAAACGCATCCAAAATCTGCCTGCTTCCATCTCCACTGCTTCTACTAGCCAGTGCCGCTCAATCAGGGAGCATTTGGCTATCTCTGCAGACACGCTTGACTGTCACCACTGGGGAGGAAGGTGCTACTGGGCCAGGGAGCCATCCAATGATGTACAAGGCTGCCCTCTACGACAAAGAATCACCTAGCCCAAACGTCAACAGTGCTGAGGCCAAGATACTCTGCTCTAGTCCAAGCCAACACCAGCTCCCTCATGTTCTTTTTCTACAGTGGCCATTTTACTTTTTACTTGTGCATTGTTGGTCTCCCCATTACTAGAATATAATCCTCTTGGGGACCTTAGCTGTCTTGTATCCTCAGTGCTCTATAAATATCAGAAGCGTGAACAAGTAAATGTGAAAGAGAGAAGCAGCAGCAATTGATGATTTCGGACACAGCAGAGTTTTTTATGTAGCAAATGACTTTCATGTTTACAAGGGCCCTTTGTACTAATAAAACCAATTTGTCCCAACAACTTCTGAGCTGTGTCCTCAAAGCCCTTGACACCTAATTCTGTGCTTACAGATGAAACTTTCTTGCTCCGTTAAAAAGAAATGTTGGGCATATGGAGGCGATAAGATAGCATGCTGTCAATGAAAATGAGGTTTTTGAAGAACTGTTGACATGATAAGATAAAATGCTTATAAAAGATTCATGGACAGGGAACAATAAAAGGCTATATGTTAGTTTAGATACATTTATGTTATATGTGTAACATACTTAGGCACAAGTTGTCAGCTAAAAGTGGTATTTCTTTCCCTGCCTTCCTACCTTTTCTGTGTTCTAATTAGAAAAAATAACCTTTTAAAAAGTTGTACTTTACAATTAAAATAAGAGCCAGGTAACAGGAACAAAGGGGAAGTGCTATGATTGAGGCTGGCTTGAGTGAGACATGCCACTCTCTAAGAAAAATTGCTCAAAAAAATCCTCCTTCAAAATCTATTTTCTGAGTCAAGGAAGCCAGAAAAAAAAGAAAAAAATCAACTTTTTTCTGAGAACTGTTTGCCAAATTTGAAAGCTGGGAGCAGCAGCCTTGGGCCTCCAAACCTGTGAGGATCTGCAGGCGGATCTGGGTTAGAGTTGTCAGCGAGGTCTGGTAGAGGACACAGATGTTGCAAACCTTCTGTACCTCCACAGAATCCACACGTTTACCCCCGACAGGCCTGAGGATATTCCGAACCGATGCAGATTTCTGAAATGCACGCTTGAGGAGACCTGGAATAGGATAAAGAAGACATGCAACAGAAGTTCAGCCACCTGACAAATCCCACCTGGTCAAGGGAAGGGCATTTTGATAAAACTCCAAATCTACAGGCAGGACAGACAGTGGAGCTGCTGCTTGGCTCAAGACATCACTTTGGAATGAACTGGAAAAATGTTAGTAGTGGGCTTTTAGGAGCAAACCACACACCTTTTCAGAGCATCAGAACATTTTTCAGAACAAGCCAGGCATGCTCAACCACGACATGATATTCTTTTACTGAATTACCTAATTTCAGAAGCCATAAATACTAAGAATTCAGAGACCCATATGAGGTGGAGGGGAGAGGTTTTTTTTGTCTTTTCTTTTCTGGTGCTGGGATCGAACCCAGGGCCTTATGCATGCTAGGCAAGCGCTGTACCACCGAGCTACATCCCAGCCCCAGAGGACCATATGAGGGGAAGAGGGCAAAAGGCACAGAGCCCTACTGAGTCTCAATTTTGTGTACTTTATCATGGGGAGAACCAGCGGCTGGCCTTTGGTCCTGCAGAGCCCTAGGGCAGCCCACTCTGTCACTCACTCTTCACTGGGAGCACATTCTGTGGGGATGCTGGCTGTGTGGGGGCTGGCTCGGGGTGCTCCAGCAGTTTCTTGCTGAGGATGTCACTGAAGAAGATGCGGATAAGAGGCACTCCCCACAGGAACTGCAGCTGTTTGGTGATCAAATACATGGACTCGTTGAGACTAGGAAAAGAGCAGGAGACCGGAGTGTCAGCCCCACAGGCTACAGGGCCAGGGACAGTCCACTCTGTACCCCAGTGGGAGTTTAACTTGTAGATACAGACTGGCACTCCATGGCAGAGAAAATAAGTAAGAACTGAGCTAGGTGTGGTGACACACACCTGTCATTTTAGCACTTGGGAGGCAGAAGCAGGATCACGAGTTCAAGGCCAGCTAGGTCTGGCTCAAATAAACAAACAGGAACCAACAAAACTGTCACTGAGGACTGGGAATGTGAAGACAGTGAATCTTTGTGTACTGCATCACCCAAACTTCCTGAGCTGCCACCAATATTATCACTTTCCCCAGATCACAGTCATCTTGGAGACCATCCCTTACCGCTGGTGGATCAAAGCTGTCTCATGCTAGCTGTGCTACCTCCCCCATCCCCCACCGCTGCCAGACTGCAGCCGTGACCCCATCTGGATGACTCAGCACCTCCTCAGTGTCTCCTTGCCTCCAGAGGTTCCTCTCCAGTCCAGGCAGCAGTCCCTGTTCCACCCCCATTCCCGGAATCTGCTCACATCACCACACTGCTCAAAACCCTAAGCTGGCTTCCACCAACATGCTTCTCAGTGGGGACCCAGTGGTGGCCCTGAGTGCACTGTCTTCATTCATCCTCAACACAACCCTAACAGAGGGGTTATGACGATGACCTCACACGTTAGACAAGGAAACTAGGGAAGCAAGTTTTTCAAAGGGCCTCAGGGAAGAAGCAGTGGAGCCCAGACTGGGCTGTCCCCTAAGGGGCTATTGTGTCCCACCCTGCCCCTAGAACACCATCCCCCAACTCCAAGAACACATGCTCCATTCTTTTCAATGGGGATGTCACACAGGGGTGGCTGGCCTCTAGCAATAAGATAGTACACAAGGATATCACTCAGGTATAAAGGAAAGGAAGCAAACCAGGGATTTCCTTCCATGGCCCTCAACTTTTAAGGGTACCCACCAGGGACCCTATGCCTCGGGCAGACGTCTGAAAGGATAACAGCTGGACACCACAGCTGCCTTTGCTTCATCCCAGCCCAGGGCACATGGCTCACACTGGTGCTACTGCCTTACCTAATCTCTGCTCTTCCACTCTAATGCTTCTGAGCCCTGAATAAGAAAATGCTAAATTCATATTCCACCTCCTGTACAGGATAGGGCGACTGTTATCTCTTTGAATTACTTGTCTTGTTTCAGCAGATTCAGAATATGGTAATCTAGTCAATCAACAAAAGTGGTATTTCTCTTAATTTATTAAGAGAAAGAAGAGTTTGAAAATTTAAATGACAAAAAAAAATGAAAATTAAAAAAAAAAAGAAGAGAATGTAAAATCGTATGATCTCACTTTTATAAAATACTGATGCAAAAGGCTGAAAGGATATTCACTCAGGTCATCTTTGGGTACTAAGATTATGGGTACAAAAACCCATAATTTTGTTTTGTTTTTACAGTCTTGGTCTGATCACTGTTTCTTTTTCCCACTATTATTTTTTTTTAATATTTTTTTGGGGGGGGGCTGGGGATCAAAACCATGCATGCAAGGCAAGAGTTCTACTACTGAGCTACATCCCCAGCCCTTATCTCTATTTTATACAATGAATACATACTATTTTTGTAATTAGAAGTAAAACAACAGAACCTGGAAGAAAGAAGGAAGGAAGAAGGGAAGTGGTGGTAGAGAGGCAAGAAAGGCAGGAAAGGCAGCGACTTGTCTCCAGGACTTACCCATAATCCACAGACTGGGAGAACCAGCCGAGGACAGGGTGCCAGTGAGTCAGGTTGGATTTCTTCTGGGACACATACTTCTGACAGTAGCACAGCATCTGGGTGAGTAGACTCACAAACCCATCAGTTTCCTCCTCTAACACTTTGGGGCTGAGGGAGCCCAAATGTAGGAGGTTGCCTACAGAGAGAGAAGACCAAGTGTGCTGGACTACACAGATACACTTGGTGCCCCCTAGCTTTGCTTTCTGCCTGTGGCTCAGGCAGCCACACCTAAGAGATTCCATGTGAGAGGCACTGGTCAGTGTAAGGGGCTACACTGTAGCCATGGCGGTCTGACTTCAAATTGTGGATAGGCCACAGATGAGCTGTGTGGCTCTCAACCTACCTCTTGAATCTGTTTCCTTATCTGTAAGACTGGAATAAAGATTCCTGCTCTTCAAATGAGGATTGTATGAAGAACATGTAAAATGTCAGGCACACAGAGGTACAGGGTATTTAGCATTATACTTTAATGTTATGTATGTTAATATTTAAAAATCAGGAGTGAACACAAGAAATGACAGTAAAAATATCCTAGGAAATCATTGTTATTCAGTGTTCATCAAAGTCCTTTAATATCTCTTGTGTGAAGATCCTTTTCAGACATTTTCCTAAACTTCAGCCCTAAGAACCTTTTTCTACCTGAATTTCTTCTCATTAGGCAATGAGAACTGCATTGCATTGTTGTCAAATGCTTTCATCTACAACCCTTCCTTCACCTATAGTGGAAGCACTGTGAAGTGGCTGAAGCATCTGCTGCTGGGAGCTTAGCTTCACCTCAGGGCTCCCTTCCTGCTCTTGTCAATCATCTAGGTGGCTCACCACACTTATTTTTTCCGTGGCTGCCGAAAGCCACAGGCTGAAACCTAGTGTTAATTTATAGTCATGTACCTAGCTTGCCAAGTGTGCTTTCCACATGATTTTTAATTCATATTATATTAACTATTTATGTTATCTATCTGAATACATTTTTTTTTTAACAGAAAGAACTTCCAATTGTTACTAAAAATAACTGATGATCTCAGAAAAATATTTGGGCTTCCCTGATGGCCAGAGTCAATCAAATTTCAGCCTCCACTACTCACCCATTAGGCAAAGCGTATGGCATCCTTCTAAACTTTCACATATGTCACGGCATCGACCTTCATCTCTTAAAAATACGATGAATTTACGGAGCATGTCATGAGATTCTAAAACAGTGAGACGCTGCAAACAATGGCAGACTGTTAAAGTGGAAACTGACAGGAAGTTTCCCACTAAAACATGAACTTGATCCCTGCAGATCAGCCCTACTGATGTAGAACATGCTCTCGAGCACGGACAAGAGAAAGGAACAAACAAGAACCTTGTTCTTTGGGATTAACACGAATGTGTCTATACTGGTTATTAGTTTAGAAGAAGAACCGGGAAGAAGCGAGAATTAGCAGAGAAATCATTTTACCTTCTAAGTTCTAAGAACAAAAGCAAAACCAGAATTAGTTTTAGGGGGCAACTCAGAGCCCACTTACCTCAGGGGTCACTGTGCTGAGATGAGTCACAAGAGCAGGCACAGACACGATGTGAATGAGGAAGGGCCGAATCAGATTGTCTGAAAATTGTGCAGCAATCACAGGGCTGGACACAGACAAATCAGCTCAGTCAGTCAGGTGCCACTGTGGATTCTGAATTAAAAAGCAGCTCCACCAATGCCCTCTGACTTCTAGAAATTATGCTTCCCAGAATTTAGAAAAACTACAGGCTGAAAATGAGGAATTCCTAAATCAACAATGGTACAGTCATTATGGCGCAAAACTGGGCAGCTGAGTAAAACCAGTTTTGAATACTGATATGAGAAAATGCTCATGCTAAAATAAACCAAAAAAAAAAGCAAAGCTGGGTATGGTGGCTCACCAGAATCCTCACCATTTGGGAGGCAGAGATCGGGAAGATCACAGTTAGAAGTCACCCCTGGCAAAAAGTTAGTCATCTCAACCAATAGCTGGAGTGAGGACCTGCACCTGTCATCTTAGCTAAGAGGGAAGCACAAATAAAGGGATTGTGATCCAGGCTGGCTCGGGCATAAATATGAGACCCTATCCCAAAAATAACAAAAGCAGAAAGAGTTGGATGTATGGTTCAAGTGGCAGAGGGTCTACCAAGCGCAAGGCCCTAAGTTCAAACCCCAGTATTGCCAAAAAAAAAGATAAATCTCTGGACTGTAGAATTCTTTATATTTTTTTCTGCTTCATCTAGGTTTTCTACAATAAGCATGTATTCCATAATCAGAATTTTTTTTTTTGCACCCATTCTGCAAAGTGAAAAAAGTAACAACAGACTATATATTACATGAACCCACTGATGTGGAATACCCAGAACAGGCAAATCCGAAGGAACAGAAAGTAGATTAGTTGCTGCCAGGGATTTTGGGGAGAGGGCAAAGGAGAGTGACCACTAATGAATATGGAGTTTCTTTTAAGGTAATGAAAATGTTCTGGAATCTGACAGTGGGGATGGTTGCACCACTCTGCGAATACAGCAAACCCACCTTATTGATGAATTTGTTACATGTGGTTTTGACCAACTGTAGTTAAAAAAAAAAAAAAAAAAGGGGATTAAAAAATCAAAACAAATTTCAAAAAAAGATTTAAAATTTCTGTGCACACACTATGCAGCTCAGTTGGTGTGGAGCTCTTGGTCAAGTCACACATCACTGTCAGTTGTGTTTAAACTGTGTGACCTGCTGAGTGTTTCTCTGCCTTTTATTTTGTGAAAATCTACTTCCCCCAAAGCAAGTGGTGCCTGAAAAGCAAGATAAAAGTTATGGTAGTCCTTCCAAGCCAGAAAGGGCACTTAATGTGCTTAATTTAAGTGATAAACTGGAAATTTTATATTTTGAAAAGCGGCAAGTCTTTAACGGAAGTTGGGTGTATACTAAACACCACCAAACAATATACTTTTTATTTATCTATCTATCTATTTACAGGGTCTCACAATGTGTATAGCCCAGGCTGGCCTAGAACTTACCCTCCTTCTGCCTTAGCCTCCTGAGTGCTGGAATTACAGGAGAGCACCACCAGGCCTAGCTGAACTGTACACTTTAAATGAGTGAAATTATATATGTGAATTATACTTGAATAAAAATATGATTTGGGGCTGGGGATGTAGCTCAGTGGTAGAGCACCTGCCTAGGCAGATGAAGCCCTGAGTTTGAGCCACACTGCCAGAATAAGAAGTTACTTAAAAAAAAAAAAAAATCAATCAGGAGGTCATGCAGACCCTAAATTCAATACCCAGTACCATAAAATAAACAAAAAACAAAGAAACAAATAAAAGACCAAAAGAGGCCATCAGAAAAAAAGAAAAGAGAACTCCTAGGGGAAAATGAGAAATGATTTCTCCTATCTAATGTGTCCAACAGCAATGAGCAACTGTGTCACTGGTGTTTATCAGAATTCGTATCATAAACATTATAAACTTTTACTCTTAAGAGTACCATTTTTGGAACAAGAAAATTTTATGAGACTGAAATGCTCAAAATATCAGTGCCTAGGTGAGGATGACCAAGCAAGTTAATCTCACCGGTCTAAGCAAGGTAAACCACAAGAGAATCAAGTTATTTTCTGCAGTTCAGTAAGCAGTTTAAAACAGGACCAAACAATGCTCTAGAGAGGAAAAGCATACTACAAGGGAATGCCACTGAAACCACTAATCACATTCATGATCAGAGCTCCAGAGGAGAAGGAGCAGTGCCTTCTCTGAGGGCTCTCACAGGAACCTGTGGGCTATGCCTCCAAGTAACTCAGCCTGGCAGGCACCAGGCAAGACATGGAGAAAGGTACTAAGGACATCCAAGGACTGCAGGCATCCCTCATGAGGCCAGCCATAGAGAAGTATCACCGGCTCAAACATTCATGTTTTCCTCCAATTCCTGCTTTCTCCCCAGCAAGAGATCACCAGAATCTTTCTTTAGCTTGTAATTACTCTTAGGTCACCTTGGGTAACCAATTAAATGTACTATATCAGTGTACTGCTAGTTTTATGTTTAACATGGCTAGATATAGCAAAGCTTTACAAGTGTAACCAGGGACCCAGCAGGCATGAAGGGAAAAACAGAAGCTAGAATTAGTGGATACACTGTAATGCACCCTGGGAAAGGGGTATGTGCTCAGATAATAAATGTCCGGGTTTGGGGAAGGTTTCCATATGCCATTTATTTATGTACTGTTCTTAGAACACAAAAATGTGTCCAATATGTGAGGCAAATACAAAGAATAAGGAGCAGAGTGTGGGCACGAGAACAAGTGGCATAACTTCTCTGGGGCTTTAGCTTCCTCATATGTAAAAGGAGATAAGAGAATGCGGTGAGGAGTCAGTTAGTATGTGTAGCAAGTCTTAGAACAATGTGTGGTCCATGATTGTGAGCTAGTCATACTTCAGGACTAAGAGTAATCATGTTTAAACATTTATTGACTTATAGACTTTCACTAGCTTCCTGTATCATGACACCACTGAACACCTAGTTTTAAAAGGAACTGATTATGTTCAATTATATTCAGAGGTGGGGGGAAGTGCACTGTTTAGGAAAAAGAGCTTTGGAGTAACGCAGCCTTAACAAGAGATCAGTGGAATCCATACATAAGAGATAGAATTATGCACCATGTTATACTTTTAAAGAAATGAAGTGGAATGCTTAAATGTCACCACGCTGGTGAATCACACTATGAATTATGAAAAATTCTAAGTTGGGATCTGTCTGTATTCACTGCCCTCCTACCGCAGTGGCACAGTAGCTGCAATGGAGGTTGTATGGCTCAGAGAGCTGAAAATATTTACTATCTGGACCTTGACAAAAAAAGTTTGCCAATACATTCTCTACACTATCAGATTTCAAATTAGTGCTGGATGGGAAATGACTTCACAGGACATTAACGGACATATATTACCATCTGAAAACAAAGCTCAGACATGCTCAGACATTTGGTCCAATGTCAGGTTGAAAAAACCCAAAGGGTCTTCTGAGAACCACAGGACTTCTCAGAGTGTTCAGTACCAGGTGTGCTTTGGACTAACAGCAGAGGGTGGGGTAGGCTGCTTCTCCTGAGCTGGTGATTAACCTCTCTTCTAAGAAGTCAGTGACCCCCTTAACAAGTTAGGATATTCTAGACCCATGCGTGAACACAGTTTTTCCATTTGGCAGTTCTCAGAACTGTAGGTCCAATCTGTTTAAGAAAACTTTTGTTTGTTATGTAGCCTGTATCAACAAATTAAGTGAGTAAGACAAATCTCACATGCTTTCTGCTCCTCTCAATTCCAGCACTTTCAGCCTGTGTCCCTAGCACTACTCCCTCAATCCCTTTCTCCTGCAGTTCTTTGGTTTCCGTTATTTTGTCAGTTCAGAACTCAGATGGAAAAGTGATTGCACCCTGCATCTTGCCACTGACAGAACAAAAGCAATTCATTTTGAACAGTTTCCCTCAGTTCACACTGCAAAAATACTCAGTCTGGAAACTGAAGTATGAGTTGTCATAAAAGTGTTATTTTCACTAAGAACCATACTTTCTGTAAAATCTGATGAAGCAAACAAGGCCATGCCTGATATCAGTAACAAGAGAAAAGAAAACCAAGAGGAGGACCAGGCATGGCAGCCCATGCCTGTAATCCCAGCTGCACAGGGTATATAGGTAGGATTGCAGTCTGAGTGGCCACAGGCAAAAATGTGAGACCCTACCTGAAAAACAAATGAAGCATAAAAGGGCTGGGGGGTGTAGTTCAAATGGCAGAGTGCCTGCCTAGCAAGTATAAGGCTCTGAGTTCAAAACTCCAGTATTGCCAAAAGAAAAAAGAAAAGAAATAAAAGAGAAGAAAACTAACAGAAGAAAGCATTCAGAAGCAGGCAACCCCCCAGTCAGTTTCTTACTTACCGCAGTGCTAGAGAAAAGGCTGCTGTTAAGGTGGATTTGGACAGACAAGGCCTGGATCTGGCTAGGCCTCGGGTTAACAATACCTGAAAAGAACATTTAACTGATCAGGGGACAATACTAACTTTATATCAGTTTGTACATTTAAAAAAAATAAAATGAGTGCTTAAGATAAAAAAAACTGTTAACTGGAACGTGTTTTGAAAAGAAGGAAAGTAGTGGGTCTGGAGGATCATTCTACTACTGTTACCCTACTTCAAATATTGTGTTAAAGTATTTTTATCAGTAAACAGTTAAAAAATTAATAGCTCCAAGCTGGGCACAGTGTCATGCCTGGGTAGTCCTAGCTACGCAAGTCTGAGCCAGGAGGATCACTTAAGCCTAGGAGTTCGAGGCCAACCTGGGCAGCAAAACAAGATGATGTGTCTTAAGAGGAAGAAAAAAAAAAAAAAGCTGGGTGCCACTCACGTCTATAATTCTAGCTACTGAGGAGGCAGAGACCAGGAGGATTGCGGTTAGAAGCAGCCCAGACAAAGTAGTTCGCAAGACCCTACCTCAAAAAATACCCATCACAAAAAAGGGCTGGTGGAGTGGCTCAAGGTGCAGGCCCCGAGTTCAGGTCCCAGTACCGCAAAAATAAATAAATAAATAAAAATTAATAGCTATTAAAGAGAACACCTAATCTAAGACTTAAGGTACCATGTTACTCCGAGACAGCTCAGAGTTAGTGCTGAGCAGAAGATAAGCTCTCAATAGGCCACTTTCTGCTGTTACACCACCTCACAGGATTGTCCAAAAAACCAAACTGGGAGACAGTCCATCACAGTGCCACGCAGAAGGGCCAGATCAACGCTCCTTCCAAACCCAAAATTCTATGGTACTTCCAAACAGCAATCAGGCTCTGACAATTCTTGGGATGCAAACTGGCATGACAGGTACAGAGTGGACAGCAGGTCATTCAAGGACAGAGCTAGAAACATGCTTCCAGATACTGACCAAGAAGGAACCTGAAGAATGAACATAGAGGCTTCCTTCCAAGCCTAAACTTGCAGCCAAAATGCAGAGTAAAAGGGGTCTGGTGCCACTGTCCTCCCTTTACCTGAACCACAGGTCACCTGAGGCAGGAGTAAGGAGAGGACACTGTATACTTGACTCTTTCTGAAGAAAGTGTTTCTGTGAGGAGGGCTCCGGACATGCCAAAACCCATGTAAAAATCCAATTCAGGTGTTGGAGAGTGGAAGGTCACATATTGGGGACGGGCTCACAGACCTGCAGCACAGAATAAAAGCCATGCTGGTTGAGATGTCCCATTATATTTGCACAAATGTGGTTCATGGCTGGTCGAAGGCTCTCACCTAAATGAAAAGGAAAGTTTGAGAAAATATTTCTTGCATACTATGCCCTACTTATGTGGGACAGAAAATGATGCCCCAGGTCCAAGTCCAGAAGGAAACACAACACTCTCTGGCATGCCTTTAAGCCCTAAGGGCCAAACCAGAGTACAGGAGGCATGGAGGAAACCCCTCCTCTTGGGAGCCAGGACCTTTCCTCACCCTAGCCAGAAGGAACACTGCTGGCCTGTGGCACCTTCTCCAACTCCCTCCTAGAGTTGGCACTTTCTACTTCCCGCTGGGACACGACCTCACTGGCAGAGCTCAGAACTCAACAATTTTTAGGTTCCTCCCCATATCCAGAATGCATGGAACAAAGCCTCCTGTTTCGTGTGAAGCCTTTGCAGTTTCCTCTGCTTTCAGCTTCTCCATCCTCTTTCTTCACTCTAGCTCTGAGCTCACACTACTTCTTCAGGAAAGTCTGAGCCCCAGACCATGCAAAACCTACCACCTCCACTGAGTACTCTCCTTCCCTTGGGGCTCTTTCTACCAAACAGTTGCCACACTTGTCATTTTATATAAACAGTTATTGCCAGGGTTTTGTGGAGAACTGCTACCCCTTAGATACCAAAATCTGTCAATGCTCAAGTCCCCTATATGAAACTGCATACTGTTTGCATGTAACCCACACATATCTTCTTGGACATTTTAAATCATCTGTAGATTGTTTATAATACCTAATACAATAAAAGCGATATATATAGTTGTTATAATGTATTAAGGACTAATGACAAGAAAAAAAAAAGGCTGTACATGTTTATTATAAATGCAATTTTTTTCAGATATTTTTAATCCTTAGTTAGCTAAATCCATAGCTATGGAGCCTGCAAATCTGGAGGGCTGACTGCATATGAGTAACTGCTACTTAATATTTTAAGTTCTAAGATTCTAAGTTCTTGAGGATGGGAACACCCAAAGTCCCAGAAGATAGTGACCTTTTGTGCTTTGCTCATCACTGTGTATGTACGAATGAACGGATGAAATAAATACATAAAACATATAAGGACAACTTTCAGGGAAGGAAGCAGCTTTACAAGGCAAATATTATGGGCAAAATAGAATTATCTGACACTTAATGATTTTCCAAATGTAATGAGAAGGTTTAAGTGAACATGACAGTTTCCAGGCTAAGGTACAACACAATATAAAAAACAAGATCAGAAGAGCCATCATCTTTAAACATAAATTGAAAAAGTGGGAGAGCATGACACACAACAACTAACATATTCAAAAACTATGACCCAGTCTGATAGGAAGTGCCAAGAGCACTTGTATGGTCTCAGAGCCCTCCCTGAGGGTTGTGGTGGCAAAACTGCTTCTTATAAAGGAGAAAAGGTACCCCTCTCTCTATGGATGCTGGTTAGGAAGGATTGGGAGGTGGGTCCCACAGACCTTTTCCCCAGAGAATTTTCCATGTTGATGTGTCTGTGAAGGTGACAAGCATCGTGAGGTACAGCGTGATGAGTTTGGAGTCTTGCAAGATTTCAGGCTATAAACAAGAAAGGGAGGAGTATTAAAACACACACCTCCAACCCCACACAGCAGAGCATTACTTCACACCTTTCCTCAGTACACCGACTGGAGTCAATGAGTCAAGATACTAACTGCATCCTTTTACTCTTGGGAAATGACCATGGTAGGAATCACACGATATGGCTTTTGATATGTAGTGCTGAGCCATGGAATCAAAAGGCTCCTGGGAATGGAGAACTGAGCATTCTTAGGAAACCAGAGGTAAGCTGGTCTGCCATTTGTGCACATATCTTACTGAAGGAACAGTAGAAATGTAACTGAGCCTAACAGGAACTCTGGACTCTGACTTCTGACTTCAATACTTACCAGCTTGTGATTGTGGGCAAGTTTCTTAACCTCTGTGCCTTGGTTTCCTCATCTGCTGACTAGGGATAGTAACATTCCTTTCCTCCCAGGGTTACTGTGAGGCATAAATCGATTAATGTACACAAAGCACCAAGAACAGTGCCTGGCACATAGATAGCTCTGGGCATTATTGGCTATTGTTACAACCATGATGGTAGTCACTGTTTTTGTAAGAATAAGTTAGGCAAAATGCCTACTTTCTAGGCTCAGAGACCTTGTAGCACATATACCTGGAAAGGACCCGAGAGACCATCAAGATCAAAGCCCTCAGCTCGCAGAGAACAAGAGAGGGGAAGTGACTTCAATCAGGGACGTGTGGAGAATCAGCAACAGTATTAGGACTAAATCTCAGTTCTTCCCGGCTGCAGACCCAGTGCTCTTTTCTCCTAGCAGCTGTTTCTGCACATAAACTTTTCTGACATGTTCACAGCAGGAAGACCTGTCTCACAGAGAAATCTGTTGGGGAAAGCAGAAACAGAAAGAGGCAAGAGGGTCTGACTGGCTCAAGTGAAGGTAGGGGAAAAACCTGTCTGCTTGGCCCTAAGGCATTTTGGTGGAACCCCAGAGCTCTAAGGACTAGGGTGTAAGGACCTCTGTTCTGTGCCTTAATGCCTCATCTGACAAGCCACTTGGTAGGTGGCTTGCTGTCTTGGCAGGGTCGTGGACAAGAGCCATTCATAAGAACCTCAACAAGGCAGGCTGACAATGGATCACTGCGGGCTCTGGGACATTTCCTTTATTGCTCGGCTACAACCCGAGCCCTTGCCAAGCCTCTGTCCCTGAAACTTCTCCCTCCCTGAGCAAAGCGGAAGTGGCTGCTGTTTGTGTCTGCTCACACTCGGTCCACCTTTGCATCATACAAGGGCAGGCACAGGACCAGGCTGGCTAATGGCAAGACCCCATTGCTCTCACTAATACGATGGGATTGGGGTTGAGCCCAGGATCCCACTGGGCCTCTAAGAGTCCTGAATTTTTGAGCCAGAGAGGCCTCCTTTTTCATTTTGGTCAAGACAGGGTAAGGATGTGAGGTCAAGATTGCTAGCTGCCAAGACACAGGAAAGGATGTGGTGACTCCAAAAGGGAGAAGAGATAAAAGAACCAGGAGGAGAATCCAGAAGTCCCTGGCTCTTGTCATCCAGTTGCCATGTTTCAGAACATATTCTGTAACAAAATGCTCTTTTGCATCATTAGCTGTGCTCAGGTTTCTGTAAGTTACTTGTAAGAAGAGGCCTGATTTGCATAAGATACACCATACAGTATACATCCAAAGACCTAAAGGAGGACAGGATTGCTGCACCATCAAGCCTGTGGCAAGTATAGTCAAAGTCAACCTGCTGTACCAAAGCAGGGCTCACAATGACCATAGCATCTACTTTGCTCTCTCTCAGAACAGAGGCTCAACATGATAAAAGCGAGAGCACACAAGGAAGGGGTGAGGTAGGTAAGACACCTAAAAAACTAGCTAGCATTTGTTGCCCTTAACGCAGAGAAACTAAAGCAGATACCTTAAAAGCAACTGAGGCCAATAGGAAAAGGGGACCAGGAACTAGAGAAAAGGTTAGATCAAAAAGAATTAACCTAGAAGGTAACACCCACGCACAGGAAATCAATGTGAGTCAACTTCCTGTATAGCTATCCTTATCTCAACCAGCAAAAACCCTTGTTCCTTCCTATTATTGCTTATACTCTCTCTACAACAAAATTAGAAATAAGGGCGAAGTAGTTTCTGCTGGGTATTGGGCGGGGGGAGAGGGAGGGGGCGGAGTGGGTGGTAAGGGAGGGGGTGGGGGCAGGGGGGAGAAATGACCCAAGCCTTGTATGCACATATGAATAATAAAAGAAAAAGGAAAAAAAAAAAAAAAAGAACAGAGGCTCAGCCAATGATTCCTTACTTGTTCTTTACCTCAATGCCTCAGGGCCAAGCTGACAGGTTATTCCCCTACCTTCACTCGAGCCAGGCAGACCCTCTTATCTCTTTCTGTTTCTGCTTTCCACAACACATTTCTCTATGAGACAGGTCTTTTTGCTGTGAACATGTAAGAGAAGTTTATGGGTAGAAGCAGTGCTAGGAGAAAAGAGCCCTGGATCTGCAGTCAGGAAGAACTGAGATTTAGTCCTAATTCTGCTACTAATTCTCCACACATCCTTGAAGGAAGTCACTTCCCCTGTCTTGTTTTCTGAGCACTCAGGACTTTCTCACTGACAGATCTCCAAATGCATAAACAATGAGGGAATGCTGGGGACTGTGAAAGCACACACTAAAGGTGCCAGATGAGAATGATAGATTTATTATTTTTTTTTTACCTTGAGCTGCTCAAGAAATTCACAGCAATACCACAGAATGTCCTTGATCTGTTTAATCCACAGGAGAGTGAGATCCTTGGAAAGAGCCAGAGACACATACCATACCTACAAGCAGGACAAAGAGGAACATCACGGGCAGTTACAGGGATTACACTACATGTAGTCCGACTATTGGAACTGGACCTATTAGTTAGGTCCCACGCCAGATAGGGCAATGGGAATAAATGAACAAGCAGAAAGTAGGGCTTATTTTAACACTAAATTCAAAGATGAAGAGCCTAGAGAGGGAATATACTATCTTGAATAGCAAGAGCAGATCTTGCAAAACAGATTCTTGGACAATGAGGACGAGGGAATCATTTGTACTTTGCCAGTGTTCTCCACCCACTGACTACTTATTTGCACATGTATGAATTAAAGTCCTAACACTTAACAGGAACTTTCAGAGCTAAAAAAAACTGGTCCATGGGACTGTGGGAGACTTCCCTCCTAGCTTCTGACCGGCTTACCTTGGGCTCGCTCTCAGCATCCATGCTGCTCAGGATGCAGCGACACAACTTCTCGAATCTCTGCAGAGGCAGAAAGGTTATAAATTCCCAACTACTGAGAACAAGGGAGAGAGAGGGAAACAGGCACGTGGTAGGCACCTGGCATGTGCAGACAACATATCAGGCGACTAGTGTATATGATCATATTTAATTCTTTGCTATAGACATGAAAGCTGAGTATCAGAGGGCTGAAAATACTCTCAATCTGATGGCCTATAGGCTAGATGAGCCCCACAAATGTGTCTTATTTATTTTTCAATTAATTAATTTTTTTTGCCATACTGGGGTTTGAACTTAGAGCCTCACGTTTGCTAGGCAGGTGCTTTACCACTTGAGCCACTTCAGCCTGCAAATGTGTTTTAAAAATTGCTGTATTTCAGGGTGTATATGATGGCTCATGTCTGCACACAACTATAATCTCTGCTACTTGGGAGGCAGAAATCAGGAGGATCATGGATCAAGGTCAGCCACAGTAAAAAGTTAGCAAGGTCAATCAGTAAGCTGGGCATGGTGGTGTGCACTGTCATCCCAGCTACTCTGGAGGCAAAGGTATCAAAGAAGGGCTGACTGTGGTCCCAGGGAAGCCTGGGCAAAAACCTAAGACCCTACCTGAAAGAAACTAAAAGCTAAAAAGGGCTGGGGGTAGGGCTTAAGTGGCAGAGTGCTTGCCTAGCAAGCATGAGGCTGAGCTCAAACCCCTGTACTCTACCCCCCACACCAAACTGGAGTATTTCACATAAAAGTCCAGAATACAGCTTCTTTTGGAAAACAAAATCCATCTGGAAAATTGGGCCTGAATTCATGCAGACTAGTAGCTGTCTCCTAACTCAGGCTCTACAGCCTGCCATTTTTTTTTAAATGGTACTGGGATTTGAACTCAGGACTTTGCACTTGCTACACAGGTACTCTACCACTTGAGCCATGCTTCCAGCCCTTGCAATCTGCCATTTTGTAAGCACCAGGGACACTAACTTCTGCCTCACAGCCATCAGTCAAAGATTGTCATATCACTGCTTCTATCTGATATATAAAAGAAAAGTGGAAACAAACAGGAACAGATCCAGATCTGCCCTTGAAATGGTGCAGTCCTGTAGTGTCCTCCTTTATATTCGGGCTCACCGCCCTGAGCTTGTCTCTCCTCATCTTTGTGACGGTATGTTCACTTGTGTCTCCCTCAGCTGGTGGACTAGGAAATACAGACGGTAGAGACCTTGCCTAACTTGTTTTCTTGTGGGGCCTCACTGGTATCTTTACCATTATTACAGATACTTATCACTTTCCTGGGGTTGTATATTCCAGGACGATCATTTCTATTCCTAAAGTGCAAACTGACATGTTTTGTTTTGCAAGATGTTAAAAAAAAAATTCAAATTAGCTGCTAACTTTTACAAATAAGAATATTAAGAAGAAAGGCTCAGATCTCTAGCATCTCTCCAAAAACGCAGAGTATGTGTCCACTACTGGCGGAAGCCTAGTAGCACATGTCCTCTTTGAGTGGGGCAGAAAACAGACCCACTGTGCTCTTGATGACCTCTCTCCATAGCCTGTCAGCTACTGATTACTGTGATTCCAGTTCTGCATGACAGTTTGTCTCATATACAGTAGCTTTCACTCATGTGCCTAGGCTGCCTGGCTCCTGTAGGTATCAGAGTCCAACTCATGCTTGTAGTTGTCAATGTGAAAAAATCCCCAGAAGCCCTGGGCACAATACCTGCAAAATAGCTCCCAAGAAAACAAAAGGGGCAGGGTGTGGGGGTGAAAGTGCCTACCTCACAGCAGTGCCATAGGAATGAAATGAGCTAGTATTTATAAAATACCTACACAAAGTCCTGGTATGTGGGCAGTACTATGTATGTTTGCTATTATTATTTACCTCATTATCCTCTTTAATTTTGAATATGAACAGCAGTTTCCTGGCAATCTTAAAAATACAAAGTGCACTTCTCTTACTGGATCCAGAGTCATCAGCTTTAAAGAATTCATCAATCTCTTTCCTAGGGAGAGAAGGGTTAAAAAAAAAAAAAAAAAGACATTTTAAGTGAGTTCACAGCACCTGGAAGGCTTTTCATGCACTCTAAGGGAAAGGACATTTTCTACTAATTGGGAGCAAGAGGCAATGTGCTAAGGAGTTCCTGGAGCCCACCTGATGTCTTTCTGCAGTTGACTCCGACGGAGGAAACTGCGGAAGTGGGCCTGAATCGCCACAGCCGCACGCTCCCGCTCCTTCTGCACCAGCCTTTCTTCTCGTGCCTGCCGGGCTCTATCGATGAACCATGCTCTTGAGGTCTGAGACACAGTGAACATGTTTGCAAGCTGGCACAAACCCTGCAAGGAAAATAGCAAGGTGCTGCTGTAGATCACTGTGTGAAACACTCAAGAGAAAGGGGCTCCAGTGCAAAGAGCAGACAGGGACCTGGGCAGGACCTCCTGTACCTGCCCAGGTGCTCAGAGCTCTCCTCACATAAATCCTAACTTCCTACTGGCTCCTTTCACATACCTCACCAATACCAGGGATGCTATAGCCTGTATTAAACAACATTCTCTTAAGGAAAGAGCACAGTGCCTGAAACAGAGTATGGCAGGGTCTGCACAAGTTTAAAAAATGAACAAAGCATGACTCAATCCCACTTATAAAGCCCCAGTTCAAACCAGGTATCCTTTAAATCAAAGACTCCTAGATATTTGCATTTTCTGGAGCAGTCCACCACATTTAGGGAGATACCAATAAGCAGCTAACTTCCAGTTTGCAAGGTAAAAACGGAGCATGATTATTTATTGTCACTATTATTTTAGTCACCCATTCACTCAAAAAATGTTTACTAGTGCAACCAGGTGCCGGTGGCTCATGCCTATTATTCCAGTGACTCAGAGGAGGCAGGAGATCAGAGGATCACGGTTCAAAGCCAGCCCAGGCAAATAGTTCACAAGACCCTATCTCAAAAACACCCATCATAAAAAAAGGACTGGTGGAGTGGCTCAAGATGTAGGCCCTGAGTTCAACGCCCGTATCACAAAAAAAAAAGTTTACGGGTGTATACACTGTGGTCAGCACACACACACACAGAGTCTTTAAGTGCTTATTTTAACATTAAAAAGCAAAAGGTACTGTACATTACTTATTTGTTTGTTCTTATTGTTCCCACACTATGAAGATTTTACAGCAGGATTGCTCTTGCCCACTGACAGGTACTTTGCTGGGCAGAGGCACTAAAGTCTATATTAAGTCATTTTCTAATCACTAGTAACTGCCTTTATGCCAAAGGGTAGCTGTCAAAATCTCACAGCACTGATCCATGAAACATCTCGTACGATGACTGCTTTAGATGCTTCATAACTTCTGTCATTCTATTCAAAATACAGCCAAACTGACAAAAACACTGAAAGGAATTATTCAGGAATTCAGACTTTTGGAAAACCATCTCTTTACGTGGATAATTCACTCAAAGCAGTGCCATGATGGAACATCATCCGGAGTAATGATTTCATGCTGGGCTTCTGCCACATGAACACAGCCAGGGACCTCAGAAGACCCTTCTCAGCACTGACTCCTACCTGTCAAAGAACACCAGGGCTTTGCCAGCATGTGGGTCTATCATCAGTAATTCCTGAGACAAATGAACAGAACGTGACTAACCACAGGAGGGAGGTAAGAAGACTGGAACGAAAAGGGCAACTGTATTCTGAATCATTCATACCTCCTCCCACCCACTCAAGTCTGAACACCTTACCTGAGGACCTGCCTGTGTAGCAGAAATGCTAGGTAACCATTAGTGATCCTGCACAGGACACACAGTGGACAGCTTCTCACTTCAAAATAGGTTGTGTTTTTCTGGCAGAAGCAGAAGAAAAAAAATTCCAGATTTAGGGTTAAAGTTTTTTTTATTTTTATTTTTATATTTTTTATGGTTGGACTAGGGTTTGAACTCAAGGCTTCATGCTTGCAAAGCAGGTGCTCTACCACTTGAGCCACACCTCCACTCCAGGGTTAAGTTTTATGGGTGTGGTACGGTCTTCCTCATTGAGTGTCAACGTCAATAATTAATATAGTGCTATGGTTAAAAGTATTATGTCCTCTTTAGTTTATGTGTCATCTAAATGTTAGGCTGTATCTCCCCAATCATCACAAATTAAAGGGAAAAAGTTGAAGATAAGAAGTTATTAAAGCTTTAAGTACACTTGATGATAAGCAAAAAGAATTGATGGAATGTTTAAAAGCCATTAAAGTGCTGTGGCAGCACATATACTAAAAATTAGAACGACAGAGAAGATTAGCACCCCTGTGCAAGGATGACACGCAAGTTCATGAAGCAATCCATAGTAAAAAAAAAAAAAAAAGCCATTAAAAATTGTTTGACATTTAATGGTATGAAAAACTTTTATACCTTAGAAGTGAAAAAACAGCTGCCTGTGACCCAATGTGACCCTGACTATATATGGAAAAGACACAGACACAAAATTGCAATGAAACAGGACTACATGTTAAGACTTGCTTAAGCATGAGGCCCTGAGTTCGAGCCCCAGCACCATAGAGTGGGGGTGGAAAAGCAGTCATTTTGAGGTAATGGGATTATAGAAAAATTTCCACAGAAAGCACGTGGTAAGGTGGCATGGCACAGGAGGGAGCACATGAGATTTGGAGCCACACAGAACTGGATGGAGCCAGTTCCTGGCTTTGTCAGTACTGTCAGGAGAGTCTCAAGAGTCTTTCTGTCTTTATCCGTTAATTGAATCAGAGGCCCATCATGAGGCCTATGAGATGAGCTGTATCAAGCTCCTATTGATGACAGAGCAGTCAATAAGTCTAATGGATGCATTCTTTTTATGTTTTTTTTTTTTTTAACCTGCTGAAGCTCCCATCTGCAGTCACTAAAGTTCTTCACGTAGGAAGTAATACTGGCTCCCTGACACTGCTCACCAGTAAGCTTTTTCCCATCTTCAAGTGTATTAAGATTTACCAGTCCTAGCACTTGGGCGCTGAAGTCCTGGTCCTGTTTAAATTACAGAATAACTTCAAGGTCCTGAGAGGACTAAGCAGGGTTCAAGCCAGGGGCACAATGCTATGTTCTCTCTATAACATGTCCATTACTGGCAAAGGGGACCGAGGGATCAGAAGAGGGAACCTATTCCCAAAGGAAAAATAGAAGGTTGCATACAAACTGTGCCTTAGTATCTGTAAGATTACCTCAAAACTTTCACTTCTCCCAGGGTAAGAACCCTTCCTTGAGATTAGCATGCTCTCAGCAATGTTATATGCTGGTTTCTGTTTACATGGCCTGATGTCTATTCTTTGTAGTTTTTCTCATTCTTTCCTATATACCTCCTCCACTTGTGTTCTGTAGCATCAAACAAAACACATAATCCAATTATAAGTACTTTATTCTGATAAATGCCACAGAGAATCAAAGAAAAGACTTGTGTAGCAGAAAAGGCCTTGGCTCAGAGAAAGTAGCCATGCTTCCTTTTAGTCCTGATTCCACCTTTCATTTTTACCAAGTTACTTATCTACTACTCTAGGCCCCAATTTCTTTACCTGTAAATTGGTGGTAATAATAGTACTACATCCTAGGGTTACTGAATTTAATCATTGCAACATTGCGATTATGATTAAATAGGAATTATTAGTAAGGAGTATTTGAAAGCACATAGCAAGTGAGCTTTACTGAATTGTTCTTGTGAATTGCACAACCTAATTAGGGAAATAAGAGTTATACAGGTAGAAAATGAGAAGCTGGCATAACCAAGACCATTTGAAAAGGAAAATGAGTGTTCCGCAAGTGTCAAGTCTATTATAAATGATCTCATCTAGTAAAGGCAGCAATGGCATGAGAAGATCACTTGCTAATTTCCTTAGTCCAGGTTAGATGGTTAAGTGGCACAGCAAAGCTTTTAATACTAACAGATAAGATTCAGATTCCGTACTACCTCTATATTCCCATAGGATCAGATCAAAAAGCAGTCTTTTCTGGATGAGGACAACATTAAGGAGAGCAAAAGTGCACATCAGAGCTGAGCATAGTGTCACACACCAGCACCTGGGAGGTGGAGGCAGGAGGATTGAAAGTTTGAGGACAGTTAGGGCTACACAGCCAGACCCTGTCTTAGGAAAAAAGAAAGGTGCAGGACAGTCCAGAGTATCATCATAAGATGAAGTGCCATAAATATCAACTGCTGAGTGATTTTTCCTGTATGGTGGGAAGAGCTGGGCTGCCAGGTTTAATAGCCATCATTTGCTAAAGGCATTTTACATCAGACACTGCACAGATACCTAATCTACCTTGTCTTTTCAACAGATCTATCCTATTAGGTCAGTAGTCTAATTTTTTTAAAGTCAAGAATAAACAGCACAGAGACAAAGAAAAAATAAGAATAGGCAACAGGACTTGGAGAAATCATTAATACTAGCTATCGTTTATGGAAAGCTACAGCCAATCTACATGGGTTCTAACATCAACCCCATGTTCTCCTGGGCAAAATGACAGACACAGAGGAGGGATGACTTGCCAGAGTTCTCTGGGCTCCTGGATTTGAACCCCAAAGCAATCGCTTATTGGTAAGTATAATCAACAATATTGGTAAGTATAATCGCTTATTGGTAAGCATAATTTGCCATTCACAGAATGGCAAAACAAAGAGAACCTGAAAATGCAAGGCTGCCCATGATGGCTATGTTGGGAGTTAAATTATAATCAAGCTTTTATTAAGAGTTCAGTTTCAGGCATGAAACTAAAACATATTATAAAATACGCTCTGTGAAACGATCTTATGACTCCATTCTACAGAGTAAGAAACAGGGTCAGAGAGGTGAGTGGACTCACCCAAGGTCACCCAGAGCGAACAGGATTAGAACTCCAGTTTGGGTGATTCCTGAGGCCCAGGGGCTTTCCTCTGCGCCAACAACCAAGATAACAAGTCCTTTTCGCCCAGCATTAGTCCGTTATTAAAACAGAAAGGGCCAACATAGGCAGGCCCTGGATCGCGAAAGCCAGCCCTCTGAACCTGGTCCTCCGACTTGATCATGCACGGACTCGTCTCAGAACCACCTCCTGTAAAGTCCCCGGCTCCACCACCCAGAGGACCGAACACCCTATTCCCACTAGCTACCCGCAGCCGGTAGACCTTTATCCGCTGGAGGTCCCCGCGCTCGGGGTCCGGGGCGCAGCTTATCGCCGCCTCAACCCAATATCCCCGACTCCTGCCAGACCTGGGGCAGCAGCCGAAGCCCGACCGCCATCTTGCCCCGGGTGTCCGCTCTTCGAACTCCGCCTGGAAGCATCCGGTTCCGGGAAACAATAGTTCCACGGAGCTTATTTTCCTGGGAAAACCAGCCTGCATCTTGTCCTCTTCTTTGGCAGCTAAAAAAATGGGAACACTCAGAATTTGGATAAATGCCTGACCAAACCAAGAAGAGGTGGAATCCCTGCCAGAGAAGTGGGAGGGAAAGCGGTCGATGTCTGGGGCCACAACGGACACTTTAAGAAGGTGCCCCCTGCGGGGCGGAAGTGGTGTGAGAACGGCGGAAGTTCCCGCCCGACCTCGCCTCCGCCCCCGGCTTGAGTAAGCTGGGTGTTTCCTGCTTCTTTTCAGTCCGGATTTGGAGACTCCGGCGTACTCCGACTTTTCATGGTAAGGAGGGCGGTGCCCACGGGTTCGGGGCTCTGGGCGGCGGAGGGAGCCGAGCAGCGGCAGGGAAGAGGGGGAAGGCACCCAGAGGAGGGTGTGATAGGGTGGTGGCGATAGTGGAGAGGCTGGCGGGGGTTTGGACAGGGGCGAGGCCGGAGGGTGGGGGAAGGGCTTTGAGTGGGGAATGGGCGGCTCTGGCGGCCGGTGATTTGGTGGGAGTGAGTGGAGGATTAGAGTCCTGAGTGATTGTTGGACATCGGAGTGGAAGATTGTGTGAACAAAGAACTGACATTGAAAGCAGACATTGGGGTGAAAAATGAGGATTTGGAAGGAGAATGGTAGGTATGAGGAGGTGAAGAGGGACTCTTTGGAACTGAGCGTTTGGATCTTGGAGGTTGTAGCTTGAGTGGTTGAACATACCATTTTGAGGGGGCCTGCAGGAATTCAGTGCTTGGAATTCCAGGGAGAAATGCCAGGGGTCTGAGGTCAGGAAATCTTCCCCATGGAGTCTAGTCTCAGGTGGCGCCCGGCTACCTATCTAGTCATTTCCATTGAGGTCCTGGATGGCCACACCTTAGGAGCGCAGGATGTCTCACATTGCTGTCTGAGCTGTGGGAAGGTTTCTGTTTACTTGGGAGTTCTTGAATAGCTTTTTGTTCTTGTGTGGGGATGACCAAAGCTCAGCCTAGATCCTTTTTCCTTGTTTATCACTTCCCTAGAACGTGCAGTCTTTAGGGAAGATCAATCCAAGCTGAAAAAAAAAAATAACTGAACCCGTATTTGACTATGATCTGCTCCATTTTGTGCAAATGAAGGACCATTTCAGGGAAAGAAGGCCATCTGAACCAGTGTTTCTCAAACTGTGATCTTCAGGCCAAAAGCATCATCTGGGAACTTGTTAAAAATGGCAGGTTTTCAAGCCTTCCCACAGACTATCTTGGGGTGGGATCTATTGATGTGTTTTCATAATCACTGCAGGGGTTAATGATTTCTTGATTTGGGCTGTGAAGTGAAAGGGACATGGGAATTGGAGACAGAGGCCCCTTAGAGTTCTGATTCTTAGTTTTCTCCCCTAAAATGTGGAATTGATAACATCTTTCTCATTAGATCTTTGAGAGAAATACGCTGTTTGTGTGCTAAACAGAAAGAGAATGTAACTGTCTTAGAAGCAAGTTTTGGATGCAAAGTGATGCTACAGTTAAGTGGCTGATTCTGTTTAGTTTGTTTAAAATGGAACAGCAGACTTCGGAATTGTTGCAATATTTTGGGAAGTGTTAGGCCTACCTTAAATACCATGTTTCTTAACTCCTCCCCCCTTAGATGAAGCTTCTTACACAAACACCTTACTTAGCTCAGTGGTACTTAGCTCTGGCAGTGCATCTAATCACCCAAGAGCTTTTTAAACATCAGTTACTGAGCTGCTGCCCCTCCTCCTCTCAAAGATTCTGATGAATTGGCCTGGGGTGTAGCCCAGGCAGGCACCAGCATTTTTAAACACATCTAGGTAGGTCGGAAAAAGCTGGTCTTAAAGCTAGGGTGCCAAGTGTTTTAACATTCATTCCTTGAGGGTCATTTTAAAGATGATGGCTTTAACATACTATTTTACAAGTTAGGAAACATACTTGAGTTAAATCAGAGATCTGAATATCAAGAAGAAAGTGGTAGAACTGAGGTTGCAGTCCAGGTGTCCCCAGCTCACAACCATTTCCCTCTGCATACATACACACACACTTGAACTTGGTGTCTTTTTTCCTATTGTCCTTGCTTGGGTCTCCCTTCAAATGAAAAGTTTTCACCCTTTAGCTGATTTGTATGTTTCCAAGCATATGCACAGTCGCTTCCTGTTTTGGCTCCAAAGCTATGAAGTGAGGCTTGCTTTTGTTTATGGTGCTTTGGTTTGTTTTTAATGTGTGGGTCAGGAATTCTCTGGACTAATAGAGCAAGAAGTTGAAGAGCTTCTTCAAGACCACTGAGCTAATTATAGCTTAATTAAGGGCTACAGAACTTTTTAGAACAGTGGGTTGCAATCTTGGCTGTACATTAGAGTCATCTGGAGGATTTTAAGTTTCTATTGCATAGGCCATACACCCCCCAGACCAGCGATACCAGAATTTCCATGGTTAGGACCTGGGTATCAGTATTTTTAAACCTCCCCTGGTGACTCCAGTGTGTGACTAGGTAGAGACCTCTGTTTAAAATCAGCAGCAGTACATTTGGGGCAGACAGGTGGGAAAGAAGCTTTAACTTACCCATCTAGCTGAAATAAACTGATTGAATCGAATCCAAAACCAGTGTTAGTTACCTCTCTTTTTCTTGAAACCAAGTTTCCTCTCTCTTGTTCCACCTCCCCAGCCCCATTAATAATGAAATCAATTTTGGAAGAAGGGTAATTGCACGATCCCACCCATTAATAATGAAATCAATTTTGGAAGAAGGGTAATTGCACGATCCCAGGAGAGACAGAGAGAGAGAGATGTTTGCTATAAGAAGTTATTGTCCACTGCTCTGTGTCCTTGGTTCACTGGAACTTAGCCTGAGGGATGTAACATAGCTCTCTGAGGGTCTCTCCTGGTGTTGGGTTCACTGACCTTGGAAGGGAGTGAGCTCTGGGAAGGTTCAAAGCCTTTGCCTAGTCTGGAGTCTCAGGCTAGATCAGGATGGTTTCTGTCTTGTCTCTTATTCATTCTGTCATTAGAACTGGAAACAGACTCCAAAGAGAAGAAAATTTGAGACTTTGAAATCATTGCCAAATAATCATAGTTTGAGTGTTTCCTATTCAGGTGCTTACTTAGAGCCAGGGCAGCACTGAATACTTGCTGTGGCCTTCCTCAGCATGGAAGCTTGTACAATTGGTAGATGGGACTAGATTCAGATTTCTCACCCATGCTCCCACAGCTACCAAGTGGCAGGGTTTAGGGGAACCCTTAGCCACAGATTGCCTCCATTCTTTCAGGGCTTTTTATTTTTTTTAAAGAAGGAAGCTGAGGCTTCTCCCTTTTCAACTTAAATGTTATAGCTGTAACTATGCCAGGCACGATGGGCTCCAGGCCACCCAGGCCTTTGACTTGCTCATCATTGACTCCCCTCCTGTCTTTGAGAGCTAATGGCCTCTCTCTGGGATGTGATATCTTTGTTCTCATTTTGTTTTTCTAGGAACAGGGTCTCACTATGTAGCCCAGGCTGGCTTCAAACTTCTGCTTTGTCTCCTGGGTGCTGGGATTGCAGGTGTGCACTGTCATGCCTGGCTCTGGGTTATGGTGTCTGAATCCACAAAATGGAAACGACAGCTTTTTTTTCTTCCTGCATTGTTTGGATTTCACAAGTTCGTATGTGGTGGTAGAAATGAAGTGGTAGAGGGACATGGAGGGGCCTTCTAGAGCCATGGAAGTGAGCTCTCTACCATGTTGGAGTGGGGCTACCCAAACTCATCCAGCAGTACACTTAAAATGGACTTCATTCCATGCAGATTATCTATATAAAAAGGTATCGACAACCCACAGAAGTACACAAAGTATACTTTGTCTTTTTTGTCTTTTTCATGGTAGATTACTTACAAGATGCTGAACCATTTTCCATGAACATATTATTACATAAATTTAGATAGGAAAAGGATGCCAGAAAAGTATTTCCATTTGGGGGCAAATTCCTTAAGACCCCACAGAACTATAAGACTTTCTTCTTCCCTCCAGTTCTTCAAAGTTTCTAGAAAACTATTCTTATAAGCCACATCTATCATCCCATGGATAGAGTTTTTCTGAAGGATATGGCTGACCAACACAGTTAGTGAGGGTCTCTGAGGACTGATTTCAAAGGAAGCTGGAAGGGCAGGTCACCACATCCTCAGTTTCTTTTATGTGTGGCATCAGGCCACAGGGACTCCAGGTGAGCTCAGCTTGAGCTTTTGACAACTTGTGTTCTTGTGATGTTTTCACATGAGAAGCAGGAAGAGTTGCTGAGAAAGCACTTCCTTGCAAGAGGCACTCAGCCTGTGATTTCCACGCCACCCTGGGGGGATGGAAGTGGGGAGGCTTTGCACCAGAGTTGTGTAACCTCAATTGGATATCGCCTGTGATTGTCCTGTGACTGTCCCTCACTCATTACCTCTGCTGTTACAGGTTGATGCCATTTCATCCCCTATCCTGTTAAAAAAAATAGCATTTGTGTTTACCAGTATAAATGTAATACATGTTTAAGAAATCTTTCTGAAAAAGATAGAAAGGTGTACAAGAACTAAAAACAATCATTTTTTTCAGAACAGTTAAAAAAAAGTCAGCTGGGTGTAGTGGTAATCCCAGTACTAGAGAGGTAGATGTTGGAGAGTCAAGAGTCCAAGGACAGCCTGACTCACGAAAGGGAAAAAAATGTTTTGTGCTGTGGGTGCCCTCCAGTCAGAAAGCACAAGGATCGCAGCTGCAGCCCAGCACAGTTGGGATTGCCTCTGGTTTGCATTGCAGAAGAGCTGCAGGGCATCTCAGAATGAGGATTTGGGGAGGTTCAGAGAGGTGGGGCTTTGCTCTGAGTTGGATGCTGCCAGCAGGTGGCTACTTCTGTGGTCTGGTCTCAGTGACTCCTATCCTAAAGGTGGGAAGAATGGGACTGGGCTGAACCTCCATTTGGCACAGCAACAGTAGCAACTTGCATCAGCCTGGATAAAGGGCTACCTGGTCATTTTCGTATTTTGGATGGTGCTCATGCCTTTTGCTTATGTTCAATGTGACTATGAAATGGTACTGTTTTTGTTGTGTGGTGAGTCATGACAAATCACAGAGTAGCCTTGTCTGATAACTAAGTGCTGTGAAATTGTTTCTGTTCTATGTGCACACCAGGGCCTCACTGCAGTGGCTCTTCAGGGCTGCTTTTTCTCAGGAGCCATGCCCCAGATTCAGATTCAGGAAAGATTCTGCCCAGTGTTGGACATTATCTCCAGTTCTACAATTTTACAGAACTATTCATTCAAAAACTGATTTCTTGGAATACATGTGTGGCAGGTGTCAGTCTCCTTTCCCAGGTGTATGTAACGCAGGCATTTCTGTGTCCATCTCTTTGGCTGAGCTATATAGGAGAGCTGGCAGGGTAGTCAGCAAAACTGTTACAGGATCTTGCTGTCTGGGTTGACACTAGGGCAGGAAGTTTCTCATTTTTTGGGAACTTGCTTTCTAGAGTTTCTGTTGTTTATGCTCAGAAACACTTTTTTCCCATAGGCAGCGTTGGAAATTGATCCCATTCAACATCATAAAAGCCTATTTCATGTGTAATTCAGCTGAAAGATGGTACATTCAGCTGTTCATGGTGTGCGGCAATAAGGAAAGGTAGTGGGACCTGGGCAGTGCCTTGGGCTGCTTTCATTTGCAGCCAAGATATCGATTTATATGGGCATTGGACAGAAAAGGAAGTCCTTGTAACGCAAGAATTAGTGACAGACTTTGGCCTACAGGGTTAGCAGGTGAGGTCAGCTGTCTGGGTAAGGATTGGTGCACGTTGGGTGATACATGCCTCTCTCTAGGGGGCATCCAGTCCCCCAGTTCCCATCAGTTGTTGCTTCCTAACCCAATTGGTCTCTGATTTTAAGAGAAGTCAGAAATCCAGATATTTCTATGAACTTTTCTGAGTTGTTAACATTGGAAGCAATCTTTAAGTTTTAAATGCAGTATATGCATGGATCAAACAACACCTCAAGGCCAGATTCAGCCCATGGGCTGAAAGAGGTAGGCTAGGTCTGGTGTGGTGACCCTGTCTTCTCCCTTGGCAGGAAGAGATGTCAGGAGAAAGCGTTGTGAGCTCAGCGGTGCCAGCGGCTGCTACCCGCACCACATCCTTCAAGGGCGCAAGTCCCAGCTCCAAGTACGTGAAGCTGAATGTGGGGGGAGCCCTCTACTACACCACCATGCAGACACTGACCAAGCAGGACACCATGCTGAAGGCCATGTTCAGTGGGCGCATGGAGGTGCTCACTGACAGTGAAGGTAAGTCACCCTGTCAGCCACTGGCTGTTGGTTCTGTGTCTGCCACTGCTGCAGGCACTGAGGACATGCTTATGGTTGAGGGTTCAGTCTGTTCAAAAGACCAAAAGCAAATGGGCACTTGGACATTTGTGCTCCGTGTTCTCACAGTGTGCAGGGAGCCCTGAGAGTCACAGGGAGACTAGATCTAATCTCATGATGTGCTTAAGGAGGATTTCCTGAGGAGGTGACATTGATGCTCAGATCTAATGATGATTAGTAGTTACCTGGACAGGCACTCTTACAGTCTTGACTTAGCCGATTTGCTGTGTGACTTCAAGAAAGTCATTTCCTCACTCTATGCTTCAGCACAGCTTGACTTGACCCTCTTTTACCTGCTTGAGATTCACCTTTCATGCCTGTGCCTCCACCTTCCAGGGATCTGGACTTGGGAGAGTGGGCAAGTCTTGACACATGCAGGTAGGTTCAGGGCCCTAAGCCGGTAATGCCATGTTTCACTCTCTGATCCTAGTGTGGGCTGCTGGTTAGTTCAGGTGTTTTTGCATTCTGGAGGAAGCCAACCTGGGGGACAGAGAGTCTGCTTCTCAGACTTCCAGTGAACTTGTGTTTCTGGTCAAGCAGCAGTTAAGTAAGAGCCCAGAGCTGCTACTGTGCCTCACAAGGAAAATACAGTATTTTATGAGTGGGAGGCTCCCTTTGCTATGCCACACCCTGCATTGCCCAGGAAGATTTGTGGAAATCAAGACAATAGCACTCCAGCTGCAGAAGGAAACAGATGTTATCTGAGAATCCAAGATTGTTGAGATTTTCCTTCCACCATACCCAGTCTTGGGGTGGAGTAGTTCCAGAAGGACAGATGAGTGGCTTTGAAGGCTAAGTGGAAGCCTCTTCCAGAAAGCCCTCACCTGGGTGGCCTAATGCCTTATTGCAAATGAGATGGAATCTGCAGCCCCATCACTCAGCTGGCACTGGCAGGACTGCTTCTGTTCTAAGCACCGACTAAAGTATGGCCTTTGCCCCATGCTGCCAAACTCCCATCTCTGGGCAAGCAGTGTCGTCCACGGGCATGCCAGACATGTCACATTATCAGATCACTACAGCTCCAGCTCCCATCTCGTCTGTTTATGAACAACTCGCGGTATGGCATTTGATAGTTGGTACTTTGCTTAATCCTCACCAGAACCTTGTTGTAGAAACTGGCTACCATTCCCAGTGAGGAGTAGTCATCTCAGAAATACTTTGCTCACAGCTATAGGGCTAGAAAAGGTGAAGCTACCAACCTCAGGATTCACTGGCTCTTAACTATCTGCTATCCCAGGTTGGCCGTGGGCCTGGTTGCCAGGCCAGATCACTTGGCTGGTTGCGTGGTAGTCTTATGGGTCAGCCACAAGATTTCTGCCAAAGCCTCCAGGGGCCTTATGAAGCCTGGGCCATCAGGCTGAGCATCTGGTCTTTCAGCCATCAGCCATGCCAGACAAAGCAGTCCTGTGGCCCTGGGAGAGAACAGTACGCAGCCTGACCCATGGCTTACATGTTGACCTTAAGTATGCTCTTGAGTACAAATTAGAATAGACTTCCTGGGTCTTATAGCTTCTCCCTGGCCTTGGGACTAGGAGCCTGTTGGCTGCTTTGAAGTTTGCTATAAACAGAAATGTCAAGTGCAGCTCAGCAAGGCAAGGGATCCAGCAGTACAACTTGCTAGTAAAAAACAGGAGCTTTGACAGAAAGTGTATGTGTCATGTTTCTAAAATTTTCTAAAAGGATGCCTGAAAGAGTGGTTGTTTCAGGAGAGTACCCTGGGGTTCAGGCTGGGTAGAAGTCTCTCTTTTGCTTCCTGTCCACCTGCCTGCTTGAACTTTTTACCATATGTTTGCAGTTCCTAAGTGGAGAATGTAGTGTGGGAATCAGACCTGGATTTGAGTGCTGGCTCTGCCGCACGATAGCAGTCACAAAGACATTTATGGAGCTGTTTCCAAGAATCAGATACTGTGCTAATTTTGACTTGTTTGCTGTTTACTGGAATTACGATATTGGGCAAGTGACTTTCTCTGAGGCTTTCTCTGAGACTTTCTCTTTCTCAGTTGTGAAGGATAATGTCTTGCAGTTATGAGGTTGAATGAAGATATTAGAAAGCACCTGACCAGCGCCCCTGACAATGACCACCTTGTCCTGCCTGGGGCAGGGTTGACAGATGGGAGGGAACAGCCTGCTGCGGGGCTGAGGAGAAGCAGGATAGGACCACCTTGGCCTGGGTTGCAGCTCCACATTACAGTCATACTGGGGTGGCTTCGCTCAGAGGACATGCTGGCAGTGAGCAGGCCTTTCCCTGACTCCCCCCAGAACGTTCAGTTCTTACAGTGCTTGAAGTTTTACCTGAGCCCTTGTCAACATGGCCATTGGTCCCGTGGATTTGTGTTGGACCTTTCAGGGTAAGAATTGATATTTCCTTTAGCACTGCAGTGTAGTTGAATGTTTTGTCCCTGTACCTTGGTACTCTGCTTACCTAAACCTCTTAGATGGTTTCAGATCTCTGGCTTATACTTTCAGAATTAGGGAGTACATAAGCTGAGTAGTTCTGGAAAACCACTCAGACCAGGCATAAAGCATGACTGCACCTTGTCTGTCGTCTCCTCCACTCCAGAGGTAGCCACTAGTCTGACTCTGAGGACACGAGATGCATCTCAGCCTTGTTACCCAAGGACTAAATTCTGATGCCTACATCTTGGCCAGGTGTGATTGAATTGCGGCATGGCTGAGGCATTTGAGGCGCGAGACTTCTCCAGGTGATTCTAGTGTGCAGCCAGGGCTGGAAAAGGTCTTTGTAGACTTTATGTTTCCCACAGCTGTGCTTGTCCCTAAACAATGCCCTGATGGCATGCTTTTGAACATTTTGTAAACGGTGCTGTGTTGTTTATATCCACTTTTGCTTTAACTTATTTAACCTTGCTTGGGATGAACCATGTGTCAGTAGCTCTTGTTCAGACATGTCCCTGTGGTGGTGTTCCATTTTTGAAACATACTGCAGTTGATGGAGCCATATGTGCCTGGTGACCACATAGATTGTTTCCAGTGCACTGTTAGGAATGTTAGTGTCCTTCAACATTCTCCCTGTGCACATGTGACTTTCTCTAGGGTATTGTTCCCCCTTTCATGGTGCACACAGATTGTCCTGTTTTTACTTCGGTAAGTGAGGAGACTCTCTGGGTCCCACCTGCCACCTTGGACTGCAGCATTAAGATCTTCCCCCACCCCTGGGAGCACTGCCCTAGTTTATTCCCAATAGGTAATTAGGAGTAGCATCTTCCCCTTCCTTAGATACTGCCAGAGCCCCATCTCAGGTGTCTTTGTCAGTTTACACTCCTCATGGTGGTCTGAGGCCAACACTGGGTGCTATCAAAACTTTTGCTATTGCCAAGTGTATGGCTGTGATTCAGTACCCTGTTTTATTTCTCATTTCCTAATTTCTAGCATGTCAAGCATCTTTTAACTGCCTGAAGCATCTTATTTACACGTTTCCTGTTCTTTTTTTTATTACTTTGCAAAAGTATATGTTCTGGGTCCTACTTCTTTGTGGTTCCATGTTGCAGTTACCTTCTCCCAGTCTGACTTGTCTCAGCATTTTTAATGGTCCTTTTTTTTTTTTTTTTTTTTTACAGTGCTGGGGACTGAACCCAAGGCTTTGTGCATACTGTACAAGCACTATAACACGCTGCTACACCTCCAGCCCACATTTATCCTGAAAGCTTCAATCTACCTCAGTGGTGCTCAGATAAGGATGACTTCTTTTTTGACCCAGGGGACATTTAGTAATGTCCAGAGATACTTTCGGCTGTCATAGCTTGGAGGTGGGGTTGTTGCTGGTGTTAGTGGGTAGACGCCAGGAATGCTGCTAAATACCCTGCATTTACAGGATAGCCTCCATAACAACAGTTATGCAATCCAAAACTCCAGTAAAGCCAAGGCTGCAGATTCTGCCCTAGAGGTTCAGACTCAGGAATCAGGCAGCTTCCCAGAGTCTCAATTTTTTTGTTTTTGTTTTTGTTTATTTGGTGGTACTGGGGTTTGAACTCAGGGCCTTGCACTTTCTAGGCAGGTGCTTTACCACTTGAGCCACTCCATCAGCCCTAGAGTCTGATTTTGTAACAAGTGTTTAATTTGACTTTTAAGGTCAGGAACCTTAAAGATACAGGTTAGAAATACCTTAGCATGGCGAAGAAAGTCAGCTAAGGTTCCCTGGAGGAGGAAGAGAAGGGAAAGGAGAGGCCGGACATCCCTAGACAGAGGAAATACATGGTAGTGTTCTCCTAGGGCTGCGAGGAGGGGAACCTAGCAGTCCAATGGCCTAGCCCTTGGGCAGCCTTCTTACCTAGGTATCCTGAAAGTCACACAGACTCTCTCCTGAGTTCTAGAACTTCTTGTCTCCTGACACCCGTGCTGCTCTGTTCTCCTGCAATAATGATGACATGGGGCGGGCTCATTGTCAAAGACCTACAGCTAATTTTGAATGCTGCCATTAGACTCGTGCTATGTGGTTTTGTGCATTTTCTCATCTTTATGCCAGCTCTTTGAAATACCATTTTTACAAGAGGAAACTGCTTGACAGAGAGCTAGGTGAAATACTGGTACATGTGGCAAGTAGGTGGCGGGTTGGAGTTTCTAACACAGGACCCTGCTCTAAACCACTGTGCCATGCTATGAGATGTCCCAGAGCTCAAACCAGGGCCTCCGGGGCTGTCCCATTCTACTCTCTAGCTTTATTCTTATGGGTCATCGGAGGGGTCCCAGGCAGCCTGAACTCAAACAGCTTTCCTAAACAGCCGTGTACTCCATGATAGTGTGATGGATTCCTCTACTGGCAAGAGGCTGCTTGACGTCTGTTTGCTGTTCTCCATGCAGGCGTTTGAGCTGACTGTTTCTGAGCATAGATTCCTGCTTTAAAAGCAACCAAAATATTTGTAAGTCAGAATGCTAAGTGAAACCTCATGGAGAGCGTGCCTAGCTCTTTTGCCCTTATTTGTCCAAAGTATGATTCCTTCACCACAAGCATTTCCTGGCCACATTCTTGAGCTGGAGCCTAGTGTCACAGTCTGCTTGTTCGTTTAGGGAAACTCTGGGCTGTCACTTGGATAATGGGTTTCAGGTCCTTGCACTTTTCTCAAGATTCTGAGTTGTCCATGTATCACAGGCAAGACATGTACAAGAGTTGAGTGGGTTGCTTGAGGTCCTTTATTATTTGTGGTCAAGCCCTGCCCTCCCCACTTGGGAATGTGACTCTTTATTTGTGCAAATGCAGGGAATAAGCTCCTCCCTAAAGAACAGTTGGAAAAATAATACTGTCTTTCCACATCTTGTCAGCTTTGGGGGGAAAATACTTGATCTGAGGAACATAGGCTATAGGCTGGTATCTACAAGCTGAATTCAGCCTGAGCATGCATTTTATTTGCCTTGTGATGGGTTGATGACTTTTTCTTTTTAAATTAGTTTCCCATCCTTTAAAACTGAGGAGATTCACAGAAAAATCTGAATTTCTGCCATTGCTTATACTATCAGAGCTCAGGCAGCCCTGGGCTTACATTCCTGCCTGGCCACTCTTGCCAGAGAGTGGCTGGAGCATGGAGGCTGCCTGATGAGGGGGTTGGGGAACATGCTCTCCAGCCAGCTGCCTCCTCCACCCGCCCAACTGTACTCACTATATTGCTTGCAGCCCATGTGGGCACCTGAGTTACGTATGATGTTAAGTCTGTATATTGTTGTCTCAGATGTAGAAAGCAGAGGGGCGAGAGAACATCTGTCAGGGCATTGTGATTTACCAGGCCTGTGAAGGCCTCTTCCTTCCTCAAAGCCAGGGTCAGACTCCAGACTACACATTTGCATTGTGTTAACCTAGTTGGGCATTCTTCTTGGTATACCCAGGAAAACAGAGCAGGTGGCAATACTGAGTGAAAAGCTCTCAGGGAAGAAACCAGCCTTCAACAAAAGGCCCAGAAACAGCAGGCTGAGAAGGTTCAAGAGAGGAGCATGGAAACTCACTGGTGATTGCTATAAAGGATATCAAATAGTACACTAAAACTATGAGAAACCACGTGGTAGGAGCTGGATATTGGGTACTAAGGGGTAGAGGGAGGTGGCCAGGCTTGTGACTTAGCTGCTCTTGAGTTTTGTAGCTCTCTGCTTCTAACCCAGGGCCCAGGGGTATAAAGAGGACTCAGGGCAGGGCACAGTGACATCAGGAGTGCAGAAGTCTGTCCTTCTCCCAAACTGGGAGCTAAGAGGGAAGAAAGTAGGGGCACAAAAGGCTTGATTCCTATTTAAGCCTTCTCACTAGGCTGTGCATTGATACTTTCTTCCTGGTGAAGGGGAACAGGAGACACAAAACCCCCTGCCTGAGGTCACTCTGCTAGTCAGGAAGGCCAAGGCTTATCCATCTGTGTGGTTTCTTTTTACTGCTTCCCATTTTCTATTGAGAGATCAGTGGTCTTTGTTCTCATTCTACCTCTTTTCTCTCATTCTCTTCCCAGGCTCCAGTCCTGACTCCAAATACGTATTTCAGGAGAGGAATCTTGATACCTTTAGGCTCTCTAGTGCAGGGATAGTAGTCTAGGGACAAAATTGAAGAGAGCACTGGGAAGCAGAGGGTTGGTCTCCCTGGCCCCTACTCCCAAGAATTCTACTGTGTGTGGTTCTGACCTGCACCTTGGACATTTTCCCATAACTGATGAAAGCACCTTCCATCTTCCTGTGTTGAGTGAGCCAGCTGATGTCAATAAGTGCTTATTGGGAGACGTCATAGGCAGGTTGCTTCCTATGATGGTGCTGGGAACAAGTGAATATGGCCCTTCTCCCGAGGGGTACTTGAGGACTTTTCTGAAAGATGCTTTTACGCTTTGAGGACCTTGGTGTACCATGGTGCTGAAGACCATGGGAATCTGGAGTTGGGATTGTGTCTAGCCACAGGCCCCTCAGGCTGTGTCAGTGCTGCCTAGAGGAAGACAGGTGGACAACTCTCTGTGTGCCTGCTCTCACCTGGGAAGTGGAGGGAGCCAGGAAACACTCCAGTTCTGCTTCATGCCCCCCACAGAAGGGCACCATATAACTAGCTCCTCCCTCCCCGCTGCAGGCTGGATCCTCATTGACCGGTGTGGGAAGCACTTTGGGACAATACTCAACTATCTTCGAGATGGGGCTGTCCCCTTGCCTGAGAGCCGCCGGGAGATCGAGGAGCTGCTAGCAGAAGCCAAGTACTACCTGGTGCAGGGCCTGCTGGAAGAGTGCCAGGCAGCCTTACAAGTAGGCACCCAACATACCTACCGTCCTCCTTTTCCCTCTCTACAGAGTGGGGGCAATCCTTACCTCACTGATGTTGGGAGACATTTTGCAGAGTCAACTCTGGAGCCTCTCTCCTCTGGTCGGAGTGACCCTGAAGCAGGGGTCCCCTAGGAATGGCTGTGCTACTGGAGAGTCTGAATGCAGCAGTTTAGAGTATTATCCCTGCTGTTGGGATGTGGTCATTTGGACCCATTTTGTCCAGGATAGTGCACTAGGCCCCTCTTGGGATGCTGTAAGGGGTATTTGAGGGTACTTCAGAAATACGCTTTTAGACTCTCTGTATGGCACAGGCTACATGCGTGCTTGCTGACTCATTTTAGTCCCCATGCTATTGGGTCATCTCGTGTGTACATTGCAATCCTGCAGTAGTGAATGGTGGGATGTTAAGCAAGATCACTTTTCTGGATCCATCTTGTGACTTATTCTGGCCTTACTGGTCATCATTGGGAGCTCAGCATAATCTCTGCAGACAGGCACCCTTCTCTCCTCAGATGGAATGGGATAGGGTCCATGGGGTCTACCGACAGCAAAGTCACACAAAACAAATATTTTTGAGTGTAGCCAGAGCTCTTTCATTGCAAGCAGAGTTCCGAAATGCTAGACAATCAGAAGAGGCCTTTGGGCTGTCCAAGGAGCATGATTTCTATATGTCAGGTACTTTTTTTATGCCTTCCCTCAGCCATATGGCTGTGTCCAGGTCTGCCCCAGGGCAGTACCTATAAGTACCAAGCTCCTCAAGGTACTGGTTGTGCCACAAGCCACCTCTACCCAAGAACTGCGAATTATCAAAAATCTAACTGAATGCTGAAGCATTTGCATAATTATTTCATTTTTATGTTTATTAAAATAATTCATGCACATCATTTAGGAAGTTAAACAGTATTGCATGGTTGATGTGAGAAACACCACTATATCCTTCCCACCACCCTCGCCCCTGAAGTAGGCTCTTTCCTTTTAGCAGGTTTTTCTGTTTACTTTCATATTTCCACAGAACTTGTTTATACTGCTATTTATTGACTTTTCAGTTTTCAACTCTATCTACTGGCATTGCTATAGAAAATTGGAATTTAGTTCATGCTCTACCCTCTCCTTCCTTCCCCTCCCTGTAGCTTACATATATGTATTGTTCATCACAGTGTTGGTTGAACCAGCATTCAGAGTTAAATTATGATTATAAATATTGTTAACAGTCGAGCCACAGGGTGTTTCATTTGCTTGATTTCCAAGCATATATCCTAATTTAGCCACACATTCTCAGACAGAAGAGTCAGTCTCTCCTACTGGGTTGTTAAGACACACTGGAAATTGTCTGGTTTGTCTTTGTCTTGGAGATAAGCCCTGTGGGTTCCTTTTCTGTAAGTTTGAGATTCAGCCTCCAAAACTGACACCATTCTCTTTCCTCCTCCTTTCTCCTGCTAGGTCCTTCTACTTTCTCAGAGTTGAAAATTTTCTTTTGAAGTTTATCTTTTCAACTCTTGTGTTGAATTTTTCATTTCTGCTATCATGTTTCTACTTTCCAAGAGACTTGTTCCTGAAAGCTGTTTTCATAGCATGCTGATCCTGTTTCAGAGAATGCTGTGTCTGTTTTTGAGTGTCTGATGATACTGTTGAAGTTTTCTTTCTACTCCCCACATTGTCTGACTTCTTCCTAACTTTTTCATTCTTTGTGTTGGTTTCTGTCTCATATTTGGGAAGCTTCCCACCAGTAATCTGAGCTCCTTGGCTTCTGTTAGGCTTAGGCGTAAGATTGAAAAGCTGTGTGTGCAAGCAATCCTTGTCCAGTGAGCTTCGTGGCTGAGTGATAGATTTTCTCAGTAGGGATCCCAGATACCAGAATCTATAAGCCTTTTGGGGACAGATACTAGCTGTAAGAAGTTCTCTACTGCTAGAAATGTTGGTGCTTGCCTGTAATCCCAGTACTCTAGAGGTGGAAGCAGGAGGATCAAGAGTTCCAGGTCAGCCAGGGCTAATAACCAGACCCTGTCTTAAAAACAAACAAACAAAAAAAACCAAAACAAGAAGTATTCTACTCCCTTCTTGGGTGGTGGGGTGTAAATGTGGCTGGCTGCCTTCTGGGATGTGAGTAGGGGGAGAGTTGGCAGCACTAGTGGTGATTTAGTTTGCAGGTGTTCACTTAACCCTCTTACCAGAATGGTGACTCAACCCTGTCCTCTGCTGTGCAAACCACAAGGAAAAGAGACTTTTCTCCTGACAGAGGCTGGGGGTAAGGGATGGATTTGGCTGTTTCTGACTGGAAGCCATGCTGTGTTCTTGCCCTGTGCCCTTTAGCCTGCAGCCGCACTGTTGCTGAAGAATCTGCAGGCTTCTTTCCCATTCACTGACTTGGCTTTCTGATTCACCAGTGGTGGGCTTTCTAGCCTCCAAGTTTTGACACCTTATGTCTCCTGACCTCCATTCTTTTTTCTCCTCCTGTATTCCTCTGCAGTCATTGTAGGGGGTTTATGAGCTTTGGATGAGGTCTGCCATATTGAGGGTTTGGTTTTGAATGGCTTTCCAGGCTGAAGAAACTGTCATCTTGTTAGCATTTATTGAGCACTCTGGCATGTAATAGTCCTAGACAAAGAGCTGACTTACTAGAAAACTCCACTCCTACTCATTTCCCAAAAACATTTGTATTAGCATATGTTCTTTATACATGGGGTTTTATTGTGACATTTCCATATATGCTTACAATGTACCTTGATTAGTCTCATCCCCACCATCATTCTCCCTCATCTCCCTCCCCCATACTTAAAATGATTTCAACAGGTTTTAATGTTCTGTTTTCATACAAGTATGTAAAGTACACCAACCATATTCACCCTCCTTTACCCTCTCCATTTACCCTTTCCTTCCCAATAGTACTCACTCCCCTAACAGGACCTGTTTTACATTTCTGTCCTTCATAATTTAAGCGCATATTCATTGTTCAAAGGTGTTTTGCCATAGTATTTCACCTGTGGATATATTGTATTTTAATAAGATTAACTTCCACTACTGAGTCACTGATAGTGAGAATCCCCTCCTCTTCCCAGCCATGACTGCCCTATCTCCCTCATCAGAGGTGGTTCACCTGGCAGGCCAGCTCAAAAAACCCAGTGTGAGGCATGAGGCCTAGACTTAAAGCATATTTTGTTTCAGCAGAACAAAGATACTTATGAGCCATTCTGCAAGGTTCCTGTCATCACCTCATCCAAGGAAGAACAAAAGCTTATAGCAACTTCAAACAAGGTATGTTGGAGGTACCCCATGGGATTTCTTATGCCACCAGAAATGGTGGAGATTCTTCTCCCTAAGTTTTGACATAAAAATATGTGTAATTGCTGGAGCCAGGCTCAAGCAGGGTTAAGAATGGGAAGCTCCTTTCATGTTCCCCTTAACATTGGATCATGTGCTCTCCCTCTCCCACCAGCAAGCTGTACTTGTCAGCATGCCCTCTTCTGTCTCTGGGCCCTCTTCTGTCTTCCCTCGCCCTTTGGGAAGCCGGCAGCTGCCATGCACAGGCATGCCAAGTAACTCTCTTCTTCCTTTTTTTAAAATAACCCACAGCCAGCCGTGAAGTTGCTGTACAACAGAAGTAACAACAAATACTCATATACAAGGTAAGGAGTCAGACAGAGAAGACACCTCACTTGCTAGGAAACCTTCCTGACACCAGCCAGGCCCAGCCTTCGAGTTCCCTTCAGCTGACCATGGCCCCTTGCACCTGTGGGCTGGGCACATGGCTCAGTAGATAGAGCTTGGAGATGCAATTTACATATGCCACAGAATTATCTTTAAAAACTATATAGTACAATGGTTTTAATGTATTTACAAAGTTGTGCAAACATCAACACTTTCTAATTTTAGAACATTTTCATCACGCTAAAGAAAAAACCCTCTACCCATTATCAGTCACTTCTGATTTTCCTCTAATTACATCCCCTGAAGCCATGGACAACTGCTAATCTACTTTCTGTCCATAGATTTGACTATTCTGGACATTTCAAATGGATGGAATCAAATAATGTGTTGCCTTTCGTGACTGGTTTCTTTCACTTAGTGTAATATTTCCGAGGCTCATCCAGGCCTGTATCTTTAATCAATACTTCATTCCTTTTTATAGCAGAATGATACTACATTGTATGGATAGACCATATTTTGTTTATTCAGTCATCAGTTGGTGGGCACTTGGGTTATTTCTATTTTTTGGCTATTATGAATAATGTTGCTATGAACACTCGTGTAGGTTTTTTTCTTTTTTTTTTTTCATGTATAGGTTTTTGGTGGACATGTTTTCATTTCTCTTGAGTAGATTCCTAGGAGTAGGATTGCTGTACCATATGAGAACGCTGAGTTGCGCTATTATGTAGCTGTATATGTAGGTTTCTAGAATGCCTTTTGGCTTTCCTGGGAACATGTGGATATAAATCTAGATCTTTAAGATAGAGGGGAAGTTTAATGAGGTTGTTCGAGACCTATAAACTTTAAACTTAGGATTTAAAGTGCCCCTCATGGGGCTCAATGAAGTACCCACACACACACCCACACACACCCACTCTGGTGCCCATGCCCTAAGGGTCCTGCACAGGGTAGGCTCTCGAGCCTGCTGGTTAGGAACACACACTTATGGTCTAAAGCTGTTTTTTTTTTTTTTTGAGACCCATCGCTGCCATTTATTAGTTTTTGACCTTGGACAATTAACCTAATTTCTCTGACCATCGTTTTCCTTCTTTGAACAAAGAAGGAAAGTGCCTTTCTCATGAGGTTCTTGTAAGTTGAACTGAGATAAAAGAGAAAAAATGAACCTAGTGGGGTCCTGTGTGTTAGAAGTGCTCAGCAAATAGAGTGGTTATTACCAGCTTATGATCACCTTATTGAATATTCTTTTTGCAGCAATTCTGACGACAATATGTTAAAAAACATTGAACTGTTTGATAAGCTGTCTCTGCGCTTCAATGGAAGGGTCTTGTTCATAAAGGATGTCATTGGGGACGAAATCTGCTGCTGGTCTTTTTATGGTCAGGGCCGCAAGATTGCTGAAGTCTGTTGTACTTCCATAGTCTATGCTACCGAGAAGAAGCAGACCAAGGTAAGAACCTGGAGAGGACAGTTCTGAGCAGCTGCTGTAGGTTATAGAGAACTTTTTTCCGCTCAAGCAAAGCAAACTCAGTAGGGGAAGCCTTTTAAAATGCTTTCCTTGCTCTGTGGTTATTCATTGTGAGACTGATTATCTTTGGAGCCCTAGAAAGATGGAAATGTAGGTCTTGGAGAAACACAGTGCTATTCCTCAACAAGTAGAGACAGCCATGCTACACCGTAGTTCCTTTGCTATACCTATGGATTCAGATTTATCCTTAGACATGTGTGTTTCCTGCTTCAGTGTTTTCTCCATCTGATCAGTCATTTTCCTGACATTGCCTAAGCTGCTCCTCATCATCAGATCTTGACTTTGGCTTTGTGGTCATGTCTTACCATTTACTTGCCATCTGTCTGTCTGTCCTCTTGCCCACTGACCTGGAGTTGCCCTCCATTCTCATAGGGCCAATATGTCATTCCACCTCCCACCCTTGTTGACTTTCTTATGCACACTCTTAACTCTGACTGAACTGGACTCTGGATTTACCGTGAGATCATCCTCTTCAAACCAATAGTCTTGACCTCTCCCTTGGCTTTTTCTGCTGAGACATCTGCAAAGCTAGATTGTACAGCAAAGTGCTGCTAGAGGTCCAGATCAGTGTTAATTAAACATCATGCTCTCTGGGCCTTCTCCTTGCCTCCACTCCCTTCCTCTTCCCTCACCTCTCCTCCTTTGCCCCCCTCTTTCTATTTCTCTTTCAGCTTTTAATCATACTGAACATTCATTTCTTTTTCAACCTAAGGGAAATCTGATTACCTGCGACATACAGTAGGTAGGTCTGCCATAAGCAGATTATCATGCTTCTGGCCACCTGTCAGTCTTACCTGCTCAGGTTGCCATTGTGCCTGCAGCTTCGGGAGGCACATAGTGAATTTGGATCTGGCCTCAACCAAAACAGAAAATTGAGAGAAAAGCAGACCAAAAAAAGAAATAAAGCCTTTTTTCCCCCTAACTTATTACTGGAAATTTAAATCATACCCAAGATTAGATAAGTACAGATGGGCACAGTGGCGCACACCTGTAATCCTAGCTACTTGGGAGACAGAGATTGGAAGGATCATGGTTTGAGATCAGCCTAAACAAAAAGTTTGTGAGACCTCATTTCAGCTAATGACTGGGTGTGATGGCATGTGTCTGTCATACCAGCAATGCAGGGAAACATAAACAGGAGGACCAACATCCAAGCTGGCGTGGCTATAAAGTAAGACCCCACTTCAAAAATGTAATGCAGAAAGGGCTGGCAGAGTGACTCAGGTGGTAGAGTTGCCTGCCTAGCAAGCCTGAGGCCCTGAGTTCAAACCTCAATACTGCCCCCCCCAAAAATACAGTGATATCATCCATTCTCAATGGCCTCTAGCTCATGGTGGCTTTTCCTTCATCTGGGCCTATTCCCTCTCCCCAACACAGGATTGACTTGACAACCTGTTGCATTCGTAAGTATTCAGAATATATATATTTTAAAAGATGTAAATTGTTTCTAAGGTAGCCAAGAAGGGACAAACACTGAGATTCTTTTTTATTTCAAAGATGGCAGGGGGACCAGACCACTTGCTCTCCTTGTCATGCTAGCAGATGACACCATGTCTCCTCTCCTGTGAACTTTGTTTTAGGGTATGACTACCTCCTCTAACAAGACCCCATTTTGTCATGGTTTGCATTTTTAAAATATGCCTGGGTTGCCTTTTCCCTTGGGTAGTAAAAGGATAATCATCATATTGACTGCATTTTAAAATACTCAGATTTCTCATGTTTAGAGCTTAATAGGGAGCAAAGGGATTTAGAGGCCATGTCTGAACCCAGCTGTTTATAGATGAGCACACAGCTCATCCCATGGGAGGCCAGGGTCTCTCTCCTTTGCTGTGTGGCCACCATCTAGGGGCTTCTTCCTTTCTTCAGGGGGAACCTGTGGGGTTGATTTGCTAACTACTTACTGTGCCTGGGCTTGCCTCTGAGGCCACCCAGTATGAAGCTGCTAAAAAAACCAAAAACACAAAACAGTTTCTCCTCACCCTGCTGAGCCCACCCTTCTCATCAGAAGGGAAGGACTCAACCTATGAGTTTTGAGTCCTACAGGCTCCTCCTTGTAGGAGAGCTTTGTTGGCTGCCATGAGATTGCTGGGGCTTTGGTGCAAGAGCACAGACAGAACAACTGGGAACTTGGCTGCTCTGTGTGTGTTAGACGCCATTGGCCCTTCAGCCACTCCAGGCCTTCTGGAGCTCTGTCCTGGTGCCTGGCTCAGGGTTTTGGGTGGCGTCTGTGCTGGTTGGGCTGAATGATAAACACACTGCTGGTACCAGCTTTCTCCCAGTCCTGTTCTGTGTGCTCCTTGCTTAGCTACTACGTGGTCCTCTCCTGCATGGTAGCTCCAGGAGAAGACCGGGTGGAATGTGCTCACTCCATCTGTCCTGCAACACCGTCCTTTAAAACCAAGTCTGGTCTGTGTGTCATGTGTCTGGGACGCTCTCATGCAGCCCTCTTGTTCATTTGGCGCTTCATCAAAGTGGGAGGGATCATGCCTATTTCTTAGGGTGTCTAGCTGATGCCTGTTCGGAAAGAAGACTGTCCTAAAGCCTGCCTTCACTTGACTGCACCGCTATTAGTAGCAATGTGTTGGAAATGACCAAATCCCCAGAAAAGTGTTTTTTTAATTCTTTTTTTTTGAATATGTTAAATGTGTTTTTTAATCCAGTCTAAAAGTCCCTATCTTTTTTTTCTCATTAATTTTTTCTATTAGGATATATTCGTTGTACAGGGTGGATTCATTGTGACAATTCCAAATAGACTTATATTGTACATTGGTTAGATCGCCCCCACCATCTCTTCCCCTTGACCCCCTCCCTGCCCTACTTAAAACTATTACAAGAGGTTTTCTTGTTCTATTTCGTGTAAGTGTATAAAGTCATCAGCCATATTCCCTCGCCTTAATCTCCTGTATTTACCCTCTCCCCTCCCACACACTGTAACCACCCCCACACTGTACATGTTTTACAGTCCTATAAAAGTGGGCTTTTGATTGCATTGTCAAATTTTTTACAATTCCTTGATGTGAAATGATCTCCAGTTAAGCTAGGGACAGGACTATGTGGTAGATACATTTTGTAGCTTTTTTTTTTAAGTGTGAGAGTATATGTATGAATATTCATGTATATGAGATCTCTTAGGGTAAAATGATAAGAAGTATTGCCTTTTAAGAGAAACTGGGGGAAGGGAGGACAGGGAGCCCTATTTCACTGTTTCCCCTTGGTCTCTGGAGAATTTAGCACCACGTATAATGTTGTCTGTTGAAAACAACTAACTTAAAAATAATAGCATCTTTATGGGCATCCTAGGGCCTTGTTATAGCCTATGGCCCTGTGAGAAATATAGGTGGTGCCGAGATGGTGGGCTGTGTGTGTATCATGCTAACTTACTTGCCTGTACTTTGTGGGACACAGGTTGAGTTCCCTGAAGCCAGGATTTATGAGGAGACCCTGAATATTTTGCTGTATGAGGCCCAGGATGGCCGGGGACCTGACAATGCGCTCCTAGAGGCCACAGGTGGGGCAGCTGGACGCTCCCATCACCTGGATGAGGATGAGGAACGGGAGCGGGAGAGGATTGAGCGTGTGCGGCGGATCCACATCAAGCGCCCAGATGACAGGGCCCACCTCCACCAGTGAGCAGGCAAGAAGACTGAGCCACCTTCCTCCATCCTCCCTCCTCTCTCCCTACCCTTCCACACTCAGATCCTATGCAGGCTTCCAGCACCTTCCAATTCCCCTGGAGTCTGGAGATACTTTTGTAACAAGCCAGATAATTATTTTGATATTTCTCGACAAGGTGGATTGATTCTGTCTTGACCAGGTATATGCGCCCCTTTTGTTGAACAAGCTGTGTCTAAGGTCTCTACTTTTCGTGATTATTCCGAGAATCTGTGGAGCCAGGCTTTCTTGATTCTCAGAGGAAAAGTACGAATGAGTGTAAAGTGTATGTGAGAACTTTTGTTTGCAGTATTTATTTTTGTGGGTGTTGACTACCTATTAGAGCTTCTTGAATGACACTCCCTTAAAGGTTTGGTTTGACAATTCTGGGGGGTGGGGTGGGGCGCTGCAGTTGACAGGAACCAGAGGTGTTTGTGAGTTAACATCCCATAACCTTCCAGCCTAGGCAGACTGGTCCTGGTCCCTGTGCGTTCTGACAGTTACAGCTTCAACAGTGGAAATGGGACCCAATGAGCATTCTGCCTCTAAGTTGTTCCTTAATTTTTGTAGCTGTGGGGGCAAAACCTTAAGGAGCAAACTTTTTGCCACCTTGACTGATACCTACCATGTCTGGCAAGGATCAGAGCTTTCCCTGGCAGCGAGTGCTCAGCTCTCTTCCTGGCTCCTCCCCCGATTCCTGCCCCTTCAATTGCTGTCCTTGTTGATGCACTCCATTCCAGGAAGGTCACCTGACCTCCCTGCAGGAATAGCTCACAAACTGCTACTCCACAGAATCTTCTCTGTCCCTTCAGCCTTGCCTTTTGGTCAGAAACTGCAGTCCCAGATGCTGTCCTCCCAGCCCAGACAGGGACACCATTCACACTACCAGCGGCACTGTAGCTTGCCTGCCTGTGTTGGGGCTGTTTCCCTGTTGTAAACCACTGTGCCCTGGTGCTCCTGTCTTGTCTTTGATTTTGATGCAGAATAGAATGACCAAGGGTGAACAGGCTGAAAGAGTGTTCAGACAGTTGTGGGTCTGATTTGTGTTCATGTTTGTTAAAGGGATGTATGAGACTATTGGTGGGGATGTGTGCTTGTGGGGCACAGGTGCCCCACGCTGGAGTCTTGACTGTGTGCATGGTGCTTGTGTAGGATGGACGTTCTTAGTTACCTACCTCCCAGTTTCCTCTGCACCTGCACAGGAACAGAAGCAAGTCGTGACTGACATGGATGGTTGAGTAGACTAGGTAGAGTAGTTACAAGGAGATGTGAATGTGTGTTGGGTAATGGACGGATTTTGTCTGCTTGGCAAGGAAATTGTTACTGTTTTATACCAAAGGTATTAACATAGGCAGCCTTTGACACATGTATTCCAAAAAGCGAGTTTCTATTTTGCAACGGTTTTTATGTACTGCCCTACCTGTGACAGTTGTATGCCTTTCTTTTTATCTAGCAGAGCCACAATAAACCTTTCAAACAATCATGACTGAAACTAAAAGCCATGTTTTGGGTAGATAGTTTTTAAACTGTTGGTATGGGACAATTTTATATTAGGCCATTTGGGTTTTATTAAGTGCTAAGGAAAGGGAACTTACAAAATAATGTTTTGTAATTATTTTATACTGTTTAAGTTTTAAATACCAACCCTTGCTACTGGGGTTAAACTTTTTTAGAAAGTTAATGTCAGTTCTGATGTTTTCTGTAGGAATGAAAAAGCCACTGTATAAATTCTGTTCTTTAAATGTCTGCATACAGAGTAAGTTTGTGGAGCAATATCATTCGTTTTGGCTTCTTTGCCTTATGACCTACATCTCCCTTCCCTCTTCCTCCAGCTTTGCATGTGAGTTATGTATCTTTGCCTCCCAGGGATAGGAGCAGGTTTGTAAAACATTCCATGGTGAATGGGTCAGCTACATCTAGCCAGCCAAGAGTTGTCAGGCAGTGTCAGCTGGTCCAGACCGCAAGAAACTGACTTTTCTTAGGCCAGCACAAAGGTGGAAAGTCAATATTTGTATTTATGAATGATCCAGGTATAACACTGGCCTAATATTTGGTAAATAGTAAGGCTTTATTATACTGTAATAGCTTACACTTAAGACAGAAATTGGTCCACGGTAATCAAGTTCAGGGTTCTGAACAAGTCATCGAATGACTGGGTCCTGTGCCTGCGACAGATCCTTGCCCACCCTCTCTTGTTGCCTTCCTGAGGTGATAAGCTGGGTGACCTCTGTGCAGGTCCTGTCCTGTTCAAGTGTGTTCACCTGGACCTGGACTTTACAGCTGCTTTTTATATTTAGCACCTGTGTGTGAACACCACTCAGCCCTCCGCTGGAGGGATGCTGTCTTCAGGTCTCCACCCAAAGTCGCTGTAACCTTTAAGCATTTCATTAACCTTTCTGTCTCTGTGCCATGAAAAAAGATGCTGTAAGTTTGAGAAACAGTCACTATTTCTGTCTTGTACAAGCATTTGTGGACATATGTAAAATAAAAGTTACACCGTGCTGTATTGGAATCTGTCTTCTGGGTCTTTGCAGAAATGCCCAGCACAGTCAAGCCATTGAAGTGCAGTTGACAGCAGAGAGCAAGGCATTGCTCCTGCATTCTGCTTTGCACCTTAAAGTTGCTCACTGTGGAAGGAAGAGATGAGTCATTTTTCTGTAGTGTTTGATTTTAAACACTGAAAGGAAGTCGTGGGGTGGAGGTGGGGCTCCACTCTGGGACCTAAAGAGCCTATCTGCTTACTCCAGTTCCTTGAAACTTGTAAGTTTCATTTATTTAAAGCAAAATTCAAATTTTGCAGCTTTATGGAATTTCATTTACTTAGTCTCAGACCATAAATAATACTTTATTGTGTCTCAGGGGCAGCTTAACAAAAGGTGAATAATCTGTTGCCCACCCTGTAATGACATGCTAACATGCCCATTGCATGTAGGTCGTGCTGGGGACATTTAAAACCATCCTTTGGACAAGTGGAGCTTGGGTCCCTGAAGAAGACATTTTATTATAGTGACTCTGGCCACTGAAAAGCTGGGGTCAGGCTTTGGTGGAACACATCACTCGGTTTCCTCAGGTGTGGTCCTTTTCCAAGAGCCGCTGGCATTTTCCCTGAAGATGTAGCTAACTGGATCAAATTCTGCTTCTCCTGGTACTTTCCTCAGAACAGAAATGGTGATGGTAGAGGTCAGATGTCATCCTCTATCAGGACTTCCTCCGGACTGACACCTGGGGAGAGCCACACTTGGCTTGAGAGCCTTCTCAGCTGCCCTCACTTGGAAGGAAGCAGTTACCACATCAGCACGCAGCATTATCCAGCTGGGTATGGATGAGCTGAAAAGCCAGCTCCATCTCCCATGGGACAGGTCAGATTTAGAAAGTGGCTCTGCTGAGGCCTGTCAGCATCTTCAGCCTGAGGCATTCACAGAGGAAGATAGACTGTGGCTGCACCCTCTGGTGTAAGTTTTAAGACAGCATGTCTTGTAAACTGAACAACTGCCTTAGAGTTAACTTTCAAATTCTCACTTTAACATGTACCTTGAAGGAGGCCATTATGCTATAAAAGACACTCTTATATGCCATTCACACCCACAAAACAATTTTACATGTAGGTTAAATATGTGTAAATGTAAATGTATATGATGTACATGACACCTTTTTTTTTTTTTGAGATTTGGGTCTTGCTATTTTGGCCTTGAACTCTCAGCCTCAAAGATTCATCCCCCCCTGCTTTTACCTTTGACCTTCCTAGCAACACAGTCATCTGTTTCCCGGATTACAAAGAGTTTCCAAATCTGTGTCCAGACTGGAATCTGCATGCATGAGTCCCTCCCTTGAGTACTGTGAGTCACTACCCAGAAAAGCCTTTTTGACCCTCGAACCAGTGCATGGTACAGTTGGGGAGGGCCAGGCACTGAAGTGCCTCGGCTCAGATTCTTCAGGAGAGGGCAGTGGCTCCGAACCTCTGTGCCCATTAGACCTGGGCTCTTAAATCCCAAAGCCCAGGCCAGTTAAGGTGGGACTAGAGCACCCAGGTTCCAGTGGGGAGGTAAGATCAGAGAATCCTTTGTCACCCAGTAGGAAGCCAAACACTTAAGACTGAGAAGTATTTAATGGCAACTCTGGTCAGCCTTTTCCCCTTCTCACTCAGTGTTTAAATTCATTCTTTTAGTATGAATTTCCTCCTGTATTTCAGATGCAAAATGAGGACTAGAGGGGAAGAAATGAACTCTTTTTAAACCTATATTCTCATCTAAAACTGCTTACCTCCTTCCCTCAAACAGCTACTCACCACTGTTAGCTGTCCATTTTTATCTTTATAAACTTGTTCTTCTGATCCAGAGTCGAAAACTATTGTGCCTTCTTTTCCAGGACTGATATAAAACTGTAAGCTTAAAATGCACAAAATGACCAGTTACCAACTTTCTGTTTTCTTCCCTCAGCCTTTGGTCTGCAAAAGAAATTCACTCAGGACATGCTGTTAGTTTTACAATTGAATTCCTGATTTATAAAAGTGTCTTACTGCACATTTGAGTGATCAAAAGAAGACCATTTCCGTGAGTGGGCAGCTGGGGTGCCTCTGTATTTATCCTCACATCAGCTCAGCCCATCCAGTTCTAAGGGCCAGTGTGACACCCGAGGAATCCACACATATTTATGACTAAAAATCCTTTTTTTCCCCCTGCGGTACTGTGGGTTGAACTCAGGGCCTTCACCTTGAGCCACTCTACCAGCCCTATTTTTGTGAAGGTTTTCGAGATAGGGTCTTGAGGAACTATTTCCCCTGGCTGATTTCAAACCGTGATCCTCCTGATCTCTGCCTCCTGAGTAGCTAGGGTTACAGGTGTGAGCCTCTGGTGCCCAGCCTGGCTAAAAATTCTTACAGTGATCTAACTGTTCCCTCGGATCTCAGCAAAAGAGACAATACTTTACAAAAGTAACCAACTCACTCTCCCTATTCTACCTATGAATTTCCCCCATCAGGTTGTTAAAAAAAAAAAAAAAAAAAAAGCAGGAAAAACACGGTTGTCTGTCTCCAGGAGCAGCATGCTCCCATGGGGGCTGTGTGGGTGCATTGCTAAATTGTGGTACATGTTAGGTGTGAGAACGAGAATCACGTGTGGGCATTTGGGCCACACCCCCACACTGGCCAGCCATGCACCTTCTGGCATGCCAGGTAACTTCTGCTCCACTTGCCTCGCCTGGGAAATAGAAAAGGTGGCCACTGTTTCAGAGTCAAGAGAATTAAATAAGGGGATTTGGTTCTGCATGTTAGGTATTTTTCTTTTAAACCCGTTCTCTGATAAATCTGCAGGTAACCTGCAGAGCTATGGCTCCAGGCATGGAAAGCTCTACTAGGCATCCACTGCAAAGGTGTAGCTGTGCCCTGCCTGGGCCCAGGGGTCCACCTTGCTCTGGGTGGCTGGTGACAATGTCTCTCAGGAACAAATGCACCTCCTTTGAAAACTTCGTGTGAAGACTATTAGTTCCTGTGGTCAGTGAGTGAGCACTGACCTCCTCATTTCCCTGGAGTCCAAGGGCAGGTGGGCAGCGGGGGCACTGTTTCATTTTGAAGTACTGGGAGTTGAATCCAGGGCCTTGGGCATGCCAGGCAAGCACTCTGGCACTTGAGTCACAACCCCACCTGCGAAGCGTTGTTATCGGGGAAGGCAAGGGGAAATCCTTGGAGCCTCCCTTCCCTCCTCATTGGAGCCTACTTCGCGGGGAGGAGGCAGGCATGGGCGAAAGACCAACCTTTGCATATCCTCTGTCAATCAGTCTATCAATGCTGAGTTACTTTCAATTCTGAGTGCAGATGAAGCCACCTACCTTCCTTGAACAACATGTACAACATTCTCCTCCTTAACCAGCATGACAAGTTTAGTAACTGCTTCAAATACATGCTCACATTGTAAGATGGCGTCCCCCTGGTGAAGAGATGACAGGGTGCTTTCAGTATTAGTGGTTTAAAAGAAAATCACATAATAGCTCCAATACTGAGGTCTCATGGAGCTGGACTTAACATTTCATCAACTTAAGATTCCCCTCTTTCAGCAGACTGATGGCTGTCAATCACCTTTTGCTTGTGGTCCTCTGGGGAAACATGAATGACCAAGATTCCATCACTCAGATTGCTAGTAGAGACACCTTAAAATAGATCCAGAGTTAGGGCCAAGAAGTGAGCAGCTTGACATGAACAGAAAACAGAAGAGAGGAGCCCAGGGACTCCCTGCTGTACCTTTCTTCCTCCCAGCTGGGCCAGGCCAGGGGCTGCTGGGTGTCCTCCCACCCATGTCCCCCATTTGCAGGCTTCTTCCTGGCCGAGTCAACCCTGGGAGCAGTCCTAAGACTGCCTGCTCTTACCTTTGAGTGCTGAGTACTCTATTTTCTGCTTGACTTTGGCAAGTTCTACCACGTAAGCTGCTTTCTGAGTAAGGATGAGTTGCCGTTGCCGCGCCTTAAAGCCTTTCCTGTCATACTTGATGACTGGGACCCCATACTGCAAAGAGGCTAATGTCACCACGAAGGGAGGCTTCCTTGTCACCATGAAGGAAGGGGGCCATTCTGAGTTTGTTGCTGCTCAGAATCTGGTGAAGTTGCTTCAAGCACTCACAGAGACTCAGACATTTTACATAAGCACATTTTCCCCTGTGCCCTGGTTCTGTGTGGAAGATTTTAATTTCCAGTCTACCTTACTGTGTGGCCCTCTGAGGAAACTTAAGACTGACCACCTGCCTCAGAGGTCTGCTCTGAGAAGCTAGCGGAGAGGAAATCACTCTGGACTCACACCCTCAGCCAGAGAGGAATCCGCTCCAGTCACATGGCCTGCTGTTCTCCAGGGAACCAAAAGAACAAGCGGCAGCCACGTACCAAGGTTTGCTGCTGCTACTTGCAGGCCAGGTTGTGTCCTAAAAGCTTCACCCCTCCCTGCACCTCATCCATTCAACCATCCTGTGCTCCACAGCCACACAACATTAAAGGCACCCAGGATCTCCCAGCCGTGATGGCAATACACAGTCCACCCCCTGCCCCTCACCAACATTTGGATGTTTCTGGATGAATCCCTGGGCTCACCTCTCAATTTCATAGAAAAGCAATTGAGGCGGTTTTAGAATAAACAAAAGACCCAAGGAACAGCAACAGGTAGCTGATCGTCATATGTCACCCTATAATCTTAGTTAAGACTCAGAGCAGCAGTTAAGAGCCCTGGCCCACCCAGGTGCTCCCTTGCATTTAAGAGTATTCCAGACACTTGTAGAGAGTGTAGCCCATTCTCAGATATAAGGGCTCTTGTTGGAGGCCAAGGACACGTTTCCTTACCTGGATTTTCTCACTGCCAATTAATTGAAGCACTTTGGGATTAATGTCTCCTTCATCTAGGGAAGGAACCAGAACGCTGTGAGTCATCGCTAAATACCAACCCTATAGAGAAGGCTCAGCTCCCTGCTGGGTTTGTGCTCCTCCATGCTGAGGCCTCAGCTGTCAGGAAGTGTTACAGAGTGGAACATCTTCCCTTGACTGTCGTAGAACTGAAAAGCTGAGTACATAGAGAAAGCGAACTTACCTATCCGACTGTTGGCAAAGGGCTGGTTTAAACTTTGTGCATAGCCTTCTTTCTTTCCCCTGAATATTTCACTTGCAACCACCTTTTGCTGCATCTGGTAATACATAATTAAAAGTGCAAAAATGGTAGCCCTGAGACGGTTGTAAGGAGAGAGGAGCTTAGAGCCATGGTTCTGTATATGCTGTGCTGGATATGCCTTAGGAACCTTGTGGCACTTGGGCAAAGAAGTCAGAACACGTTCCTGCTTTGGCCATATGCCCCCAAAATTATACCGGTAGACACTGAGGTTGACACTTTTGCAGCTCCCCTTACTTGCACAGGCTTCCTGAAAGTGGACTTCTCGGACTTTCAAGAGCAGTTCCTCTCTTCCAGATCAGTGCAGGACAGACTACAGTTCATGGGTCACATGCAGCCAGCCACCCATATTTGTAAGGTTTTATTGAAACATATCTATGGCTGTCTCCCTGCTGCAGAGCAGAGCTCGGTGATTACAACAGAGGTTATGTGACTTACATAACCTCTAACCCGTCTCAGAAAGCACCTGCAAGTAAGCATCCTCCAGTGGAAAGGAGTCAGCATCTCTTGCAGTGCAGGGGCCATCTGGGTTCTGTTCCCCTGGTAACTGTACAGGGATGCTGACTGTAACAGCAGCTGTCATTCTTTCTCAACTCATCTATAACTCTTGGAACCAGCATGACACTTGACTGGTATGGGAATGGTGGACTGGCCCTCACCCTCTGCACCATCCTCCCATGCCACAGATGCTACATCCCTACCATGGCTTTCCACTCAGCAGTGACCCCACGGCAGTACTTCCGAACCAGGTTCCTGGTGCACATTTTCCTGAGCAGATCTGAAGCCTGTGTGGAGAACACATACTTTTTGATCATCTGCCTCACTCACACTCTATCTTGGGCTGTGGTAGCCAAAACAGAAACTTTTCAAACACAGTGGTATTTAGTTTTAAGTACAGCATGAATATTTTATACTCAAAGTAGCTAGCCTTCCAGGTTGGTACTAGTTTTTCTTTCTTTTTCTTTATTTTCTTGATTTGTTTTGTTTTATACAGGGTCTCACTAGGCAGCCCAGGCTGTCCTTGAACTAACTCATTATCCTCCTGTCTCCACCTCCTGAGTACTGTGATTCCACCACGCCTGGCTTGGTTCTAGCTTTTCAGTATTGCTTAGTTAGTGCTTCTCAAACTCAGAACATGGCTATGAGTTGCCTGAGGGGCTGGTGGTCTGAGATTCCCAGAGACTTTGATGAAGTGGGTCTTGGATGCAGCCCAGAAATCTTAACAGTAACCCTCACTCTATGTCTCAGACACACAGGGTCCTAGACCATCCTGTGAGAAATCTTGTGGCAGTCTCTAAATCCCAGGAAAACTACATCAAAGATGGAAACCAAAAATGCTCTGTCACTGGGTGTGGTGGTGCCCACCTGTAATCCCAGCACGCAGGAGGCTGAGGCAGGAGGATCATGAGTTTGAGGCCAGTCTGGACTACACAGTAAGACCTGTCTCAAAAAAAAAAAAATGCCCTGTCTAAACAGACCTCCATTGGCTTTATAATTCCAGTAAGGATATCATGAATTCTAAGTTAAATTTCAGAGTGACATCCTCATAAGGAAGTGCTTTGCAAGGCAGCCCTGTGAAGCCAGAGGTAGGCAGCACAAAGAAATACAGGAGACGAATTCGGTCAGTTCCTGGTCACCTGTAACATCAGACTCCCAGACCAGTCCTTACGTTTTCCAAGATGCCAGGAGGCCTCAGCCAGCTCTTGTCCAACACGTCCTTTGGAACGTGATACCGCAGGTTCAGGATGTAATTCCTCCGCACGAACACTATGAACTCCTCATTGTCAGGACAAAGGGGTTTGTAGCGATTGATGAATCCCGTGATGAACCTCGAGGAAAGCGTTTTGTTCGGTTTCTGGTCCACTTCCTCAGACTTGCGTTCTCTCCCCACTCCTTTGATTCAGAGGAGGCCAAAGTGATAGGGGTTCTTTACATGAGCACGTAGGACCAGAGCCAGTAATGCAGCCACAGGCCAAATCTGCCTTAAAGGCAGGATCAAGTTCACCCACACTGCCTTTTGTTTTAACTAACTTGAATTGGTTGCCAATTAAAAAAAAAAAAATGAGAGGCTTTACGTAAAGGCCATGCAGCTTTCCTTGAAAATCGAGCCACCTGGCAGCACACCCAGCTCATCTTCACCACAGCAGCCCCCTGGGGCAGAAGAGTTACCACGGACCTACTGAAATGGCCTGAACTTTCTGGTTGGCTGCAGTCTCCACCACGCCCTACTGTCTTATCCCACCTCATGGGACTTGCTCACTTTGCCTGCCCAGCACCAAAAGACACTTGACTTTGTGACTTTGAACTAGGCTAAGAGAAGTCACAAGCACACCTAGTTGTGAACACCAAATTTGGGCACACAGAGCACAGACATGGAGCTTCCCAGCAGCATCCTGAAGGACATGTCTCCTTTCTGCACTAACCCAGAAGTCACAAAAGCTCAACCAAGCCCACGCCTCCTCCCCGCTCTGCATCTAGTAAGCTGTCCTCCCTGTCATACCTTCTTATTATCTGCACAGCCCACTTTCTCCTCTTGATCTCCTTCCGAGCCAGGGCTCCACGCCAGTGGGCTTCCAGTTTGGTGGCTGTAAGAGTCCACTGCTGGCATTAGAAGGTGAGCACAATCATAGGGAAATACAAAAGGCTTTTCCAGAAGGATCCATCCACTTAGCACACATCAGGGTGCCCATCAAAGTGCTTTGCTGGTACATGCAGTCAGATGCATGTCATCAGGTCATACTTGGGGTGCTCAGAAGGCAACAGAATCAGGGAGGCAGAACAAAGAGTGCCACGGGCAGCATCAGGAAAGCTGGAAGTTATGTGAGGGATTTCCCAGGTCTTTTTCAAGGACAAGAGTGGCATCTGTGATGGCATAGATTAGTCTTACCACCCTGTTTAGTTTCTTTCACCCAACACTTAGTTGTCTACATTTAAAAATTTGGATATATAAATTGGGACACACAAAAATTAGATCCAGGCTTGTCTCCCCATTGTTAAATACTTTTCAGATTTTTTCCTTTTTGGTTATTTGGATTTTTTTAAAATGTCTTTCTGTTCTTCCCTACAGCAGCACTATTACAGACTCAAACAAGCAACTGAAAGTAACCCAAGTTTTCATCAACAGATCTAGACTGTGTGATATACCTATAACTCAGGGGCTGGCACACTATGGCCTGAGGGCTGGCTGCCTATTTATATAAATAAAGTTTTATTGCAACACAGCTATGCCTATTCATTTTCATACTGTCTAAGGCAATTTTTTTGTTTGCTACAGTGGTAGAGTTGAGTAGCTATGATAGAGAACTTATCCACAAGTTTAAAATATTTACTGTCTTGCCAGCCTCAAACATGAGGGAATTTATTGGTTAGCAATGTATCCATATATGGTAAAACTATAAAGAAAAACAAAGGATAAGAAGGGCAAAATTCAACAGAGAGATTACGTCTATGACATGGGGATGGGGACATCACTTGAATGATTTGGGGGACTTCAAGGGTCTTGGGGTGTTTCAAATCTTTAAAAAAAATTCTTTAAATGTGGACAAATAAAACATATCCATGGAACAAATATAGACTACTATGTCAAAATTTCTTGGTCAATAAGGTAAAAATGAGAAGAGACCCTCGAAATGGGCCCGAGGCAACCCTCCCCTCATGTTTTCAAGGATTGGCAGGGGGAGAGAGCTTGTACCTCCAGGTGCCAAATGGAGAGAGGGAAGGCGTCATTCTGGTGGGTGGGCACACTGGCAGGCTTCGGTTCCCCTCTTACCTGCTTGTCTTTTTCTCACATATTCTCTTCTTCCTAGGCAGCCTTTGTATGTGGCTTGGATTCTCGCAACTGGAAATAAAAGTTTTGGTGAATGTGCCTTTTTGGTTGTGACTTCCAGAGTGGGGGACCTCATAAGTGGCCCTCAGAAGCCTGTATTGATGACAGGGAGCCAAGTCAGTATCTCAGAGCTTGGCAGGTTACCTTAGCCCTAACTTCTAAGCATTGTCTAACAAATTTCCCCCGGGGTAAGGAAGAGACTCAGAGGTAAGAGCCCCGTAACAAGTTAGGCCCCAACTAGGAAGGCAGGCAGGCATTGCCAGCAGGTTTTTACCAGTAGGCACCCACACTCAGATGGGGTTGCATGTTAGGTCTGAGGTGACACAGCCACTAAGGAGAGTGAGCCCAGGGCTGAGTGACCACCCTGAAGCTTCTCCATCCTGTCAGTCCCTCCACTCCCTCCAGAAGCCAAGTTCATGTAGGGCTTTGAAGATCACAGCTTCAACATCTCCTGGGAGCTGGGCAGGAATACTGACTTAGCCCTCTGCAGCCTGGCTGGACCAGCATCTGTGGGCACCTGCTGCTGTAGAGGTCAAAAATGAGACCAAGGGTAGGGATTACAAGCCTAGGCCTTGAACCCTCATTCGAACCTGGCTCTGCTTCTTACTTGCTGTGTGGGCTTCTGTGGGTCACCAACATCTCTGTGTCTCCATTTTCCTGAATATAAAGTAGGGATGAGAACGCCTATTTCCTGGGTTTGTTCTGAGAACGAGATGGCATATAAAGGCATACTTGCTGTGCCCTCTGCAGCTGCCCAAGGGTGGACAGTCCTTCCTAGACCAGTTTGCAGTTCCAGAACAAGGCTTCCTGTTATTTTTCCATTCCTTCCCAACCCACTTTTCTCATTTACAACAACACCCTGGTTGCAGGCATTGAAACAAACTACTCTTGCAACATCAGATACTTACACAAGTGAAGTTTTAAAAACCTGAACTGAAGGGGAATGGACTCTTCTGGCTTTCGATCCTACTGTGTACAATAGAGTGCAAACCACAGAACTGAGAGGACACTAGAACTAAGTTTCTGCCTGCATCCACGACTGCCCTCTGAGTGCTTATTTAAGACATGAATTCACATGCAGCTTATCAGAATCCCCTGTCTTCTTCCTGGTTTCCGAAGTGAGTGTTTCTAACAATTATATCAGAATCCACATTTAAGATTTAAACTAAACTTGTTCATTTCTCATTCTGTTGAAATCAGGGCAAAGGAAAAAAATCATACCTAGTTGATGTTTACTAAATTCAAAGGCATCTTCAGTAGCAAACAGAGTTCTGGGGAAACGAATGAATATCTTGGTTCTAGAAGGGAAAAAGAGATGTTTCAATTATTAATTGGTCAGTTATCACCTGTAAGTGGTTGAGTAATGTCCCCAGAAAATTTAGGTCGATTTAAATATCAGAACGTGATCTTTGAAAAGAGGGTCTTTGCAAGTGTGATTCCGGGATAGGTGGAAATGGGGTCATTGCCAATTAGTGTGGGCCCTTGTAAGAGACAGAAAAGTGCATGGGAAGACATAGAGATGGAAACCATGTGAAAACAGTGGCTGGACAAAGTAATGCCACAAGCCAAGGAATGCCAGCAGCTCCGGAGAGGCAAGGAAGGATGGTTCAGAAGCAGCACCTCAATTTTGGACTTCTGGCATAAATAAATTTCTGCTGTGATAATTTTGTTATGTAGCCCTAGGAAATGAAATGAATTCACCATCTTAATTTGAAGTTGCTTCCCGTTATATTTTTGGGCTTTAAAAGAGTGCTAAAGAATTGGGGTCTGAGTTTAAAAGGTGTCTCTAGCCTGCAAAGGTAAGTTACAAGTACTGATGCAGGTTGCCTGCCCCACCCAAACACCCACTTGGGTGAGAAACTTCCCAGGGCGGCCACTAGGGGCAGGAGTGCGTCTGCCCTCAATCCTACTTCCCCTTCCATGATTATGCAATGGAGACAGCACCTCTGACCTTCCGGGGGCCTGCCTCCCCCCAGAAGTGCTGAGCCCAGTTCTCCTCAGGAATCTGGATTGAATAAGTAACTGAGTCTTGGAACAGGGCCCAGAATACAAGCCTAAAGATAGGGGTCAGTAGGACCCCAGAGGCCATGTATAGTGGGAGGTAGGGGTTGGCAGGGAAAGCCCACTGACAGATCCCTAAAGCAAGGAGGCCCTACAGTCTGGAAGTGGATCATCTTTAGGCTTGGGCACCTCCTTGCAACCAAATTAACCCTGGCCAAAATGGTAACAGCACAGGCTCAGGCTACTTTGATTCATCCTACTGAGTTGTGCCTGAAAGCTTTCACCATGTACAAAAGTTCTTTGCAACTCTACTAAGAATGATTCCTGGCAATCTAGAACACCATTTTCTGGGATGCTAAAGCCAATGTCACATCATATAGGTCCTAGGATCTCTAGGAGGTCACTCGTACATTTGGACAACGGACGAATCTATGTACTCAGAGGTGAGATCTACCCTGGCCGCCTCTTCACTTTGCAGGCAGAGGCTCATCCCAGCAGCCCAGGCAGGTGTAGAACCCAGGGCTCCTTTAGAAGTTCATCTCTTCCTTCTAACCTTTGAGAGCTGCATTCAAACTGAGTAGATGGAGGCGTCTGCAGGCAAATCTACGTAAGTTCCTAAAAATGAGGGTGCGGATGAATGCAGACCAGTGCACAAAACGTTCTGATAGCAGGGAAGAGACCATATGGTGGTTTCCTGTTCACTTACTTCCCTAACTTGTACTCTTCGGGTTTGTAGCCGATGTACCTGATCAGTCGTTCTACACCCTCTCCTGGGGGCCCATGCCAGTGTGGCCAGGTGTCTGGGCACAAGGACTTGTACCTGCCAGGAGAGAAGGACATGCAGAACCATCATGGCACCTTACTCTACCTTCTCCCACCACCTTGGAGGTCTACTTAGCTCCCCCGTGGCATCTCAGCCACTTGTCTCATCACACAAATGTCCTTAAATTCAATGACATACACTTGGCAGAAAGAATGGAGAGACTGGTTCAGTGGAGTGGCCAGTTTGCCCTGTCTTCCTAAAACAACGAAGAGTCACTGGGCATTCAACCCCAGTAGCGCTGTTCCACTCCTTGGGGTACACCCAAGAACAATGCAATCCGTGTCCACACAGAAGCCTGCGCACGAATGTTTAGGACAGCATCACTCGTAAGAGCCGAAGCATGGGCGCAGAAGTGTATTCCCGCACAAAAGACCATGCTTGGGAAAGGATGAAGGGTTTTTCCCAAGGTAATTGTGGCTCCATTGTTAACTTAAGAACTGGATTTGAGCATGCACCTCCTTTCTAATTTGCAGCTGCTGTAAAGACAACTGTGACCCCCTTACCTAAAACGAGGGAGCCCTGCCACACTTTCTCCTTGCCCAGACCTGTTTTCCTTCAAGGAATGCAGCCCTGCCTGGCCTCATGTCTCTTGTTATAACCAGCCTCTCCGCTAGAAAGTAAGCTCTGAGGGCAGGGGAGGGGTCTGTCCTGTTCTCTGCTGTCACTGTCCTAAGCTAGGACAGTGTGGCTCAGAGCAGGTGCTCAGGAGTATTACAGGAAGATGGAGGAGCCTTGAAAAGCAGCAGAAGTAGAATAAAGATGTGTGACGTTCAGAATCTGTGGACCACAGAAACACCAAATGTGTGTGTTTGGAGTGGGGTGAGCAGTGGCTGTTGCCCCCTGCCTTCCCCAGACACCAGATTTTAAAAAATTGGTAGGATGAGGGTGAATGAATGACACATAATTGATGGCAAAAATGGTGGACAATGGAAGTATGTCCAGAAAAGTAAGGGAAAGGAAGGAAAGGAATGGAAAGAAAAAAAGAAAAAACGACCATTTGACAATACTTGTCTTGAGAGTGTTGCCATTTCAGTAGCAAAAATTCACATACGAAGGAAGTGTTGGCGTACAAGCAGTTGTGGGGGTAGAAATTACTTTCACCAAATTCTTAAAACCTTCCTGAATGCCGACAATGTAATCTTGCCGTTCCAGGTAAGGAAAAGAGGTCACAGTTCTAAGAAACCAAGTCTGTGGTTCCAGAGCCTATGCTCTCACCACAACACTATTTGTTGTTATAATTTGCTTTATTTTGTTTTTTGGCGATACAGGGGTTTGAACTCAGGTCTTTGTTTTTTGCTAGGAAAATGACCCAGCACATAACGTCACAAATGGAGTCTGCCCCAGCTGTCAGACCCAAGCAGAGTGTGTGCACTTGGCCTCCCCTGCCTGGACCTCAAGAAGTGAAATGAATAGAAGACAGAAACTGAGTTGGGTTTTTATAGTCTCCCAAATGCTAGTGGTTTTTTGCTTTCATAGCGATTAAGATCTGAGCTGAGTTCCCTGAGGGATGTCACCGTATTTGTGATCATATCCCAGAGTCCTGCACGCAGTAGGGATCAACTTTACCAGCTTTGGATCATCAGCAAAGCAAACTGTACCGTTGTAAGAAGTGCTCATACTTCCGCCGGTATGCAAAGCCCGCCCGTCTCACCCGAAGGTGCTCCATTAGCCCCAGGTACTTGATCTGATGTCTTATGAGGAAGTCATCAAACTTGCCTTTGAAGAAACAAGAGAAAAGGACAGTAAAGAGCCCCGGGCTCCATTTCAACCCACACACACCAGACACTGCAAACTGATGGTTGGCGGGCTGAATCTGGCCACAGAAACATTTTGTTAGGCTTTCGTTGTCCTTTTAAGATGGGGAAATTTAGAGGAAAATCTAGACTTCTGTTTTTCTCCTGAAAAATGATGAGCTCTGGCCATCCTGGGCCCAGAGTCCCATGTTGGCAAAAACTGGCTGGAAGTCACTAATGTCATTCCCCTTTTAGACAGGATATGTCTGGCTTTTTTTGCACTATTGGGGATGAACTCAGGGCCTACATCTTGAACCACTCCACCAAGCCCTTTTTTTGTGATTTTTTTTTTTCAAGATAGGGTCTTCCAAACTATTTGCCTAGGCTGGCTTCGAACCTCGATCCTCCTGATCTCTGCCTCCTGAGTAGCTAGGATTACAGGCGTGCGCCACTGGCACCCGGCTTGCCTGGCTTCTGTAAGCCTCTGGCTGTACAGCTTCCTTGTGAGTCCACAGCAAGAGCTGGCTGGAGAGAAGCCATGCTGTCTCCCTTCACCTCTGACACCTGCCTGGCTCAGCTGCGCTGCTCTGAGCAACTGGCCAAGCTCTTAGCAGTGTTCACTCTGTTTAAAAAGGAAAATGGTGTGCACAAGAACAATGGGTCTGGATAGCTTTTAGGTCTTAACCCTCGGCCATCTTGCTTGTCTCCAGCCTCTTCCCCTGCGCACAGCGATAAGAGCAGCTGATAGATAACTAACTCACTGGGTTCTTTCCTCGCGTTGGGCTTGATGCAGCGGATGTATGAGGGCTCCTTGGAGATGAGAATTTCCAAGAGGCTGCTCAGGCTGTTCTTAAACTGAGTCGCCACCTGTGGAGCGAGAGATTGTGCCCAATAGACATCGTTGCTTCCAGTCCATTGGGGAGATGCCTGATTGGGGCAAAGACACCAGTCCCTTAGACCTAAATGCTTAGGACTGTGTTGGTCTAATTTTTGTTTATTTGTTTTGTTTTTTCTTGTTTTGTGCTCTTGGGGATTGAACCCAAGGGCGTTTGAGCATGCTAGGCAAATGCTCTACCACTGAGTTTCAAAACATTGGTTTTGCCTATTTTTTGTTGTTGCTTTGAGACGGGATCATTCTACACAGCCCGGGCTGACCTTGAACTTGCAATCTTCCTGCTTCAGTGTCCCAAGTGCTGGGATTACAGGAATGAGCTGCCATGCCCAACTTCTGTTTTGTCTGGGAAACGGAGGTTTTGGATGTCCTGACCGGAGGTTGGTCCGGTCAAGCATTAGCTGCGGGGAAGTGTTGTGGCTGAGCCCCGCCCTTCTGCCTTCTCCCCTCCTGACGCCACGCTTCCTTCAGGATCTGTGCACTACCGTAAGTTCTTTATTTGGTGATATTGTCCTCATTCTATTGCACTAGACTGTAAGGCCCCTTGGGGACAGAAGCCTTGGCTGGCTTGTTTTTGCTAAACCCCTGCGCTCAGCACAGAGCCCAACACACAGTAGGTGCTCAAGTGATTGTCTACGAATGAAAGAACTGGTGCAACACTTGGAAAGTATGCATTTCATGGAACCTGTCAGAGAACACTTCCAAAAAGGGAGAGGTCTTGACACCCCTGTGTGAGTTTAGTTCCCTTTCCAAATCTACACACGGATTTTCCCTGCTCACCGTTGGTGGCCTTCTCCGGTTTTCTAGCTCGGTCACCAGGAAGCACTCCCTCAGGATGCTGTTCTTGGAGCTGCACAGCACCTACAAGTGAAGAGATGTGAGCGTCATGACTACCTGCTTGGGAAATTGCTTCAGAACCTTCAGGAAACTCTCAGAAGCACGGGAGAGGTAACAGAGCCACCTGCTTCTTGGGCACCAGAAGCCACTCCTAACTAGGAGAACGTGGGACAAAGCACAAGCAGATGTGGAAGGAGTGGGTGTGGCTCATCGCCAGCAACACACACGTGCACACACAAGCACACGTGTACACGTGCACACACATATCCTGGCCTGTGTGACCCCAGAGGGTACTCAGTAAGCTGGGAAGAGAGACTAGGTGGTATGGATGCTAGGTTTTGTATTGTTTGAGCCCCCCTCCCCCCTCGGTCTACATATCTTCAAAATAATCTGTATTATCAAAAAGTCCTTCATTAAAAAAAAATAATTCTGAGACAGATCAGAGGGACCCAACGCTCCCAAACAGTACCTGGCTATGGGTTAAGCACTGTTAAGAACTGTTGATTCCAGTATTGGTTTTCTCTTTAAACGAGCCATGCTGTTAGGAATGAACCACTCTGTCCCTTGGTGGAAGCTGTCAGTCAGGATTCAGCTGTGACACCAATCAAGCAGCTCCTTTGATGACTTTGGGATTGCCATCATGGCAGTCACATTGCTTTACATACTCCAAGGCCACTCCTGACAGCTGGCACCACCTCCAGGACTGACTGTAGCCACAACCGGCCTTGGTGACTCCTCGGTCACACTCCCCTCCCCCTGAAGCAACCTACAAGACCCTATGCTACCCGCAGCTGCTCTGTGCAGTAGCAGCCCTTAGCAAGGTCAGGGAGGAGAAGCTCCTGGCCTACTGACTCAGCAAAAAGCTTGTGATTGACACAAAGGAGTCAAGGAACCTAGTCTAGGCTTGTGACTGGTGCATATCTGAGCCCTGTGACTGGTCAAACTAGAAATCCGGCACAGGTCAGACTGTGATTGCTGGAATTAGAGCTGGGCGCACCATGCCACACAGGTTGGTGTTTACTCTTTCCCCATCACTCTGGGAGGTTTTTCTCTGGTACACTTCCTCCCCTTGGGCTACAACAAAGCCCCAGCAAAGGCTTCTTCCAGAAAGGTCTATGACTGCTTGCTTGTGGTCTTTATCACAGGTAGAGCGGACTGAGCTGGTAACACTAAAATCAGATGAAAAGCTGGGGTTCCAGCATTAGAAGGTGGCTGCGAGTGACACTGTCCACTCTGGATCACTCAGCAGCTCGGAAGCCACTGAAGAATTCCAGAGAATGGTCAGGAGCATAGACTGTGGAGACTATGAAGGACTAAGAAGGTGAAAGACTGCACACTATGGAAGGCAAAGAGGTTACCAAGAGCTGGGATAATGAACCCCAGTCGCTGGAAGAGTTCCAGAGAGCTGCCAAGGGTTAAGAGCTGAGGATCTCAACAGCCCAAAGCCCAGGGGCTGTGACCCTGGGGGCCGGGTGCAGGCCTCTGCTTTTAAAGGCTTGGAGCTTGCTCCAGCTGTAGGCCTGAGCACATACAGCAAAAAGTCTAGTTTTTAAAGCCTGTAGTTACCAGAATTAGAAGTCTCTGAGTTTGAAAGTCCACCCCGTGAGCCTCTGGCATTCAAGAACTCAGCGCTGCCATTATGAAAACAGCTGCTACTTGCCTATTTGCCATTTCTCTCAAACACTGTGAAAGGACTCTCAGCCAGCTGTTTGTGACAAAGGTATATCAAAAGCTTTAATCTCCTGTATCCATCCATACAATGGCCTAATACTCAACCTTAAAAAAGTAAATCCTGACACATGCTACAACTGAGCCAGTCACAAAAAGACAAAGAGTATTTGCTTCTGCTTACATGAGGTCCCTAGAGTAGTCAAATTTATGGAGAAGAAAGAAGAATGGTGGGTTGTTAGGGGTTGAGAAGTGGTGGTTGAATGAATATTTGATTTTGCAGGATGAAAAGAGATATGGAGGTTAATTATACAACAATGTGACTATACCTAAGATTACTAAACTATAAACTTTCAATGATTAAAATGGTAAATTTTGTGGTATGCATGTTTCACAATTACAACTTAAAAATGTGAGGGCTGGAGGTATGGCTGAAGCAGTAGAGCACCTGCCTAGCAAGCGTGAAGCCCTGAATTCAAACCCCAGTACTGCCAAAGAAAAACATTTTTTTTTCATTTAATCCATCCCAGTTTTTAAGTAGTGACACAGAAGAGTAATTTGCTGGTAGAAAAGAAAAAATGAGAAGTAATCCATCAGAGAGTGCAGGAACTTGAGCCTTGGTTGGGGAGGTGAGAGAGTCAAAGATGGTCCCCATGGGATGCCTGTTCCATGGACTGGTTTGTGAAGTGGCCCCATCTCTGTGGGCCATGATGGCAGCCAGGCGCTCCCTCTCCTGCCATTCACAGTGACTCCCTGAGGAGGGCATCATGGGATCCACCTCATCAGTGGGGATGTGTGCCAGGAAGCCCCAGCTAGGGAGGGATCGGTAGGGACTCAGATCCACAGACAAGCCACCAGATACAGAGATTCAAAGTCAGGAATCACCGATCTGCTCCTAACCCACAGAGGTCGGGATAGGTGGTCCCAGAAGTGGCAAAGGGAGCTGAGGAAGGTTCCCAAAACACTCTTGTGACTAACTTGTTGCTCAGTCACTCTGAAAACGTCACCAATGGATGATTTCTTGTGTATCTATTTATTCTGCACATCCCACCCACCACTTATGCAAACACCACCAGAACAAGGAACTCTTGTCTTGCTCCCTGCTGAGCCTCCAGAGCTGGCACACAGAGGGGCACCTCACACACTTGAACCAGTTGGTTAAGTGAAGAATTTGTACAACTGAACTTGAATGTTCTGGTCATGACATGCTAGAGTCCTAGCATAATACATGGGCGAGAAAGATCCAGAAGACCTTTGGTCCAAATCCTGTGTGTCACAGAGATATTTCAGAACCATCAGAAACACATTGGGTTAAGTTTCAGACTTACTTCTTTCAGGTGTCTGTAAAGGAGATCATTGTTTTTTTCCAAGAATCCTGTAAAAAAAATTCCGAATCAATGGCTTTGTGTAAAAAATGCAATTCTACCCCAACTGACTGCAAAGAGACATCCCCAAGATTCTCTCTCAGGATCAGATCAGAGTTTCAGGACCAGATTATTCTTTGTGGTGGTGGCTGTTCTCTGACGTCTACTCACACTACATTCATAGTAGCATCTTCCCAGTTACAAAACCAAATATAACGCTTGACATTGCCAGATAGCCTGGGGACATAATTCCTGGTTGAGAACCAGGTCCTTAGAAGTAAATTATGGCATCCATGCTATCCTCTAAGCTCTCATAAACTATCATGAAATTGTACAGCATTTATTTATCCATATTTTTGAGACAGTGTCTCGCTGTGTAGTCCAGGCTGGCCTCAAACATTCCATCCTCCTGCCTCTTCTACTGAGTGCTGGGATTACAGGTGTGTATCACCACACCTGGCCTCAGTGTATAATACTATGTATTGTACACACATTCTAGTCTAGTAGCAGACATAGACATATAAAGATTCCATAGAAACAATGAAGGGCTGTGAGCCTCAAGGGTAGCCAGCAGAGACCGTGTGAATGGATGAGAAGTGCAAACCCGAGCCCTTTTAAAGTGTCTTTTTTTTTTTTTTTTTTTTGCAGTGCTGGGGTTTGAACTCAGCCCTTTTATGTTATGGGTATTTTCAAGATAGGATCTCAAGACTACTTGCCCAGGCTGGCTTCAAACCACCATCCTCCTGATCTCTGCCTCTTAAGTAGCTAGGATTATAGGCAAGAGCCACTGGTGCCGGGCTCCACCAGTGTCTTTTTTCAGGGAGCTCTGACTTGAAACATGGCTTACAAGTATCCACACAAAACTCATTCATTAATTTAGTAACCAGATAGCACAAATCAAAGCAGTAAATATGACATGCATCAAAAAAGAGACATAAGCATGTCTAACACGTAACCTTTATAGGCGACAATTTTGAGTTATAAAAACTAGCATTTTTTACTCTGGTAAAATATACATAACATAGGGCGGGGGCAATGGCTCAAGTGATACAGCACCTGCATAGCAAGTGAGAGACCTGGTTCAAACCCCAATAAACACACACACACAACATAAAACTTACTCTTTCAACCATCTGTAAGTGTACAGTTCAGTGGCTCAAGTACAACCACACTGTTGTACAACCATCTCCAGAACTTTTTAAACACCCCATTCTAAAACTTTATCCCCATGAAATAACCACATTCCCTCCTCTCCCGCCTCTGCCACCACCACTCTCTTTTCTGTCCCTGTGAATTTGGCCACTCTAGATGTCTCATGTAAGTGGAATCATACAAAAGCTGTCTTTTATGGCTGGTTTCTTTCCCTTTCAGCATGATGTCAAGTTCATCCATGTTGTAGCATGGACCACCAGACTCTCCTTCCTTTTTTTTTTTTTTCCAGTGGGGTTGGGGTTTGAACTCAGGGCTTCGAGTTTGCAAACCAGGCAATCTACCATTTGAACCACACCTCCAATCCATTTTATTGTTTATTTTGGAAATGGGGTCTCTCAAACTATTTGCCTGACAAAGCTACGAACCACAATCTACCAATGTCAGTCTCTCAAGTTGCTAGGATTGCAGGTATGGGCCACTGGCACCAGCTCTCAAACTAACTTTTGATAGAACCTTTAACTCAGCAAAGCTCCTTATGGGAATTTACCCTACGGATATGATGTGCAAAAATGAGCCACCTGAAATATACAAAAACGCCAAGTGCAGTAGCATTTATAAGAGAAGTTGGGAGTAAGCAGTGTCCATGAAAAAAAGGCCAGCACACAGCCCTACAACCAGATCTGTTCTACCTAGAAGGTGGATGCAGGTTGAAGGGAAAAGGCTTGGGTTTGAACCCAAGCTTTGCCACTTACTGGCTGTGTAACTTTGGGAAAGTTACTTAACTGCTCTGAGCTCAATGTCCTTATAGATTAAAAGGGAGATAATGTTCCCCACCTAGAATGTGGAACGGTGCCTGGCCCACAGTAAGTACACAGTGAGCATCAATTAGAATCCAAACGATCGCCAATAGTTATTAAGCAAAAACGTGAAATACACAGCACAAAACAGATCTTTGCGTTATTCAAGAGCGTGTGTCCCAACCTTTATTGGTATGTGCAAAAAACATTTCTATCTTTCTGGCAGCGAACACAAGATACTATTGATTCTTGTCGTTACTCCAGGGACAAACTAGGACTAAGGGGACTATCAGTTTTCTTTCTGTACTTTTCTGTGTGGTTGGCAATTTCTAGCGGTTCATGTGCTACTTTTATTCTTTGTAAACAAAATCAAAAGATTATCCACACACAGAGATCCATTTTATTCTTAAAAATTGTTCTTTGTGCCACTTTGCATTTAAAGAGAAAAACTTAACATTTTATTACTTTTTAAAGATTTTTAGCAATAAGCTTATAGTGAAAATAATTTTAAACCAAGTAAAAGTGACAAATCAAAGTTAAAGTGGACTTCATCAAACTAAAACCTTTTGTGCTTTAAATGATCCCATCAGTAAAGTGAAAAGACAACTGAAGAATTGGAGAAAATATTGGCAAGTCATACATTCTAGTATCCAGAATATACAAACAACTCTGACAACTCAATAATAAAAGAAAGCACTTTTTAAATGGGTAAAGAGTCTCAACAAGCATTCCCCCATGGAAGATATATAAATGAAAAGACGTTGGATCTCACCAGTCCTCAGGGAAATACAAAACAAGACCGCAAAGAGACAGTGTCACATCCACTAGACTGACTATATTAAGAGGATAATTTTAGGGTTGGTGGAGTGGCTCAAGTGGTAGAGCACCTGTCTAGCAAGCACCACCAAAAAAAAAAAAAAGAAGGAGAAAATAATTTTAGGTGTTGTTAAGGATGCAAAAAATTAACAGCCATGGAAACCAGTCTGGAAGTTCCTCAAAATGTTAAGCATAGAGTTCTGTAAGACCTGCATCCCACTCCTAGCTACATAGCCAAGAAAAAAGAAAACACTAAAACTTCTACAGGAAGCATTTATCACAATAGCTAAAAAGGTATCAGCAACCTAAATGCTGAACTGATGAATGGATAAAGAAAAGTTGTCTTTCCATAGGGTGCAATATTATTTGACAATGAAAATGAATGACCTTATGGATGAACGTTGAAACCAGCTAAGAGAAAGAAGCCAGACTCCCAAAGACCGCATCTTGTACAATTCATTTATAGAGCGTGCCCAGAATGGGCACAAGTATGGAGACTGAAAGGCTGGGGCTGTGGGAATGGAACAGACGGTGTGGGAAGTGAGGAGTGACTGCCAGCAAATGCAGGGTTTCTTTAGGGGTTAAATTCTAAAATTGTTGATGGTCGCACAACACTGCGAACATACTAAAAACCATTGAATTGTACACTTCAGTGGATGCATTTCTTTTTTATTTTTGTGGTACTGGGGTTTGAACTCAGGCCCAGAGCCTCACGCTTGCTAGGCAGGCAATCTTACCTCTTCAGCCACTTCACCAGCCCCTTTAATTTCTTTCTAAAATTTTGGTGGAATATGGACTATATCTCAATAAAGTGGTTATATATAAAAGTAGTAAATCAAGAAACTGGAAGGACCTTCGAGATGGCTCTGCTGAGTGCAAGGCGTTTCCTCGGGGGACTCGATGGGCGCTGCATGGCGGGGACCCACGCCCCACAGCCACTCACCCTTGGTGCAGTAGGTGACCTCTCCCGCGTAGTGGAGGAGCCGGAACTCCATCCAGCCAATCCTCCTTCTGCCCTTGGGGCCAGCCAGCTTCCGGCTGCAAGACAAGAAAGGAGGTGACCAGAGTCTCCTCCCTCCTGCCCAGGCTCCTCGCCGCCTAATGTCGCTGGAGATCAAGGTCCCTCTCCTGAGACCTGAGCAGACCGAGGAGACGCGTGCACTTTAGAAATGAAATCCCTGCTGTGTGTCCCAGTGAGACCTCAGGAACCTTACACGTGTGCACAGATGGAAGTCTCAGATTCGGGGTTCACAAACGCCTAAGAACCTGTCCGATATCTATAACGTGCTATAATCTATATTGACAGCACACACACCCCAAGCTTGCAGCTCCATGAGTATCCGAGACGGAGGGGCCGGTGCAACCAGCACCCAGACCAAGAAGCCTAATGCCGCCAGCGCCCAGCACGTGGATCTGAGCCACGCCCACCCCGGGCCACGCCCACTCGCCCGGACCCCCCCGCCCACTCACTCGGAGCCCCGCCCGCTCGGTTGAGTCACGCCCGCCAGGACCACGCCCACCCACGTGGGCCCCGCCCAGTCTCAGCCCAGCATCTCACCGCATAAGTGAGTTTCACGTGATTATACTTTACACACGTGGCTTCTCTTGGTCACGTGCTGCGTGCTTGCCCGCGTCACTGCAAGTAGTTAGGTTCTTTGGTAGGCCTGGGTTACTATTCCATTTGCCAATACAGCACAGCCTATTTTCCATTTTGCTTTATTAGCAATTCCATTTACTTAAGTATTCTACAACAGGCCTCATAAAGCCACTTCCATTTCCTGAGACTTCACTGCAGCCACAAATTTTACTAGGCAATTTCTGTAGACATTTACGATGCTGTATGGTAGTGAATACATGTTTTTTGCTTTTGGTGTTACTGGGGATTGAACCCAGGGCCTTAAGTTTGGTAGGCATGTGCTCCACCACTTGAGCCATACCCTCAGCCCAGGTAGCTACATTAATATCCCCACCTCCTGGAAGGGAAAACTGAAATGGGGGGGGACTAGTTGCTTGCTAAAGTCAGGTGTGCAGAAAGTGGCCAAACTGGGATTGAAAAGCAGGTGTTTTTTCCCTAGTGCTAGAGATGAACCCAGGTCTTGTGTATGGCAAGACCAGTGAGTCACATTCCCACCCTCTAAAGCAGTCTTTATGATGCAGAGCATATGGGCTTTTGTTTGTTTAATTTTGGTGCTGGGGATAAACCCAGGGCCTCCGCAGACTAAGCACCTGTTCCACCACTGAGCTGCACCCAAGTCCAGAACGTATTCTCCAGCTCTCTCTTCCTTGTCTTAAAGACTAGCTTAAATTTCTAATTTCTCTTCTGGGATGTTGTAAGTGCTTTATTCATGATCAGCATGGTGTTATATGGGTATTGTTGGAAATGTGGGCCCCAAAAGTCACCACGTGGAGAGGAGTGATCTGGCCAAGAGATTCTTTATTGCCGGGTGGGAGAGGGAGAGAGCAGAGAGAAAGAGAGCCAAGAGAGAGAAGCAGGAAGGGCAGGGGCTTAAATACCCCTCAGTGGGACTCAGCATGATCTGATTGGTTGGGATCTTATGGTTCATGCTGATTGGAGGTTGGGGCAGAAGGAGGGTTCAAGCTAGAATTGAGGCAGGACCGTGACCCTGGAAACGGAAGCTTAAGGGTGCAGTAAGAACCGAAACCTATCTGTGCCATTATTGCCAACAGGTATATAATATAAAAATTCACTTGGTTGTATATTTCACTTATTACTATATACTTTATATCTAAATTTTTAAGCGACATTATTTCATGCATGATTATCGAATAAAGCAGAATACAAAATCTTTTTAAAAATTCCACTTGGAATCCACTTGAGTGTGATTTCTATTAACAAGATGTATGAAATGGTGTGTCACAGTAATATTTTTATGTATGAAGAAGTAGCTGTACTCTCGAGGTACCTATCAGAGCGCGTGGGACACCCTGGTCCTCCTGCACACAGTCCCCAGCCAGCCAGGGGAGCACTTACGTTTGGAAGTGTGCGTGGTTGCCCACTTTCTCCTCCAGTTTCTCCAGGAAGCTGAAGTCTGTAGCAGGACCTGGACGGATACACTCTTCATCCTTCAAAAGAAAAAGGAGAAGCTGTGTCCATCAATTCCAAGTTTAAGTGTTTTCACCAGCCATGGCAGGGTCCTGTGGACTGAAACACCGCCATCTCCCACAGGCACGGGAGAACCTGCTGGAAGCGATGGGTTGCACCTCACATGTTCTCAGCTTCTCAACTTGCTGAGGAAACCAGGACCCTAGAGAGACTGGAAATTCCATGAGAAGTTGATTCTTGGGGCATCTGATCCATATTTTTGAGGTCTTTCTGAGGACTCCCCCATGTTGTCATGGCTGTTGTCTGAACATTCCACCTCATTTTCTCCAACTGGTACTGGGGTTTGAACTCAGGGCCTCAGGATTGCTAGGAGGCACTCTACCACTTGAGCCACTGTGCCAGCCCTGTCTCCCACTCATCATCACACCATGAACAACCTGTGGAAAGGTCATCAGAGTAGGAGCAATGCCCTCATGGAAAGGAAACGTGGGACTAGTTGAGTTTAACCTGGGGTATTTCTCAGGCTTGTCTAGTTCCTGTATTTGCTCCTGGACATGTAACTGACCAGCTTTAAAGGAGCTTCTATTAAAACAATAGCAGAACTTTATGTGAAGTGCATTTCTAGGCTTTCGGATTCCGTGTGGAAACTGGAGGAGGTGAGAGTGATGATCCCAAATGACAAGCAGGACAAAGAAATAATTTCTCCTTTGCCTTGAAAATGTATTTTAAAACTGATGCTTGAATTTGACCATTTGTTGAATTCAAGGACTTTGATATTTTCTCCTAAGTTGGAATAGTTCCAAACCAGCCCATTGCAAGGATTCTCAACTCAAAGCAAAGCTTTTCTGTATGCTTCCTGCTCTGTCCTAAGCATGAAAGCAGCCCTTCTCCAATTGTTAACTGTATTCCAACTCCACTTTCTGTTACTATAACAAAACCTCTGAGGCTGAACACTTTATATATTAAAAGGGTTCATTTGGCTCACAGCTGTGAAGATCCAAGGGCCTGATGCCAACCTCTGCTCTGCTCTAGTAAGGGCTCACGGTGGACAGCATCACAATGACACTCCTGTCATGCACTCCTGCATGGCAAGACAGGAAGCCAGAGAGACTGGGGAAGGGCTACGCCTGTTGTTCTATAACAGTCCTCCTGCAAGAAGTAACAAGGATCCTGCAAGACCTACGTCAACTCCCTCTGAGAAGAGCACCCTGAGTGGTCTAATATTTACCTCTGGGCTCCCCCACCTCCCAGCATCACCACCCTGAGGTCCACGCTCTCATCTCCTTGCAGACACACTCAAACCATATCAAAACCATACCAGCTGCCAAACACTTGCCTAAACTGAGTCTCCAGTTCTCTGTCTCTGGGAATGTATGTGCCTGCCTTTGTTCCTAAGGCCTCTCCTTGCTGTCTCCCGATGGGCTGTAATTTAGGCCTGAGAATGTGAAGGACAGGAAAAGGCAGCACAGCTCCCAGCAAGCCCAGCAGGGAAGCTCAGGTTGTGTCTTCAGTTCCCTCGAGGGGTCCGTGCTCCAGCCCCTCCCTTTATAGCAATAAACTCAGGGGCTTGAACTCAGGGCCTCACATTTGCTACAGAAGTACTCTCTCTCTTGAGCCACATCCCCCATTCTTTTTTTGCTTCTCATTTGTTTTCCAATAGAGTCCTTTGCTTTTCATGCTTTTGTCTGGACTGGCCTCAGACCTCGATCTTCCTATCTCCACCTTCTGAGTAGCTGAGATTATAGGTAAGCACCACCATCCCCAGTCTGCTCTCCACCCTTTCGAAGCCTGGGGAAAAGTTCTTCCACATGCTGCAAACGCCATGGTTCATGATTCATTTTCTCACCAGAATGGATATGATTCCTTTGTGTCTCTCCTCTACCAAATCACAGATGATCTTGTTGTTGAAGTACTGAATTGGCTCCCACTAAAATGACAAAGAGGAAAGAATTCTCCAAGAGGTATTTCAATGAGCGTAATCTACCTTGGTTTTAAAATTTCTACAGAAATTTTTCTCAAAATCTGATTTTGCTGTTCAACCTTAAAAAATAATATTTTTCTGCATAACATAATGATTTCCCAGGAAATAATCAGAGAAGTAAAAAGTAACTCTTAGACCAAATCAAGCCAAGTCTCCAATGAGATAACCTTGTTCTGGTGAATATCTTCACCTAGAAGTCCAAGCAGGAGCGCATCGCACCCTTTACCTGGATGCCTTCCGCCTCGTACTCTGCCTGTTCGGCTTGCAGAGTCCGCTCTGTCAGCAGCTGCTGGAGCTTCTCATTGCAGTAATTTATGCAGAACTGTTCAAAGCTAGAGATGCCCGGAATGGAAGTGGCTGAGTTACGCAAATTGGCCAATATTTTTAAAGAACTGTATTTACTTATTTTATGTTTGAGGCAGGGTCACTATGTAACCCAGGTTGGATGATCCTCTGCCTCCCGAGTGCTGGGGTGACATGTGTCAGCCACCACATGCATCTGTATTTTTTGGCAGTACTGGAGTTTGAACTCAGGACCTCATACTTGCTAGCTAAGATCTCTACCGCCCAAGTCACACTTCCAGTCCTTTTTGCTTTAATCATTTTTCAGATGAGGTTTTGGACTTTTTGTTCAGGTCTGCCTCAGACATCAATCCTCCTACCTACGCCTCCCATGTGGCTGGGATTACAGAAGTGTACCACCACATCCAGCTTACTTGCTGAGGTGGGGGAATCTCACTAACTTTTTGTTCTCAAACTGCAATCCTTCTGAAATCTTGCCTCCCACATAGTTGAGATTTACAGCCATGCACCACCGTGCCTGGCTTGTATTTACTTATTTTTAAGTGTATTTTTAATAAGGAAAAAGCAAAATCTCTATTAATAAGACAATTTACTAAACCAACTGCAAGAGTCATATCTTTTACTTCTAGATCAGCCTGTGAATTAGGGCTGCAGAAATTCTAGGGACAGGAAAATCAATTCCAATATTGTTAAAGATGACTTAAACCTCGACTAAACCATGGCGAGGGGCGAACGCCAGGTAGCAAGACAACAGCAAAACTCACCCATTCTTGTCGAAGACTTCAAAACCATATATATCCAGCAGTCCAATCCCAGTTTTTTGGGTGAAATCCTGGTCAAATAACATGCAGCATTAGTGGTCAGTTGAGGTTTGGATGGTTTAAGTCTGCCATGGGAGACTTACCCCCCCACTGGGAGGTAGCAGAGTTTGGAGCTGGGGCTTCTGGGTGGTGATTAGTGGGGGGCCCCCATGACTGAATCCCTTGTGGTTTTATCAGAAGATGGAGAGAGACCAGAAGACACTCCTCCCTGCCTCATGCCCTGTGTCACACCAGGACTCCACTAGCAAGAAGGTCATCACCAGATGTGGACCCCTAAACCTCCAGAACTGTGAGCTAGATAAACCTCCTTTCCTTATAAAGTTACCCCGCTTTGGTCAGGCACCAGCAGCTCACGCCTGTAATCCTAGCTACTCAGGAGGCAGAGATCAGGAGGATCGTGGTTCGAAGCCAGCTAGGCAAATACTTCTCAAGACAATATCTCAAAAAAAACAATCACAGAAAAGGGTTGGTGGAGTGGCTCAAGTGGTAGAGCGCCTGCCTAGTAAGCATGAGGCCCTGAGTTCAAACCCCAGTGTATGTATATATTACTGTTAAAAGTTTCTGTGTCCACCCGAGCCACCTGGCATTCCACAAGTGCTGTGCATACCACACTTTGGGCCACGCTGCAAAAACCAGCTGGTGTACATTCCTGGAAGCTGGTGTATGTGACACATTGGAAGGTAGATGTGAAAAGACCCTACTCCTGCCTGCGAGGCGTCCACAGTCCAGTTTCACAAATTCTTTAAATGAGCTATGCCAATTATAAGTCATTACCACTTTAGTGAGAGCAAGCCATGTGTGGACCAACCTTGTTAACTAAGGAGGAGTTGATTTTGTTCACCAGCCAGGTAAATGTTCGTCCGTACATAGCCTTGGCCATTGCATCCCTAGCGTAGACAGAGAGTGCTACGGTCAGCGGGCATATCACCTGGAAAGAACGACAAGGTGCATTGTTACAGGTGGGAAGAAAGTTACCCAAGTTTTCCAACCAGTCTGGGGGACCATGACAAAGACATACAGTCCCTTAGTGGGTTCACAGTTCAGTGGAGGGGGGCAGAGGTGAGGAGACATGGGGAGAATCACACACGGAAGGGACATGAGGGCTAAGAGTGACAAGTGCTACAAGGAGATACAGGTGGCGCACTTTGAGGCCAAGTTGGGAAGATCAGGGGAGGCTCCTTGATCCTGGGCTCCAGGACCCCTGAGAACTGAAGGATGCAGACAAGTTTGCTAGATGAAGCCTGGGGAACAGAGTTCCGGAAGCAGGAACAGCACATGCAAAGACCCCACGAAGGGAAGACAGACACAGAATGAGTGCGTGAGTGTGGGCGGGGTGTGCGGTGGCGGTGGGAGGGGAGGATGAGGCCGGAGCTGGACCCTATGGGGCCTGGTGGGCTGGATATGGAGGCTCACCCTCCCCAAAGGCCAGCATCGAGCTGTTATCTCAGGGAAGCAGCCAGGCAGGGATGACAGGTGCATCTCACCCACAGCTGTTTTTACCTCCTCCGTTTTGGCTTCGATCTTTCTGTGGGTGAGGGCTTCCAGAAGAACTGATGGGTGGACCCCCAGGAGCTGAGTGGAAGGAACCCGAGGTGCCATTCAGTGACTTGGTTTGACTTGCGCACTTGTGAAGGGTTCACGTACTCCAGGCCCAGGGTCTCTACCCTGACCACTCACTGGGCTTTACCAGACCAGCTTCACCTGATCATTTCATGCTGTCTAAACCTCCTAACAAGTGTTCACGAAAGAGCACGGTACTGGCCACCTGATCTAACTGGATGTCCAGGGGCCTCGCTCCCGCCTCCCCCTGCTCTTTAATGGCCTCCCTTTGGGCTCTTCTGAAGAGGAATGTCACCTTGGCGATCCATTTAATCTCATGAGTGTCTGGGATGATGGCACAGCCTTGCTCATCTTCCTCAAAACAAATGTTCCCCAGGTGCAGGACACTGCCAATAATTCCAAAGAGGCTCTAGAGGGTGGGGCGTGGGGCAGGCAGAGAACAGGGACAGGGAGAGAAGACAGACGCCTGGTTGGTAAAAGGCATGAGACACCCAAGGAAAAACACACCCTCTCCCAAATCCAGCCACGCTCACACGCCATCCGGCTGCTTCCCCAGAAACCGGCTGGGCAGGACCCTTTAGCAGAGGATGGGAAGATGCCTCACTCTACCTTCAGCACAGAATATTTTTATTTTCACATCACAGTCATAAAAACCTAGATTTATTTTTCATAAAGTAAACCACTTTCATAAAGTATTTTAGAACAGCATTTTATACAATGATCCCCAGTCGGGCGTGGGGGTACACATCTATACTCCCCACACTCTGGAGGTGCAGGCAGGAGAATCGCAAGTTCAAGGCTGGTCTACACAGCGAGACCCTGTCTCAAACAGAACAAACAAAAAAACCCATCAGTGAACCATTTAATTTTCAAATGCCATGGTCCCCACTGTTTGTTTGTTTGTTTTTTTTTAAAGCTACATTCTGGTTCTTGAAAGATTAATAGTCTAACTATCAAAATTTTAAAAAAAAAAGACAAAATGATGTGAGAACAAAATTTTTATCAATGCTACAGTTTCAAAATGTCCTAAGTATAACTAAATGATCATCCTGTACTTCCGTGGGATCTAAACTGTCGACATTCAACTTAATTTGGGGGAAGCGGCCACTGACTCCTTGTACCAGACATTAGGAAAACAGGGTTGCAGCCAAAATGCAAAACACCCAGCTAGCACTGAAGTTTCAACTAATCACAGACTAACATTTTTAGTATTTTTTGGTCACATGCAATATTTGGGATGCATTAATACTAAAAAATTCATTATTGGGCTCAGAGACCCACATAACGGGGTCTTGGGTTTCTCCTTGCTCGGTCTGGCAACCCTACAGAAATGCAAACTCCAAGAGAATAGGGTTGTTCTTTAATCCCACACAGAAGCCCATGGCTCATACCTCCAGGTCAGCGTCATTAAAATCGATGACAGAAAAGGCGCTGGAAACGGCTTTCCAGTCATTCTTGTCATTGATAGATGTGTCTTTGGCACAATGACCCTGTGACACAATTGGGTCATTTAATGCATTTTAAGGACGTTAACTGTACACACATCTATTGCTAAATCAAATGGCTTTCTGCCCAAGCATGCAAAAACTACTTCAATAATGTATTGAACTGTAAACAAATACATTTTATTCACTCTCTCTAGTGTGTGACTGCTTCTCTTTTCAAATTTATTTGAAATTTTTGAAGTTGCACATACTAGATAAATGGAAAGTCATTTATCTCAATAAATACCTGTTGCAACACACAAGAAATTACAGCTTTGAGCCGCCTGGACTGGCTTAGGACCTCCAGTGACAACCTCACAGAGGCACTAGATCAGAGGCTGTCCTCCAGGAAATAATAGTTAGGAGGAACACAGCTCATATGGAAATGATCACCAGCAGAGATGTGATAAGGGGAAGTTGTCTTTTAAATAAGGAACAGACTGACCAATGTCAAATTTAGAGAAAATGTTCTAGACAAATATTGCTTTTTGTGTGGGGGGCCGGGGGGGCCTGGATTTGAACTCAGGTCTTCATGCTTGCAAAGCAGGTGCTACCACTTGAGCCACACACCTCCAGTCCATTTTGCTCTGTGGTTTTTTTTGGAGATGGGGTCTTGAACTATTTGCCTGGTCTGGCCTCAGACCTTCATCCTCCTGATCTCAGCTCCCAACTAGCTAGGATTACAGGTATGAGTCACCAATGTTCAAGTGTTGGTTCTTATTTTGCATTTGTGGTACAAGGTGTTGCCACTTTTCTGGTTATCTAAAATTCCTCATCTTAAAAATTTTCTGTGTTGCATGCAGCCTCAAAGACATAATCCTGTGAGAATATTCACCAGACAATTAGCCAGTACAACAGTCTGTAATCTCAGAAATTCAATTCCCCTTAGCACCCATGAACTCTGCATCCTCAAATCCAACCATCCATCAAAAATCTTAAAAAAAAGTGTCTGTTCTGAAAATGCACAGACCTTTTCCTAGTCATCATTCCCTAAGCAATACAGTTTAGCAATTCTATACATAGATTTACATTGTATTAAGTATTGTAAATAACCTAGAAATGATTTCGATCTATGGGAGAACGTACTTAGGTTACATGCAAATATTTCACCGTTTTGTGTAAGAGTCCTGAGCATCCTAAGATTTTAGTATCTGTGGGGGTTCCGGAATGAATAAATCCCCTGTGGACACCAAGGGATGACCGTATCCCTTCAGTCACAGTCAGCAACAGCTATTCCCAAAGGCAAGGTCTGTGCAAATCAGTCCTTTCTGAAGCAGTGCCTATGTACTGCAGAGAAAAACCACAGACTTTGCCAAAATTAAGGGAAATGGTGAAACTGATTAAAGAAGTAACATGACCAATTGACAGGACCATTTCCAAACCCACCAGGCATCAGGAACTGGCTAAAATTTTTGTGACCAGGAAACATCTACAAGAACAAAAAGGTGATAGATTCCAAAAGAGAACGATATGGTTATTGAAGAGCGAGTGAAGCCCTTGTGACAGCGTTTGATGCTCTCAAATATTTTCATCAATTGCTCATATCACTGATTATGCATTGAAAACCCAGACATGGTGCAACCATATGTATGGCTTTGTTGGAAAAATTAGGCCCTTAGAAAGAACAAAAAAATTGATTTGTTTTGTTCTAAGAATTAATTCAAAGTTTGCTAAATATAAAATAAGATTATGATATTCTTTCATGTTTTTCATTTAGCTTTGTTTTTCAAGGTAAATTGTCAGCATTCTTTTCTTCTAGGATTTCTATGAAATATTGGTCCTCATCTTGTGAGATTAACTTTATAAAATCTGGTTCCCTCTCTCAAATGATGCCACAGCTTATGCTCTGCAAGGTGACCTCAGTTTAAAGCCAGGTCCAGTAAGAAGGAAACATTTTTGAAAATCATAGGGTAGGTTGGGTGCCAGTGGCTCATGCCTATAATTCTAGCTACTCAGGAGGCAGAGGTTGGAGGATCGTGGTTCAAAGCCAGCCCAGGCAAATGATTCACAAGACCCTATCTTGAAAAACCCTTCACAAAAAATAGAATTAGCAGAGTGGCTCAAGGTGAAGGCCCTGAGTTCAAGTCCCAATACCACAGGAAAAAAAAATCATAGAACCCTAGCACCGGCTGCAGAAAAATTAATGCTACAAAGTTAAAGTCTAAACACACTAGGACTGCTTGTGGGATTGGGCTAAACTATTTCTGTAAGGTGGTGCCTTCACTTTGTAGCCAAGAGTTCTCAAGGTGGGGGCCCAGTGCTGGTGGCTCACATCTGTAATCCCAGCTACTCAGGAGGCAGAGATCAGGAGAATCACGGTTCAAAGCCAGCCAAGGCAAATAGTTTGTGAGACTCTCTTTCAAAAATACCCAATGCATAAAAGGGCTGGTGGAGTGGCTCAAGGGGTAGAGTGCCTGCATAGTAAGCACAAGGCTCTGAGTTCAAACCCCCGTACCACACACACTCAAAAAAAAGAATTCTCAAGGTGGAAGGCAAGAAGGTGGGAAAAGCACTGTTCAAAAGTAGCTGGAAAACAGAAGGAAGCAGTTTGGCCAGTGAGGGCTCTTTTGTCACATGTACACCAGCTCTTCTCACCTTGGCTGCACTTAAATCAATAGGGGAGATTGTCTTTTGTTTGTGTTGTGGTGCTGGGGGTTGAGCCAAAGCCTCAGGCATGCCTGACAAGTGCAATACCACTAAGCCACACCCCAGTCCCCCGGATCATTGCAAACACCTCTGAGGCCAGGTGTCTCCCTAGATCCATTAATTCCAAATCTGGAGAGCTGGATCTAGGCATTTGTGTTTTTCTTTGTTTATTTGCTGGGGATTGAACCCAGGGACTTGCACATGTTAGGAAAGTGCTGCACCCCTAAGCTACACTTGTACTCCACACAGCTGTGTTTTTACAAGACTTCTCAAGTGATTCTAATTTCAGCCAGGGCTGAGAACCACTTGCTTTACACACTAGGTTGCCGAAGCAAGATGGTACAGCTGTCAGGCATGGAAGGAGATGGGTTAGTTTACTTGTGATGTGTGCCAAGAAACCAGCCAGGAGGCAATGAGAAATCTCTGGAACACCCAACAGCAGCCCCCACAAACACCCCTGACCCCTCCTCCAAAGGGTCCCTGAAACTAGGTGCTGGTCCCTCCCACCTGCGAGAGGTATTTGTACAGCTGGGGATCTCGCTGGAGCCCCAGGTAAGCGAGGCGCTCCGCTTCACCACCCGCCAGCAGCTGGTAGAAGACGTGGAAATTCCGCTCCCCCTCGTTCTGATAGACGACTCGGGACTTTTCTATCAAGTAACCGATGATATGCCCGCCTACGGGAACACCCTTCAAAACAGAATAAAAATAGGCCAAGGACATAACAATCAGGCCACTCTCTTCCTGGTGTCTTCTGATGAACAGAAGCTCTTAATTTGAATGAAGTCCAATCTATCAATCTTCTATGATTCATGTTTCCTGGGTTCTGCTTAATATACTCCAAGGTTGTGAAGCTGTTTTTTCTGTTTGTGTCTAGAAGCATGAGTTTTTATGGCCCGTCACACTATTTTTGTATATGGATTGAGGTAGGGATCAAAGGTTGACTTATCCATATGAATATTCAGTCAATGAATACCAAGTGCCAGAAAGGCAACTTCATTCCCACTGAATCGCGGTGGTGCTGCTTTTGTCCCAAGCATATGTGGGATTCCTTCTGGACTTTGTTCTAGTCCATTGGCCTCCTTATCTAGACTCCTGTCATCTACCCTGTCTTTATTATCTTAATAATCTATTCTAGAAGGATTTTTATTCTAGAACATATATAGAATGCAAACCAATAAGAAAGTGCAGAAAGCCCAATTAAAAATGGGTGAAAAAGTGGCCGTTAAGCAAAACCTCATTAATTTTCAGGGAAATACTAACCGAAACCATAGTGAAAAACTATCATAGCTTGCCAGAACTTGTAAAACTAAAAGAACTAACAATACAAACAGCAGCAGGGTGCAGCAAGGGGAGCCACCGGTAATCATCACAACATGGCTGGCTGTCAGTCAGTCACTCTGCAACCCCACCTGTGGTTGTGTCCTCTACAGAAATGAGTGCCTGCATCCACCAAAAGACATGAGCGAGGGTGTTCAGCACTATCTGCAATAGCACCCCCAAAATGACCCAGTTACAATGCACAGCTCCTACGTGCAACAGCAAGGACAAAGCCATTGACAGAACGGTGAGTGACAAAAGCCAGATAAAAATGAGACCATTCCGTATAATTCCATTTAATTGAAGTTCAAGAACCAGCAACATGAATTTGTGATTATAGAGGTCAAGATAGTGGTGACCTCTAGGAAGGGGGATATGGTCGGAGAACCTTCTGGATGCTAGAAATTTTTATATCCTGACCTGAGTGGTGGTTACACATGTAGATCCATATATGTAAAAAAATCACTAACTGTCCTTACGACTTATGTGCTTTTCAGTGTATGTATTAAACTTTGATAAAAGTTTTAAAATATGCAGAGCCATTAAACGTCTCTCCAGGCATTTTTGTTTTTTGTAGTGGAACTGGGGTTTGAACTCAGGGCTTTGCCCTTGCAAGCAGATGCTCTACCACTGGAGCCACACCTCCAGCCTAAACGTCTCTCCAAATCTCTGCACAGGCCACCGAGGCTCACATCCGGGCCTCTGGAGACCCTGAGCCAGCCTGTTTCCATGGCTATGCTCCATCTGCAGAGGGACTTCTCCAGCCCTTAGGCCTTGCCACTTGGAACATGTGTTGTCCTTCAGAACTTTGCCTTCCCATGTGACCCATTAAAATTCTGATTGTCACACAACCACAGCCACTCTTTTATGTGCTGCCACAGAGATGGGTAGTTGAGAAAGAGGCTGCATGACTCCCAAAGCTTGTAGTGTCTACTGTCTGTCTCTGACAAAGTTTGCTGGTCCCTGACACACAGGTAGGCATATTGTTTACTTCTGATCTGTTTTCAAGCTTATAAAAAGTGGCATCACTTTGGCACACAGTTCCCAAGGCCCACCGTGCACGTGAGGCTCTAGCTCTTTGCTGGCACTGCTGTATCCTCTCTGTGCACACGCCACACGGCAACCATTCCCCTGCCAGTGGACACTGAGCCCTCTCCAGACACGTGGTTCTCCCTGACTTTGGTGAGCACCAAAGCACAGCAGAGTTGCTGTGCATGTGCTCAGACGTCCTTGGGGACACCTCGGGATGGGAATGGCTGCTTTAGGTTATGTGATGTTAGCTTCCTTGCATGGTTTCATAGCACTGCTGCAAGCCAGGTGGAAAGCAATCCACCTTCAAATGGGTTGCACTGATGTATATACACCTGTCAGCAATGTGTAAGAATTGCTAACAATCCAGGACCTCACCCACAACTGCTGTTCTTAGACTTCTTAATTCTTGCCCATCTAGGAGGTATAAAATGGGGTCTTTGTTTGCATATCCCAAAATTAGCATCAACCCTGGATTTTCAACTGTTTGAGTCGATAAATGCCCTTCCCACCGTAAATTCCTTGGGTTGGGTTCTATCCTAGCCCAATAAGGGGTCCTCATTAGCCTGTAATAGGAGTTTCGGTGTACCTGAAAGTCGAACTGTATGTCCATGTATTTTCCAAATCTGCTGGAGTTGTCATTCTGGAGGGTCTTGGCATTTCCAAAAGCCTTGGAATACAAAGTGTCACTCACTGTCATTTAAGTTCACCATGGTTGTAAGATTCCTGACTCCAAAAAACACGATTATTATGAAAACGGGAGAGTAAGTGGGGAGCCAGGGAGGAAAGCCATACTTTATTTTCTAAGAAGGAGTTGCTAGCTACAGAGGACTTCAGGCCAAATGCCAGACTTAGACTCAGGGAAAAGCAGGGAAAAAGACTTTCTCCCTAGAACTTACTGTAGGACTATTACAAGTGGCCTAATGAGTGGTACCAGGGGCCCTAGGCCCCTGCTCTTTTAGAAGTTCCAGTCACCCAACCCCTTCTCATACCAAATTGTTCAGCCCAAAGGGTCTGCTGGGAAATTCCTTCAACCATAAAATTTTGATTTTTATGTACCCCAGGATAGTTTTGAACTCTTGGTCCTCCTGCCTCAAGTACTTGGGATAACAGGCGTGCATCACCATGCACACCTAACCATAAACATCTTTTACAGAAACAGCACCAAAAACGCAGGAGAAAACGACTGTGCAAGATCAGTTAGCAAGTCAGTGAACTGCAAAAGTAGACAGAAGATAACAAAATTATTTCAATTAAAAGAAAAAAATAATAAGGTAGTTCTTTGGTGTTTACTAATTCTGCTATGTGGTTTTGTGCATTCATCTTGCTTAATCCTCAGAATGGCTTAAGAGTCAGGTACCATGAGCAGAACCATTCTGCAGATGGGAATACAGACTCTGGGGTTAGAAGCGACTTGCTGAAGCTGGCTGGTACTTGGCCACACTGGATTAGAACCAGACTTATGTCAAGGTCACGCCCTTAACCAAAACACTACTTGTGAACTCCCTTTTTTCAGTGGTGACCTGCCCATTCTGACTGTTCTTCCGGGCAGCAGATTCTCCTTCTTTCATGACCTCCTGGAAGATGTGTCCTTAGGGATGGCTTACCTCAAGCACTGGGGTGGAGAGCAGCAGCCTGTCACGGGCGATTTGCAGTGACCCAGTCATTGGGCAGGTCACTGCAAAGTACTGGAGGATCTTCTTGGAGGCCTCTGTTTTCCCTGCTCCGCTCTCTCCAGAAATGAGGATGAAGTGGTTGTTCAGCTCGGAGCACATCGTACGGTAAGCATTGTCAGCGATGGCATAGCTGAGGAGTGGGCAGAAACAGACTGGCCTTAGTGCAGCTTCCCTTGGCCTGACATCTCCCAGTGTGGAAAGACAAAGTACCCTGCCTCTAGGAAGCCACATCAGATGTAGGTACAAGGACACTGAGCTCAGATAGATAGCAAACCTACAGACTAGATATTAGAACTCAAATAACACAAGGGTTAAAGTGAAGAACTTGAGTGGAAAGGAAATCTTTTTCACAATTTACCTAATTTATTTATTTTCTTAAACCAAGGTCTAGTGCATGATAAGCATGTGCTCGACCACTAAGCTCCATGCTTAGCTCCATCAAATTAATTTTTTTAATCCCTCTACATTTCCCCAAGAAACCGTGTATCAACTGTAGGTAGAAACAGCATCTTGTCTAAGTGTTAAATAACTAAACAAATATGATCAAATCTCGTGCTTTCTCTTTCCCTCAAAATCTAGAGCATTAAGAATGTAGAGGAAGGAAACCAGAGAGAGTAAAAACTTCTGTGGTGCCACTAGGGCAAGAGGTAAAACTACTATTAGGGTTTTTTCTCTAAGATTAGGAACCAAAGCTCTCCCAAGAGCTGGAAATTTCAGGATTCAGTGGTGAAAGGGCTATGGAAAGGTTTTATAATGCCTGGAATAGCTGAGTCTCCAACACAAAGGAAGGGAGAATCTTTTTTTTTTTTTTATTCATATGTGCATACAAGGCTTGGGTCATTTCACCCCCCCTGCTCCCAACCCCTCCCTTACCACCCACTCCGCCCCTCCCTCTCCCCCCACCCCACCCCCTCCCTCTCCCCCCACCCCCCTCAATACCCAGCAGAAACTATTTTGCCCTTATTTCTAATTTTGTTGTAGAGAGAGTATAAGCAATAATAGGAAGGAACAAGGGTTTTTGCTGGTTGAGATAAGGATAGCTATACAGGGTATTGACTCACATTGATTTCCTGTGCGTGTGTGTTACCTTCTAGGTTAATTCTTTTTGATCTCACCTTTTCTCTAGTTCCTGGTCCCCTTTTCCTATTGGCCTCAGTTGCTTTTAAGGTATCTGCTTTAGTTTCTCTGCGTTAAGGGCAACAAATGCTAGCTAGTTTTTTAGGTGTCTTACCTATCCTCACCCCTCCCTTGTGTGCTCTCGCTTTTATCATGTGCTCAAAGTCCAATCCCATTGTTGTGTTTGCCCTTGATCTAATGTCCACATATGAGGGAGAACATACGATTTTTGGTCTTTTGGGCTAGGCTAACCTCACTCAGAATGAAGTTCTCCAATTCCATCCATTTACCAGCGAATGATAACATTTCATTCTTCTTCATGGCTGCATAGAATTCCATTGTGTATAGATACCACATTTTCTTAATCCATTTGTCGGTGGTGGGGCACCTTGGCTGTTTCCATAACTTGGCTATTGTGAATAGTGCCGCAATAAACATGGATGTGCAGGTGCCTCTGGAGTAACAGTCTTTTGGGTATATCCCCAAGAGTGGTATTCCTGGATCAAATGGTAGATCGATGTCCAGCTTTTTAAGTAGCCTCCAAATTTTTTTCCAGAGTGGTTGCACTAGTCTACATTCCCACCAACAGTGTAAGAGGGTTCCTTTTTCCCCGCATCCTCGCCAACACCTGTTGTTAGTGGTGTTGCTAATGATGGCTATTCTAACAGGGGTGAGGTGGAATCTTAGCATGGTTTTAATTTGCATTTCCTTTATTGCTAGAGATGGTGAGCATTTTTTCATGTGTTTTTGGCCATTTGAATTTCTTCTTTGGAGAAAGTTCTGTTTAGTTCACTTGCCCATTTCTTTATTGGTTCATTAGTTTTGGGAGAATTTAGTTTTTTAAGTTCCCTGTATATTCTGGTTATCAGTCCTTTGTCTGATGTATAGTTGGCAAATATTTTCTCCCACTCTGTGGGTGTTCTCTTCAGTTTAGAGACCATTTCTTTTGATGAACAGAAGCTTTTTAGTTTTATGAGGTCCCATTTATCTATGCTATCTCTTAGTTGCTGTGCTGCTGGGGTTTCGTTGAGAAAGTTCTTACCTATACCTACTAACTCCAGAGTATTTCCTACTCTTTCTTGTATCAACTTAAGAGTTTGGGGTCTGATATTAAGATCCTTGATCCATTTTGAGTTAATCTTGGTATAGGGTGATATACATGGATCTAGTTTCAGTTTTTTGCAGACTGCTAACCAGCTTTCCCAGCAGTTTTTGTTGAAGAGGATGCTATTTCTCCATAGTATATTTTTAGCTCCTTTGTCAAAGATAAGTTGCTTATAGTTGTGTAGCTTCATATCTGGATCCTCTATTCTGTTCCACTGGTCTTCATGTCTGTTTTTGTGCCAGTACCATGCTGTTTTTATTGTTATTGCTTTGTAATATAGTTTGAAGTCGGGTATCGTGATACCTCCTGCATTGTTCTTTTGACTGAGTATTGCCTTGGCTATTCGTGGCCTCTTGTGTTTCCATATAAATTTAACAGTAGATTTTTCAATCTCTTTAATGAATGTCATTGGAATTTTGATGGGAATTGCATTAAACATGTAGATTACTTTGGGGAGTATCGACATTTTTACTATGTTGATTCTACCAATCCATGAGCATGGGAGATCTCTCCACTTTCTATAGTCTTCCTCAATCTCTTTCTTCAGAAGTGTATAGTTTTCCTTGTAGAGGTCTTTCACATCTTTTGTTAGGTTTACACCTATGTATTTGATTTTTTTTGAGGCTATTGTAAATGGAATTGTTTTCATACATTCTTTTTCCGTTTGCTCATTGTTAGTGTATAGAAATGCTAATGATTTTTCTATGTTGATTTTATATCCTGCTACCTTGCTATAGCTATTGATGATGTCTAGAAGCTTCTGAGTAGAGTTTTTTGGGTCTTTAAGGTATAGGATCATGTCGTCTGCAAATAGGGATATTTTGACAGTTTCTTTACCTATTTGTATTCCTTTTATTCAGGAAGGGAGAATCTAAACAGTAGCTCAGGTGTCAACCATGGAGAAGATAGAAATTCAGCAAAGTCTGCAGAGTACAGACCAGGCAGGAAATTGCTCAGGTAAGATTCTAACAGTGGGCATTCTTCCTAGCAGCCATGACACTCAGACACCAGCAGGTGGCACTAGAGAAACCCACCACCCAGAGAAGACACCTCTTTAGTCACACAGATTTCTAAGCAGTTACACACATTTTACCTCTTGTCTATTTTAGATTCCAAAATGACTTAGTGACATTTTCTTCTACTTTCACTTACTTCACAAGAAGGTATCAGCTTATTGAATATGCATCGACATGTTAATGAACATGCAGAAAGAAGCAGAACCTAGCGAACATGCAAGGATTTGGATTGATGGATGGATGGGTGGATGGGTGGATGGGTGGATGAATGGATAGATGGATGGATGGGTGGATGAATGGATAGATGGATGGATGGGTGGATGAATGGATAGATGGATGGATGGATGGATGGATGGGTGGATGGATGGATGGATGGATGGATGGGTGGATGAATGGATAGATGGATGGATGGGTGGATTAATGGATAGATGGATGGATGGGTGGGTGGATGGGTGGATGGACGGGTGGATGGATGGATGGGTGGATGGATGGATGGATGGATGGGTGGATGGATGGATAGATGGGTGGATGGGTGCATGGATGGATGGGTGGACGGAGGGGAGGATAGATGGATAGGTGGCTAGGAAGAAGGGAGGGATGGTTGGAAAATAAAAAAATAGCTGGTGGAGTGGCTCAAGTGGTAAGAGTGCTTGCCTAGCAAGCATGAGGCTCTGAGTTCAAACCCCAGTGCTGCCAAAGGGGGAAAAAAAAAAAGAAAACTGTACCTAGTGACCACCCAATGGAAGCTACTTACACATGAGGTGGCAGTTCAAAGAAATTGACCCCTTGGTAGAGTTCCATCTGGCTCACAGTGTAGATCCCAAGCTCCTGGTATGGATTCACAGACACAAGGAGCGTCCCAATGTAGGTCTAGAGGAATGGACCACAGCACGAGTGAAGATCTCTGGGCACAGAAGACTGTCACACACTATGATGCATGTGTGTTGGGTCGGTGTGGGGCTGAGACACAGCAAATAACACAGGTGTGGTCTCTGCTGTCAAAGAGCTTGCAGGGGGAGAAGGTGAGAAGACGGACAGCCAAGGGGCCAAGGCAGCTGCAAAGAAGGGCCTGTTTTGAGAAAGTTGTACAAAGGGAGATGAGTAAGGAAGACTTCATTAGCTAGTTGGCTAAGCCTTCCTTAATAAGAAGATAGCTAAGTGAGAACAGGATGAAGAGCTAGTTGTGAAAAAGTAGGTGGAAGGTGTTTCAGGTTAAAGAGACAGGCAGGCAAGCTGTCTGCCCTGGAGCCAGTGTGGCTGAAGCCCATGAGAGAAGGGAGGAGGGAGAAGACAGAGGATGTTTAAAAAGGAGCAGGTTCCACTTGCCAGGAGGAATTGGGGTTTTATTCCAAATGCAGTAGATGATGGAGACATTGCCCTCCGCTACTGAAAGGAAGAAGGTGACCTAAACAGTCCCACGGATGGATGGCTTTAACAGGAGAAACCAGGATCTGATTCATACTTTGCTAATGTCTCTCTGGCTACAGGGTAAATATGCAGAGTGACTTTTCCTACCAGTCTTCTACAACAGGGCAAAATCCACCCACACTAGCACTTACCTGTCTATAGTTCAACCTTTGACTCGATCTAAGGTACACATATTTGCAGTATAACCACTAACAAAAGACCTCTGGGAATACGATTATAAATAGAGCTCTAAGATCTTATACAGAAAAACCAAATGCTTGAGCTCCTTTGAAAACACATCTGGCACTTAAAGATTCTGAGTTTGTTGTTTTAAATACTGGAGATTCTAAAGCCCAAAGACTATAGGATTAGACACCAGGACTCCGCTAAAATAATTTCAGTGTTTCCAAGGTCCAGTACAAAATCAAATAAAGAAATGGAAGCAAGACAATGCTTTTTGTCAAGACTAAAATTCTGTATTCCTTCAGTCAGTGGAAACATGGTCCTGAAATTTATTGTTTCAAATTGAAAACTTTTAGCATAGTTTTGATACTCCTCTTACCCCACCTCAGCTTCATACCATGCTATATATGCTTTGCTTATACTGAATTAGTGTGACTTCTCTATTTGTACAATTAAGAGTGATAATTCTGAAGGTTAGGCAATGGAATATATACTTTAAGAAATAGCTTGAGCCAGGTGCCGCTAGCTATCAGGAGGCAGAGATCAGGAGGATCACGGTTCAAAGTCAGCCCAGGCAAATAGTTCTCAAGACCCTATCTCGAAAAAAAACCTTCACAGAAAAAAGGGTTGGCGGAGTGGCTCAAGGTGTAGGCCCTGAGTTCAGACCTCAGTACCACAAAAAAAAAAGAAAGAAAGAAAGAAAAAGAAATAGCTTGGTTTCTATATAGAGATTTAAGTCAGAGACTATTGCAAGCAAAATAGCTATAATATAATTCTTTCTGTTTTTGTTTTTTTGAGACAAGGTAATAAGTAGCCTAGGCTGCCTAGGCCTCCCAAGTGGACATTTATCACTATGTCCAGCTAACACAAATATTTTTTAAACTGGTCTGACAGTAAAAGTTAATACAACCATACAACCTCAAAAAGTTCAGTACCATGATACATGCAAAGATAGTATAAAATTTACAGAAGAGGAATATGTCTGGAATTTGATTGGCCCAATCAAATCAGGGTGTGATGAGAAGTGGAGAATTTGATAAAAATTGGCCACCACTGGATCTCAAGATCATCATGAGAACTGGTCTTATCCTTGAAGATCTAAGGAACGTGATGGGGTTAAGATTTTTTCCGCCTGGCATCCTGACCCCTTTGTACTTGAAGGAACCCAAGTACAAAGCTCTCAGCCCTCATCATCAAGGGAGCTCTGCCTCCTCCCTCCAGGGGCCGGTCAGAACATTCCTCATTCCTCATTCCTAGCCATGGAGATTACTTGAAAGATAGGCATGTGACCCAGGATGAGCCAATCAGAGCTAACCAGCACAGCTCTGCAAGTCCTAAGGTCCTGGGGCCTTCTCAGTAGCAACATCCATCAGCTGATCAAAGGCAGCTGTCTTGACATTAAACAAAGAGAGGCTGCCTGAGGAAGAAACCGACACAAAGAAAAGCAGAGAGATGGAGAGCGTATCTGAACCCTAGGTTGGTCCCGCCCCTCTTAAATTGGTACATTCCCTTTTGTGACACAGGCCAGTTTGAGTTGAGTCTCTGTCACAGGCTGCCATAAAGGCCCTGGCAGGAAGGGTCAAAGTGTATCTGAGGGTCCTCCACACATCCCCTAACCCAAGAGAGGGACAGCACACAGTCAGCAGGGCCGTGAAGGGGGAGGGGACGAAACACTAGGACGGCAGTGGAGAAATGGGTTGGGTTACATATATGAGGTTCTTGCTGAAACGCTGGCGAAGATTGTCCACAAAGGCAGATTCACTGGTGTGTGCATCCAGCAGCACAAAATCCTGCACCCCGACCTTGTCCCGGGCCGTCAGTGTCCCTTCCATGTGCAAATGGATGCGTTTCCTCCTCGCTTCTTCTTTCTGCAGGAGAAAGGACACTCCTCAGCAGTGTTCATTTAGAAATTTCTATGACACGAGAACATGGAGGTAATCAGATGTTAAACCCTGGGGTAGTAGACGGCCAGGATTATGACAGAGCTGAGATGTGACTCTGCGTGTTTCTGCTAGTATCTTCAGTGTACCTTTTCTGTGTTTAGAGATGTTTAGATTCACAAATACCATTGTGCTACAACTGACAGCATTCAGTGCAGTAGCATGCTATTTGGTGTGTAGTCTAGGAGCAATCGGCCATACCAGATAGTCCAGGTGTGTAGCAGGCTATACCATCTAGGTCTATGATGCTCACAGAGTGATATTCCTCAGAACATACCCCTATCATTAAGTGACACATAACTCTGCACATGCATGTGTATGAAAATAGCAATAGAGGGGCTGGGCATGGTGAAGAACTCCTGTAATCCCAGCTACTTGGGAGGCAGAGGTAGAAGGACCATGGTCCAAGTCCAGCTAAGGTGAACACATCAGAGCTTATCTTAAAAAAAAACAAAACCCTAAAAGCCAAAGGCCTGGGGATTGTGGTTCAAGTGGTAGAGTACCTGTCTAGAGAGAGCAAGACCCTGAGTTCAATCTCCAGTACCTCCAAGAAAAAAAAATAGCAATAGGTAACAGAAAGTAAGCATCTATGTTGTCAGGTACTATTTTAAAGACTTGACTTCTATTGTCTCATTTAATAGTCATCCTGGCCCCAGGAAGTAAGTACGATTGACAAAAGTTACTACCTATTTCCTAAAGGAATGGTGGGTCTTGTTACAGTGGATTATTCAAAGAAGGACAAACTTGGAGTATCTCTTCCTGAGGCCGTAAGACCTCACTGGAGAAGGTGGGTGACAATCCACTAGGAACCCCACTAGGAGACCAGGGCCAGAGCTGGTCCATGGTCATCAGGCAGCAGGAACAACCCTCCTCTGAGTTGGGGGCAATACCAGGTGAGAAGTCATGGAGGGTCATGGAAACAAACTCTGCAGAGCTCAGGTAGCTGAGGCCGGAGGGAGGGTGTGCATCTGGAGTGGGTTGCCCTGCAGAGTTGAGGCCTGGAGTGAGTGATTTCTGGGTTGGGATGGCTGTGGCAAAGAAGTCACCAGGCTATTGGTCAGGCTGTGAAGTTGTCAAGGATTTGTCAGCACACAGGGCATGTCCTGCCTGTGTACCATTCTATAGTCAAACCCAAGAAAACCCCAGACGTGACAAAGGAAACCAGGAAGTGACACCCCTGCTATTATGATGCCTCTCCAGTGACAAGAGTTAATACCATACCACTTCAGGAGAAACGTGTGAATCCAGCTTTCATTGCTGCAGAGCAGGTACTGAAGGGTGAATGCGGATCTGGGAGGCAACAAATTGACACCACATACAGATAGAATGGCCCAAAGAACCTTGAAAAGACAAAGCTAGAGGACTCAACTTCTTAACTTTAAGTGATCAAGACTGTCAATCAAGTTTTGACAAAAGTACCAAAACAATTCAGTGCAGAAATGGAAAACCTTTTCAACAGCGGTGCAGGAGCAGCTAGATATCTATAAGCAAAATTTTACATTTTAGTCCCTGCCTCACACTGTATGTATATATTTATATCCACATATAATGTATATAAAGATATGTCATGTATATATAGAATGTACATACATATGTACACTTGAGGTGAATCTTAGACCTAAATGTAAACGTCAAATCCGTAAAGCTACTAGACAGAAACAAAAAAAAAAATCTTCGCAATCAGAGGAAGGCAAAATGTTCTTAGACAAGACACAGGGAAAAAATAATTATTAAAGACAAAGAAAGAATTAAGAAATGCATGTATTAGTGGTGCTGGGGTTTGATGTAAAGGCCTTGTACTTACTAAGTAGGACTTGATCCAAGTCCTCAGCTCCCCCCAAGAAAGAACCTACACTTCATCAAATATAAAACTTCTCATCAGAAGACACTGATATTCACAAAACATTTACAAAGTATAGCTGCAAAGGATTTGTATCTGGAATAAAAGATACCATGGTTCAATAATAAAGACAGATCCAATCAAAACTGGGCAAAAGACTTGTGTGGACATTTTATAAGGAAAGATAAATAAATAGTTAATAAACAAATACAAAAATGCCCAATGTGATTTGCCATCAGGGAAATGCAAATTAAGATAACACCAGAAACGGTCAAGTTAAAAAGGCTGATGATGCCAAATACTGGTGAAGACGTGGAGCTGATTAAAAGCCACAGTCATGGCTGGCCAAGGCCTTTCCATTAAAAAAAAAAAAAAAAGATCTGGCAGTTTCTAATGAAGTTAACCATGTCTCCAGCCTTTGATCCAGCAATTCCACCCCTAAGTATTTACACAAGAGAAATGTAAACAGATGTCCACAAAAAGACTTGAACATGACGTTCAACTCTGCTCAACGGTATTCATAATGGCTCCAAACTGGAAACAATCCAAACAGCCATCAACCGGAGAATGGATATGGTCCATCTGTACAAAAGAAGGAGCACAGCAATACAAGAGAAAGTAGCATGGATGACTCACCGACATTGTGCTGAGTGAAAGAACCCTGACACAAAGGAGCGCGTACTGTGCGAGTGCGTTTGCAAAGCTAATCTGCGGTGCAAAATCATAACAATTGTTGCTTGGCTCAGGGGATGTGAGGGAAGGGACATTTTTGAAGTGATGGAAACTTTCTTTCTGTTGATGGAGCTGTGAGTTACCGTGTGTCTATTTGCCAAGATACATTGTTAAAATTTTGTGCATCACAGTATGTGTAAATTTTATGAATTTTTATTAGAAAGAACCATGAAAATAATCAAGTGTTGGGAGGGGTGAGTGAAAATGGAATGGCAAAATGTTAGTAATTGCTGAGGCTAGATGACGGGGATGTGGGGAGAATAGCATGGTATTCTGCTTATTTTGTATTTATTTGAAATTTTCCATAATAAAGTTTTTTTAAAAACAGAATGGCCACCAGATGTCTCCCTACACTAGCCAAAATGAAGCAAGAATACCGCCCCCCCAACTCTATTTCATATGATATCTTTTACAATTGGTTCACTCAAATCAGGTCCCAAACAAGGTTCACTTGTCACATTTTAGCCAATGTCTCTCTCAAGTCTCTTTTGTTCTACAGGTGCCCCTTCTCTTTGTTTCTTGCAATTTACTTGGGGAAGAAATTGGGCAATTTGACCGATCCACATTCTGGATTGTGTTGATTACATTCTGATAGAGTCATTTAATATATTTCTCTTTCTCCTGCATTTCCAACAAATTGGTAGTTTGATTTAAAGTTATGATCTGATATGGGATTGATTTATTTTGGCAAATCATAGGCATTCTGTTTTTTAAAAAATTTTATTATGGAAAATTTCAAATAAATACAAAATGAGCAGAATAGTATGACGACTCCCCACATCGCCGTCATCTAGCCTCAGCAATTACTAACACTTTGGCAGAAGACACCCAAGGGGGACCATCTCTTCAAGATGTCAGGGCTCCCTGATGCACACTGCTCAAACCCACATTTTCTTAGGACATTATAAAATGGTGATATTTCAGTTCTATCCCTCCTTCATTTGTCAGGTAGAAACTTTCTATGGAAAGAAACTGTCCTTGTCAACTATTTGTCCCTCCAACCTCCATGGTAGAGTTTGTAGGAAAAGACAGTGCAAGTGCTTGATTTGTGGGTTTCAGAGTAGGGTGCTGGTGTCATAGCATCCTTCAAAGGTGACACCAACCCCTTAATATTGCTCCAAGTTTATGACTTTAAGTTTATTTGATGTGTTTCAATTGATAGCAATCATTATCCTTAGCGAAGCTCAAACCTCTCATGTTTGACAACTGGGAACCTGTAGGGGGCCCTCAAGTTCATTAAAAAAAAAACACCTTTAGGAGCACATATTAGCTGCACAAAGGGGTTCACTGTGATGTTTCCCCATATACTTACAATGTACCTTGTAGATTCACCTTTCCCCTCATTCTCTCTCCTCCCCCTTTTAAACAATCTCAACAGGTGTCATTGTTCTACAATCATACAAGTATACAAAGTGCATGGACCATATCTGTTCTCCTTCACCCTCTCTGTCCGCCTCCCTCCTCCCACTAGAACCCATACCTGAATAGGACCTGTTTTACATCCTTATCCTTTTTCTTTGTAGAATTGGGGTTCAAACTCAGGGCTTTGCACTCACAAAGCAGGTGATCTACCACTTGCCCCATGCCTCCAGTCCATTTTGCTCTAGTTATTTTGGAGATGGGGGCCTCTCGAACTATTTGCCCAGGTTGGCCTCAAACCTCGATCCTTCTCAGCCTCCTAAGTAGCTAGGATTACAGAAGTGAGCCACCGGCATCCAGCTGTCTTCATTTTATAAAGTGTGTATTTGTACTAGAATGGTGTCTGCTGTGATATTTCACACATGATTATATTATACTTCAATTAGCAAGTTATCACGGGCATATTTTACAACTTTGAATCTGCAGTTTCTCTGATAAATTCTGGTTTCTGTCATTAGGAAGATGGTAGATACCACAATCAGACACTAGGGGCGCTCCTTGCGCCTGGGAGGCTCCGTATTTCCAGGCTCTCAATAGAGAGACCACACAATCGTTTATTAAAACATACCATGAGTTTATTATGATTCTATCAATTCAATAAATAAGGGTTTTGCACATGACCTTATTTTTTTTTATATCTCTTCCCCTTTGTCTCAAAAATTCCAGTTCAACAACCCAAGCAGGTTTTCACTGGCTTTATTCCACACTACACACAACAGTCTCAAAATAACATCCACTTTATCACCAACACGATTACTGAAAACAGGTGGGATTTTTACGAACTCTTTGTCCTCGGGGCATAACTCACTGAGTATGGACACGTTGCTGTGCTTTTAAGTTCCCTTGAAGTATTTGATCTCTCTGTGGCTGTGGTAGCAACTAGACACACAGTTGGGTTCAT